TGATGGGAATGCTCGGTATGAGGGGGTACTGCTGGAGTTGCAAGATGCCCCGAAGGGTCGTGTCGGACATGCACTTGCGTAAGACGTCCTTCTTGTACTTGAGATGCGAGAAGTCGGCATCAATCGTAGAAGTGTTGGGAAAGCAGGAGGCAAAGCCGCCTACAAATTCTAGGAGATCCTTGTACTTGCCGTCCTACAACTTCCGGGCTGACTCTCACTTAGGTTTATCTCAGATGGCTTTTTGGTAGCTCATCATGATTCTAGAAGACTAGTATTCCGCATTATATTCATAACCTAAACACCTTCTCACACAATCTCTCAAGGTATCACTCCAACTCATACACTCATCGACATTTCAAGGTACTGAAAATTCGTCACTCTTTCATATATGAAACAAGTCTCTACATATGAACTCTCCAAACTTGCTTTAGAGTCTCTTTCCTACCTCTTTATACATACTTTTTGAAAATTTACCATAGTAATAAATGGTAATTCCTTTCTAACCTACTTTTACAAAGATAAACCATAGTAAGGTTGACTAGTTATCAATATGTGGCAACATGCCATTTGTGCCTTTGTAACTTCTAGAACTTTCACTTTCCACTAAGTCAACATTAGACTTAGTCCAACCAATGGATTACTCCTTACTTTAGTCACACCAATCAAAACTAAACATGAAGTCCAAAAGTATTTTCTCTTGGAATCTAGACTTTTGTACAAGACAAAATAGAAGTGCTCACTCAAATCTTCTAGAACTTCTCTAGTTATTCCGCCAAGTATATACATTATAGCTAAACTAGCTAGACTTACTCATAACTAGCTAGATTTAGTCATAACTATCCTAACCATGATTAAACCCTAGGCTAATTCTAGTTTTATTTCACACATGCAATATCCGGTCTTACAGTCCAAGCAGGGAATTGCTCACGCGTTGGTGAATGAAAAGTGACCCTCCTGGCACTCCTTCAGGACTTTCGCCACGAGTTCTTGCTTTGCCTCATTCACGAGCATCTTGTGCTGTTTGCAAATGGCATCGAGGCGGAATTCGGTCCAACCCAGGATGAAAAGTAGACTCTCCTTCATCAACAAGACCATCTGGAACAACTCACAGACGATAACTTGGCGTAATCCTGTGGCAGCGCCGGCGGAATCGCCTGGTCGTTGGCATCGTTGTTGTCATCCCGCAACGAAACAATCTGGCTCAACCCTTCGACCACCTCCATCAACAACTGGCCGACGCAATTCACAACGTTGGACTTGTTAGCTTCATCGAGCAAGGGGAAGTTCTGAATGCACCAGAAGTTGAGGCCTTCGATGTGTTTGACAACCTTCTTCCTTGACACGCTGAACAAGCCGTGTTGGAGAATGTCGTCCTTGTCGTGGTCGTCGACCGACTCTGGATGGATCACGTCGTAGTCAATCTGAAGCTCAACAAGCAGTTCGGAGCGAACCCGCTCGATAGACTCGTCCTGCAGCGACAGGAGGGTGGCCTTGCCTTGCATGCTACGGGTCAGGTTCTTGACTGTGAGCGTCAGCGACGACACGGCCGAGTTGATGATCCACCACGATATCGACGGATCGAACGCTGAGGCCGGTGCATTTTGCGATAGTTCGGCGTAATGTGAGATGATTTCATGGCGACGATTGTCTATGAAGTCCGACACCCCGTGCATGAACTCCCAGCGCGTATCTTTCAGCAGCGGGCATGTGACTCCCATCGAGTCGATCAGCTTGTACAGGCGCTGTCTATGACTGACCATCTTGATCATTGTAGCCCAGTAGTGGCCGTCGTCCAAAGAATGGTACTAATCTTGCATCAAGATGTCGAGCTGATGTAGCAGGCATCACACACGAAGGAATTCAGACGAGACGGCCTGCCTGATCCTGGTCACGAGCCCTTGGATTCCCCCGTCATGTCGCGAGCGCCGTCTGTCGTGGCGCAGATCAGAGACGTCTTCCAAGGGAGGCAGAGCACATCAAGTACATTGGTGAGGAAGTTGAACTGGTAAAGCTTAGTGTGCCTGCCTGACATTCGTAGCATGATCACGTGCAAGTTGTACAGGCGGCCCAACCACATGAAACAGACGCGCAAGTCGAGATAGCTGGTATCGAGCCTGGTCGACCCGTCGACACCAATCAAAAACGCCCACAGCTGTGGCATCAAATCCGCCAGCACTTGAAATGTGACGGCAGATGCAACACGCACGAACGCATGTGTTTGAATCTGCGACGGAAATCCCATCTGTTTGTCGCGAGTGCGCTCCTTGGTGACTTCGAGGGCTCGAGTCGCCTGCTTCAAGCTCATGCCGATACCGACGTAGTCCGTAATCAAGTTGAAGGAGATGTCCGAGGCCATCTTTACTTTGTAATGCGTGTGGGCCACGTCCTTGTTGTCCTTGTTGTCCTCGATGTCATCCTCTTCGTCATCCGCACGCTCCGACTTCACCTTCGTAAAAATACGGAGTGCGTTTTTGCCAGTCTCGTTGAGTTTACCTTCCATGCCCTTCTTCCACAGATACTCGCCAACCAGCTTGTCGATGATTTTGGCTTCGAACACGACCTCGGAAGACTTAACGTTGCAATCGAAGTATGCATGCAATGTGTTCACAAATGGCACTCCGTTGGTGAAGACCGCGGCCTTCTCATTTTCTGCCAAGGACTGGTATGTAGCTCATTTCTCCGGGTTTTCATTCGTAAGGTGCTTCTCAAAGTTTTCCTTTCGATACGGCGGCAAGAACTGCTTGGTCATTTTGATGGGTGCTTTCTTGGCGCATTTCTTGATCTCGCGTCCAAATGCGATACAAAATTGACAGTCGACCGCAGCAGTAGGATCTATAGACGAATCCGAGATCGGTTTCAGTCCAAAGAGAACTGTGTGCTTCTTATTGAAGCCACCCTTGCGCGGTTCAGGTGCCTTCTTGCGCTTCTTTGGTACAGGCGGCATTGGTCTTGCGAAACGAAACAGGGCTTGTGTGGCGGACTCCGTGATGGCAATGTGTTGCCCTCGGATTCAAAGCCTTTATTATCAAGGTTTACCCTGGTATAGTGCTTACGTCTAATTGGGAACATTTAAGGTCAAATTGACAACTTTCAGACAAATTACCCTCTATTATGCAAAATTAGGTGTATATTAGAATTACACATTTGAAAATTCTAGGATTATGAAGATTAGGCGTTTATTAATAGAAAGTCTAACCTTAAGAGTCCTGATCATCACTCATTTGCAATTCCTAGAGGATAATGCTCACTCAAGTAAAGACCAAGGTTGCTCTGATATCATTATAACACTAAGGTTTAGAGAAAAATTCACTCAAAAATTGAAACATAAACTCTAAAGATGAGAGATATTAACGATTGTTCTCATCTCCCTTATATAGCTCTCACCAACAAGTACATGGATAAGATCTTATCTCCAACATACATCCCATTTCCAGTGGATGGATGACGTGGCGGAATGTACTAACATACACATGTATCGTTGACGTGGCGTTCCCAACTAACACATTCAATCTGTACTAACAAGCACACAAATCGCTGACATGGCACTGTGAATTAACACATCTACTCTCTACTTACCAAGCGCGCGGATTATTGACATGTTAGTTATGACCAGTGCACGCTAAAATATATATATCAACATTTAAAATAATCTATATTTTAATTCTAATTAATCAAAGATGATCACACATTGTTGCTATTCAAAAGTATGAACAGATTAAAATGAGATTTAAAGAGGTATGGACAGTGCTGCTAGTTAGAAATATGAATAGATTAAAATGGAATTTAAAGAATTATATTGTTCAAATTTAAAAATATGAATAGATTGAAATGAGATCTAAAGAAGTATTTATATTGGTCATATTTAAAAATATGAATAGATTGAAATGAGATCTAAAGAGTCATGGACAATGTTGCTCGTTAGAAATATGAATAGATTGAAATGAGATCTAAAGAGTTATGTACAGTGTTGCTATTTAAAAATATGAATAGATTGCAAAGAAGTATGTACATTGTTCCTATCAAAAAAATATGAATAGATTGCAATGAGATCGGAATAAATATATGAAAGTTGAAATTTTTTAGTTTGCAAAATATATCCCTATCATCTTATGTGGAATCCAATTACGTGCCTTGTCGCTATTATAACATCATAAGTTTAAATCATTATTATTGTGAGAAATTTTTTTAAAACATCTTACATTCACAACTTAGTGAATTTGATGACCGTTTTACTAAATGTTACTTTATAATATTTAACAGATTGCCTATCTATACTCTTGGATACATATTAAAATTAGTTGAGTTTGGGTAGATGTCTCCGCAAGATCTTCAACAATATGACCTTGTGATATTAGAACAATTCTTGAGTAGATCTGAGATGAAACTAAACTTTCTATGGATATTGATATCTCTCTGCTTCAACTATCAAACCATTTGAACTAAAGAAATCACTTACATATTATCTTCTGTTCCAACTAATAAATCTAGCGTTAACTTTCTTTGACAGCACCAAGTCAACAAAGTGCAGGTTCTCCGCATTGAAGATTGTAAAAAACTATTGAGTAACAAAACCAAATCAACAAAATGCAGGTTCTCGGCATTAAAGATTGTAAAAAACTATTGAGTAACAAAATGCTTTAAACATATTGCGGATGCTTTAAATTTGTTTATTGAAAAAGAATTAACGGTAGCCCCACTACAAAGTTCCTGGCTCTGCCATTGACACCCACCATTTCTTGAAGTTCATACAACGAAGAAGAGATATTCTTTAAGGAGACAATACACTCCGTGACGAACATGGTCGTGACAACACATCATTTTGGAATTTTCTTTTAGATCGTTTGTTTTCTTCAATATTGTTATATTGTTATCAATCACGCGAGTAAGATACTAGATACATTCCGTAAATTGGTTTCAAATACAGCTTATATCCAAGAGGATGACTCTTGTGTTGAATTTACAATTTCCAAGTTGCAACATGAGAACAATATCTGTAGTATCAATCGAGTAGCAACTCAATGATTTGAGTGTCTTTCAAATATTATTTCAGATTACTAGGGAAGAAAAGATGAGTACAATTTAACCACAAGTAAATTGTACTCATCATTTACTTGTGGTTAAATTGTACCACTTGCAGAAAATAGTAATGATCCTGCTCATCATACATAATACTGGTTATTTGTTTAGCTACTGATGCGAGAGATGGGTTCAACCTCGACCTTGCAATGGGCATTAAGACCTTACAGCACTTCGAATCAGCCTTCCATTGCCCGCACATTATCTTCAATCAGTCGATTAGTTATGCTCACATAATGTAAATACTTCTTATAGTTCTAGTTCGGATACTTCGATCCTATGAAAGGGTCTCGAAGAATACAAAAGTTACCACAAGGATCAATACCGAAACCATGAGCGTTCAATCGCACAAACTTACTTCACTTTATTGACTTTCACATGCCGGACTGTCTTCATCCAGCATCCTTCCCTGGCCTACAAGGTGGTCTTCCCATTTCTTATACCTCCCACTTTCTGCACCGAGTGTCTTCACTCTCGCCCCAACCCAACATGCACGGCTATACTTGCTCGGATGACGTGCGAGGAACCCCTTTGGCCACGAAAAGATGCCCTCACGTCGGTTTTGACTTGGAAATATTGGCCCATTACACAAGCATGAAAGCTCCAAAGCAGTCGAACAGAAACTATCATGCAGAACCTGAGATCACTGGGTACTTCGACCAAGCCCTGGACAGCAGAAACGGCAGCCAAGATTCAGATGTGATCCCTACAGAAAAATAACCAACAGGAAACTCAACGAAAGAATACCAATATAGTAGAATAGAAGAGATAAGGTGGGGCCAGAGGAGTAGGAATGAAATACCCTGATCATAAATTCTACGTCGCACCTTGTCGCTGCTTGGTGCACTCCTGACTTCCACCATCGTCTTCAAGCAATACGCTCCATACGTGCCTTTGTGCAGTATTCAACTAGACATAAATGAATCCTGAGCAGGCACAAGCGCAGATCAGAACTCCGACAAGTCCTCAAGGCTTGTGGCATGCGTTGATATCTCTGTTGTAGAGTAATACACATGACGCCTCACGTGTACAACCATAATAAGTTAAGAACATATTTGCGCAAAAAGCGGCTTTTGGCACACAATAAGGTCAAGTATGAAGATGCAATGCGGTTCTTCGAAGGTCAAATGGCATGCAAGATCACACAAAAGAACGCCGACGACGAAAAGGATTACATAACCATGAATTAAATTTACTCTACGCAATAAGCTTATAAAAACAATGAGGCACAAGAATAAGCTAGCGCAGGAATTTGAACAATTTTTCAATTTTAGATTAGGATAATCTAACCTCAATAAGCGACTTGATCCCCTGGGTGTGCTGACTTTTGATTGTACATATAACCTCCAACGTGCACTCTCTGCGTGCCGACATGAGCAGCTGTCAGCTTTGGAAGACCAGATGCACTGTAACGCCAGAAATATCTTTCTAGTAGAATAAACGCAAACCCTGATTCTAGCGTACACAATAATATATTTATAAAATCAAATCCTACTCAGGCGTGTGCTGAACATTGTTGATAATCGCACCTAAATTGTCAAGCTAAAGAACTCCACATGCAGACACTTATTACAAAGCAACACCGATGAAGATATATACAGATTTGTTCCTGAGCATGATGTACTACTACGTCCCCAAATGTTCACGGCCGCATACAAGAAGACAGTGAGAGAGCAAAATGAGACCACAGAAGAGAACACAAAGACAATTTCCATAAAATATATTTCATGAAGCTCGAATATAAACAAGGGTTGACTGAGCGGACCTTTGATTTTCTTCTTATGAAATAGCTCGCGGCTCCAAGTACTCACTTAAAGTGCCTGCACATATCAACCCACTATGGCCAATAAACTCAGAATGATGTTATGAAGCATGCAAACAGCGTTATATGTAACAGGCTCAATATTCTGTCATGGCTCCTATAATCTCTGGTGGGAGAAGATAAGGAGACGCGTGAGACATATCTAGCAAAACTTTGAAATACTCCTCAGAGTTGTGAACAACGTTGGACAATTTGTGCAATTGTAAACGATGTTGTTCCTTGCTGCTTGGTACTCGCTTGGCCTTACATATATTCTCAACCGCAACTCTATTCCTCTCTCATTCTCTTTTGTAAACTAACTGCGAATAAAAATCTGATCAGGGGCAGAGAATATTAAGGATATCATTTACAATTTATTCTACTCCAACTGAAAACCTAAGCACCTCAACCATCCGACAGACCGAAAGGCGCTGTGACAAACGTCAGAGTAGGTTTCCTCCAAAAATTGACCATACACAAGGACTTGCCTTCTTAATATAGAACAAATTTAGTTTTGCTGATCATGGCCACTTGTCAAAAAAAAATGATAAACTGTCGCCGAAACACAAGTACATGAAACGAAATCACTTTGACTGTGATCTCCGTGATCCTGACCAGAAATGGTCACAAAAACTGATATGAACCCTGAAGAAGTAGAGACCTACAAAAATAAATTCAAGTTAAGGAGACCAGAAAGCTTCTGGGATAATGACTACCTTGTCATGGGTCATGATTTGGGTGTAATCACAAGCTGTCCTGCAGTGTTGCTTAACGGGCGTACAATGCCAGACAGCAATCTGGTGACTTCCTTGAAGACTCTCTGGAGTCTGTTTCACCACTGACTTCAGAATCTGCGAGATCTTTGTCTCACGGAGTCACTAATAAGGAGGTTGGGCAGCACTGATGCCTTCACCAATGCGTCTGATCCGGGGTGCCAAGGAGTGGCGGAAAACTTCTTGACTGTTGGTGAGTGAGACTCAAAATCAGCCTGAAATCGCCAGCAAACTTGTCATCACCAGTGTCATGTGATAAGGTAACCAGTTAGTAAGGATGTTTAGTACCTGAAAGGCCGTCAGATGCAATGACCTTGTGTGTGATACAGGCTAGTGTGCAATTGTCTGCGTAGGACTCTCACTAGCTATGTTCTAATTTGGCTTGATACTTCGTCATATTTCCCTCAAAAAGGAAGATCGAAAAGGACAAAGCTGGTGTATGCTTAGGGCATCAACGTTGCTAATGTGGTACTCAAGTCGTACTCAGTGTTCGATCAAGGACACTAGTAAGCACTGGAAAATCAGATACTTATGGATATTTTTCAGCACGATCTCACCACCACCATTTAGAGGCCGACATGGAACATGCACCTTCTCGACTTCTACTTTATGTAACGGAATCCTGGATGAAGTCTGGTGTGTTGGCAGGGGCTCATGTCTTTAAGGTGAGTCAATTGAATAAGATTCTAAAAAATTGTTAAAAAGACTACCTCAGAAAACTCTTCACTTAGATGAAGACCTTCCACTGATGCCTGAGGTCTGGAATGAGAACTCGCCTCCTGGCGCTGTACACTCACACCGACACCTTCACAAGATATAGAAGTTCCATCCTTGTTTGTGTTCCACATGATCCTCTTAGGTGGAAGTATGCCAGTGACGTTGACATCCCTGTCACTCCCAGTTGACTGGCCTGACGTAGGTAATTCGCAGCCTTTCCGTCCAAAATACCATCCAGATATCTCGCCTTGCTCCTGCTCGATTTTCTGTCCACTTACACCTTCCAATCCAAGTGCAGAACAAACCTTTTCGCGCACGACCAACATATGCCAAAGCTCCTTGCATGCCTCATCCTCTATTTCGATCTCTGCGGTTGGGAACATATTCGACAGTTGTGTTGAGGTCACAATCCCGTTGTTGGCAATAGGCCCTCCCACCGATGCAGTTGAGCTTGATGCGCCAAGTACCTTTGGTAAGCCACTGCCTCCAGCTGCATTGAGCTTTGTAGTGCCGGCAAGAGAAGATTTGCCCCATAGCCACAGGCTTAAGGGTTCTACATCGGACACCCTTAGTGTATGCTGTAAGTGAGCACCGAGTTCTTTTCGGAGACCAGCAACAATCGAAGTAAGAGATCCTAACAAAGCGGCATCAAATTCATCAGTTTCTGCAGTTACACCAGCTGCTGAGGTTGCAGACGACTTAGTGACAGTAGACACGCTTTCCAGGGATCCATTACTGCTGCTGCTGGCTACATTCACATACTGCTGTTGACTAGAGCTGTCTCTGAGTTTTGACTTAAAGTCAAACCAAGCGGACGACTGGAAACTGAAGCCCAAAAATGTTGGACCTTTACTAGAAGGGGCAGATGACGAATTTGTGTGGATAACGGACTGGACGGTTGTCTTCAGACGAGGTTGGGAGTGGGTAGAAGAGACTCTTCCAAAACTGCTGTACGACACTTCAACTGCAGTTCCAGTTAACTGCTTCTTGATGTAAATTAGCAGGTGAGTCCATAGTGTGACTCCTAATACGCGCCACGCATCGTCAGATTTTATATTGACTATTCCTGCTATATTGAAGCCGAATGGTTCTAAGGGTTTCTTCCCAGCCACATGCCTAAAACTACTGGAACCCTTTCTCTCCAGATTCCGAAACCATGTTACTGCATCAAATTCTCTTGAAGGAACCACAGGGCCTGCTGAAGGATCAACCACTGTTGGACCAATGAGAGCAAGAAGGGCCTTAGTCTGCCTGCCCAGCCATGCAGCCGCCACGAAGAAAACAAAGGATAAGAGATTCATAAATCGCGTCCCTTTCTCCTTAAGTGAGTCCTGTTGATTGGCTGCTGTCGTGAAGCGCTGTACTTCGCCACCAAATCGTACGAGCTCTTCCATTTGGAACTGAGATAAAACTCCACCATGGGTAGATCCATCCTCTCCAACGGACAGCTTTCCACCGGAATTATTTAGGATCTCTAATTTGCTCAGCATGGGAGAGGCAGCCCCGCCGCAGGCCAAAACTGCTCTTGCAAGTACCCAGGGTGCCTCAGTTCCGGCACTGTGGAGATACTGAGCTGCTGAGGCAGATAAAGCAGCCTTGGTCGCCAGGTGGAAATCCCTTTCTGGGACTTCAGACAGGATGCCTATCCCTTGTACCAGTCGATCAAGAAGGTATGGACGGTGATGTATACGAGCAAAAGTACTCAACTGAAAATGTTCATCGGTAAACAGCGATTAGTAGAGTGCTCAGCGATTTTATGAAAGAACACTGACAAAAAGGAAGTACGTCCCAAGCACAAACTGAGATAGTAGTCTCCAAACAACAAAAACCCTTCTCCTCTCTGCCAAAATATCAGTACATTGCAACCGACTATACAACCAGTCATGAGCTCTATTGTCAATAACACTATTTATCAATGCAAGAAGCTGCGGGGACTGAGAAGTGAGGCATACAGCTGCAACGACCCAATCGACATCGACTTGGTACTTCTTCTCGAGCAGCTTTATATCACTATCAAAGTTCTTATCTGCTTCTTCCAAGAACGATAAAAGTTTTCCTTCTCCATCCAAACTGTCCGCAGAACCATCCTCTATTTCTCTGTGCTGATCTGTACTACTAGCCCTTTTGGTGCGTTGGATTTGCCTCAAAAGTATTTGTGACATTACAGGATCCTGCCAGGCAGCACACGCTTGACCACCCCAATATGGATGATCTTGAAGAAGTTGCGAAGCACATTGCAGTGCTAAACTGGCTCTCATCTTTCTTTGTAGCCCAGCAACGACCTCCGCAGAGACCCAACCAAGGCCAACCTCTCTTCCAGTAGCATCCGTAAGAGCTAGTTCCATTGCTGGATATGAACGACCGAAGGCAGTTGATGAACTAAAATCGTAGCTGGTTACTTTATAGCTGGTTCCCCCTTGAGACTTGCTGGAATGTTGGACATTCTTGAGGTATTCGAGAACATGAAGCTGAGACAATGAACGTCCCTTTGTTAGCAACTTCGGAATCCAATGTTTCCGGCAATCAAAAACTCTTAAAACAAATTACGAGACGTTTCACTAAAATACGACATATCTTGGCCATAAATAAGTCACTTGTTGAACGCCGCATATGTGAGCTGAAATCTAGGACCTAGAACCTTCAGCAGTAACCAAACATTTCCGTTATTTCCTATAATCTATCGAGAAATCAGTTGAGGAGGTAAATTTAAGTGTTACTTACAGACAAGCCGCTTCTTTTAAGCGCAAAAGCGGATCTTGTTGTGGCGACCTTGGCCATTTCATCAGCTTCTCCAGCATCGCCACTGCTTCGTATGCGAGGTTTCGCAGCGAGCAATGTGCAATAGCTACCCATATCCGGGTCCAGGGGAAACACAAAGCAGTCATTTTCGGATGTAGAAGAGTTAATGTCCTTCAAAAATGGCGGCAGACAGCTGCGTTTCTGTGTTCTTAACTCGCGGATAGACTCAACCCCTCTGCCCAGTATCCACTGCAACAATATGAACAGTCAGTCCGCAAACATGTGCGAGGTGGAGGTGAACTTTAAAGGTGCACAATGTTGAGAGAGGTTCTTGCACAACGGCTTCAGCAACGTCACTATACCTGGAGTAAGCTTGCTAGCCAACCATCACCAGCCTTCCTTGCTGTCGGTAGTGCATACTTTAAGATGATATCACGTCCAATAGGTCCATTCGGGCCCTCGAGGAGAATACAAATTGTAAGGGCAAGCTGAGGATCGCCCATGTTCTTTGCACAGATAACTGCTGCTGAGTTGATATCCTGCCCTAAAATAAAAAACGCTGCAGCCATTTCATGCCTGTGCTTCCCCATCAATACATAAGCATTTTTCAACGCGGCTACTTTGTGTTTCTCCTCCTGCACGAAACACCAAATGTGACTGATGTCAATGACAGCCCACCTCCTCAAGTTGACCACAGACTCTTTATAGAACCTAAGAACCCTTAAACAGAAGCCTGGAAGACAAATTTCCAAGTTAAAAACCTGCCACTTATTATATGGGAATATCATAAGTGGCAGGTTTTTATGAAATCAAATGAAAGAAAGGCACCTTAAAATCACGCGCCATAAAATCCGCTAGAGGCTTATCTCGTTGATCTCTGCTTAGCTTGAACAGACCGGCAAGCACCGAGCGACGATCCAAAGCCACGTAGAGAAGGGCGCAGTCCTTGGGGTCTCTTTTCTCCAAAAAATGCGTCCGAGCAACTTTTTCCATCTGTAGAAGATTAAATCATGTTCCATGGTCACAAACCAACTCAGAGGTGAATATAACTTTCACGATCACCGGCGAACTCTTCAAACAATTCCAATATACTTGAATCAGGCTGAGCAACTACAAGCCATTTGAAGGGTGTTACGAGGCACTGCAACATAAAAGTTGGACGCAATCAAAGGTATTCAGTTAGTTAGATATTCAATAGTTACCTACCTTTCACTAACCAGAACACCAGGAACTTCCAAAAGGGAAAAGTGTTTTTACCGTCTTCCGAAGCAGTGTTGCGTCAGTGTACCAATAACCCATCCCTAATGCACGCATGAAAGACCACGTGCTGGCCTGGTTCGGCAGGCAAAGATCCACGAGAGTATCCTTCGCCTCAGACTGAAGTGCCCATGCCATGGCCTTGGAGTCCACAACAAGCTCTTCAGCAACTAAATGCAAGTCTCTCGCCCACCGGGTATAGAAAAATGCATAGCGATACGCCAACCAGAAACTTCAAGAGACAACGAGAGTACCGCACAGTCAGGAGCCTGCATTAGCCTAGAGAACAATCATAAAGCTATTTCCACCAAATCTTCTAACATTATGCCAGAAACTAGAAGAGCTGATTCAAAAGTCAGCAAAGAGATAAGCAGGAAGACTTTAGCAGGGGAGAGCCAAGCTCGTCAGAAACTTGAGTTATAACTCACGCTTACCGCTGGCCTGGATAGTCAAGACTTTCTGTCGGTGAGGGTTGACTGACACCATCCATCTCGGCTAAGACATCAATAAGGGCCAACAGCTGAATTTTCTCGTTTGCGTCCGATAGTCCGGGAACTTCTTCACTTTCTTTAAGTATTTTGGATACCGATTCGACTTCTAACTTTGTAAAGGGTTGTAAACCTCCACTTTTAATCTCTGCGTTGCCTTTCGCCTCTGTTGCCTGCCCGTTTCCCCAGACCTCACTATTCAACGGAACGCTGAAGTCTGCAAATGAATCTTTAGAATACGTAGATAAGAAGTTTTCAGCAAAATTGCCACCTCCTTCTCCAGCACCACCAAGCAGTCCAAAGCTTGTCTTGCCATTATGTATTCCCACCTGTTCGCCAACTTTATCCTTCTCTAGGAAGAGTTTGCTCAGGGGTGTGCGTGGTATTGTCAATTTGGGACGCTCAGACGCAGCAGTAAAACCCTTGCCATACGTTCCAACACTCGACGGTTCTGTTGAAGGACTTAAAAATCTGGCTAGGTGACGGATGCACGCTCTTGCAGGACCTCTGTTACCTGACAAACCATGATCAAGAGAACTACTTTTAGGGACAAAGATAGTCGACGAGTAAGACAACAGGTCAACTTCCCTGTGAGATGTCACTTTGTAAAGAGGCGGTGCAGACATGGATGTTAGCAACGAATGTCAGTGCAGAAAATTGACATCAACAGTATACGCCTGAGAACGTCTCTCTATGAAAATTGAAAATTAAAACAAAAACATCAACAGCGCTTATGAAGGACAACATACACACCTCTAGACAGCCAAGATAAAATTGCTGCGGGGTGATAATCTAGCACAGAGAAACCGATTTTCTCTGCGGCCTCTAAGATACTGCAAAATCCATTTCCCTGATCGTGCTCAAATTCAGGCACTCGCGGCACACTTTGCTTATTCTTAGAAGGTGGTAGTAGCGATGCAGACGGTCGCGGAAAGTTCAGAAAGAAACCATCGTGAACGACGAGATGCGAAACGGCGTTGCTTATATCCTCTGGCGAGGAACACAACTCAGCAGATTCAGGAGTCCATACGCAGTTGCTGTATATGAGAATGTGACCTTCACAAGTTACTACCAGGGATCCTTGAGTCTCCCATGAAAGGCTACTGGCTGTAATACCAGTCAGTGAGGAGGATGCGAGACAAGCCCACACTCCGCACTCCGAAAGCCCTGTACTTGATTCTGAACCACTTGTTCTGCACTGTGCAAATAAATTTACGCTGCTTTGAGTTGCAACTCCAAGTACTGACAACCCACTTCCGCCTTCCAACCAGCTAAGGAAAATTGAGGGCTCTGTTAAAACAAAGCTTCCTTCCAAACTGAAACCCTTCTGTTCACTGAAAGTATCGGCACCCCAGACATGAACAGCTGTATCGACCCCATCACGTGTCAAACCTGTAGAGGCTATTTTCGCTCCACCATTACAAACAGCAACTCTTGTGACGGGTCCATCATACAACCTCAAGGAACCGACACATCGCCAGGACCGAGACTTGTCGCCTAAATCACTAAACTCTTCAACTCCCACTTTCCACAACCTCAAAACTCCGTCCACACATCCAGTGACAACATCAAATACCTGCTCAAAGTCACTCAGAGTCCTCCTCCTACCCTCAGATGATCCAAAGGAGATATGTTGAGGTGTTGAGACAGATATAGAGATTACGTGCTCCTCGACCTGCAGTGTCGTATACCCCAGGAGATGGCCTTCTACCACAGTCTTATCTCGTTGCCTGTCCTCCGTTTCTTCAATTTCAGGTGCGATTTCAGGTGCAATTTCTGGTGCAATTTCAGGAGAAGCTGCCTCTTTTGCATCGTCGACCTCTTCATCGCCTTTAGAAGAAGAAACTGAAGAAATATCTGAAATGTTTTCCTTCAACGCATGACAGGCTATCTCTTGGATTACAAGTGATTCGGTTGGCTGACACAGAGAAACCTTGATATCCACCTTCCACGAAACTAGATGCATGCCCATACCTCCAACACCCACAACTACACAGCTTTGCACTTGAGAATTCTCGTCATAGGCAACCAGTGAAGGGGAAGTGTAGATTCCCTGTAAGGTACGGCCAATCTCTGGCAAGGGCCATTCCAGGGTGCATAACAGGCTGTGTGATATGGTGAATGATTTCGGTTTCCCTTTCGTTGAGCTCACCTTTTCCGATATAGAATAGCAATCTACTCCTTGAGGATGAGCAAGTAAGAGTACTGCATCAGCCCCAGGAGGAGCCACTGGTGCCCATGCCATCGACGGGAAAGATCCGCCACAATTAACGAAGTGACCTGTCAGCCGGCCAGATAATTTCCACAGGGAATTTGAATATCCAGCAATTTCTAACCTCGGATTAGAAGGAGAACTGCTCGAGAGCCAGAACAATACGGTTCCCAAATCATCTAAAGATGCTACCAACCTCATTGCAGCGTCAGGATGGACTGCGGTCTGCAGAATAGTTCCTCTATGACCATCCAAATGCATTACTTCGCTCGACACACCCCACGCACTCAACTTTCCAACAGAAGCTACAGTACTGGCTGCTCCTGTCGCTACGATCCCGGCCACTGAAGAGCGACCACCAATAGCTGATACGGGTGGCCAAATGCAGGACCACTGAAGAAGATTATCGGACCAAATTTCGAACACATCCACTGATGAAGGAGGACCATACAGTGTGCCATGTGGCCTGTGCACCACTGCTTTCATGGACAGAAGCCTTCCACGATCTTCAGGAGTGACGTTCGATTCAACTGACGGTATAGAAGGGCAGGAGAGTAAGCTGGGTTTGTGCTGCCAAAGTTGAACAAACTGACCGCGTGAAGGTGACAAATCGTCTAGACTCTGTACGGACCAGAGTGTAACAGAGCCGGACGGTCCAACTCCTACTAGCCATTCGCTGGTAATCGTGTCACTATTTTTACTCGGTGGGATACTTGAGGTATCGCCTGGGACACTCGATTTCCTAGCAAAACCTCCCCGTGCCTCGGGCCACGATATGAAGATATCTTGTCCTAAAACACCTTTCAACGACGTGTTCACATCAATTACAGCACTCACAAAGAATGCAAGCTTGAACTGGTTCTCGGTCCCAGGTGAAACCTGATCTGCCGCAGCAGAACCCGTCCTCGAACCAAAACTGCCTATCTCCGTCCACAGTCTAACAACACCATCCTGACAGCATGTCAAGAGAACAGGCCTGAAGGTTTGGGAGCTCAAGGTGAAACCTCTCAAAGGCCTCCACTGCACTGATATGAGCTGATCAGGGTGAGAAAGTTCGAGCACCTGCAGATCATGTCCATCTTCCCACCACCATACTTTTACAAGATGGTCCTCATCATCCTCCCGGTTCGAAACAGCACCTGAGGGACAACCTTCTGCGGTAGCAGCAATTCCTCTTGCAAACCAGGACGCGGCGCAAAGTGTATGAGGCTGCTCGAGATTCGAACGCCACAAACACTCCCACGTGTTTTCACGTTGTTGCCACATGACAATCTCGGATCCGACTGAAAGAAGGCCATCACCAGACTCCGTCCACGCAAAAGAACGGACTTCAGTGCAGTGTTCAAGTACCTGAACATTCAACCACCTCAACGGTACCTCTGCAAGGAACACAACCACGAGGCTGTTGTAATGGCAAGCTAGCCTTTAACGCAAATCGGACACGGTGCTCTTATCAACTTCATCGATTGGATAGACAGTATGGTATTATTGAACATTATATGACCGAAGAAGCAGTCAGCAAGTTACCGGAAATATTGTAACCTCATGTGACGAAGTGAAGATTCCACCCAAAAAGAAGCCTAAGTCAAATGATATCACGCCAGAATGCAAGGATCTTCAGAAAGATCTATTCGGCACGCTTTACTATACACATGATCGGGTCAAAATGTAAATTATACATGACGTACGACCAGGTATTAGATCTCAAGCAAATGCACACAGAAACGCGAGTATATATGGTCATTAGGCAAAGCAAAGAGGTAAAACTATACCTGGCCACTTCTGCTTTGAGTTCTGAACTTGACTAAGTCCTTCAGGGCGAAATAAGTACAAATGTCTGCCTGCCACTGCTGCAAGCAATCCAAGTGAGGGACCACTGGGAGCCCAGCCAACACACGTCACCCACTCTCTTCCTTTGTCACCCTCCTTTGGACAATCGGTGAGAAGAACTTCATGGAAAAACCCGCCCATAGCAGCCTCTCCTTTGTTTGACGGAGAGGGGGCCATAAGGACAACGACACTAAATTGAGCGCCATAGGCTAGCCAACTAAATCCAGCAAAAAGTGGCAGCCAATCTACGGCATTTGGGTCGTCATTTGGAGCAGGATATACGTCCTGTTGAACGGACAGCTCAAACAGTCCTCTTGATTCTTCCATAATGCCAAGTTAGAATTCACAATTCAGATCAGGTTGATCTGATAAATAATAACATCTCGGGAGATGAATTTGAGCAAACAACTCCGTTCATTCAAAACTCAACTCTTGACAATGAACGTCACTCAGCTGCCCAACACCGAACAATGCTGGTTGGATCTCTCAACCAAGAAGAGAAGAGCTCCATTCATAGAGGGCAGGCGTTGTATAAGCCAATTTCCTTCTGAAAACGCCTCCTTCTCGAATATGATAAAAAATGTGGCAGAAGTCCTGACTCTGACCAGAAGGTAACAGGGATCTCCCCAGCACTTGCCCATTTCGCATTTTAGCTCCTTCCTGATCTGAAAAAAACGAGCCAGATAAACCGTCACTCCATGCTCAAATCTGGGCTCGCTTTACCCCGATGATCTGTGCGGAAGAATTCGTACCGCATAATTCTGTGGATGTAGATTTCCATTCACCGGCATAACCGGAGCCAAATCTGAATTCTGGCGCAATTTTGGCGATTCAGGGGTCCAGAAAATTACTTGAACGCACGGACATTGTCAGCACGTCGTAAAATTTAAAGTAAATTACAGACCGTGAGGACCGATACACTAACATTCGATTTGTCGAGTTGCCCTAAACAACATTCAATTTCAAGTCTCTCAATCCTGGATCACAGACACCTCTGGGGGAAGACTTGATATCACCGAAGCGAGTGCAGATCTTGCTCGCATCTTTTAATACCTCATTCCCAATTTCGCGAACTCAGTCGCCGATCTAACTACCTGATGCAAAGCCAAAAAATGAAACCGCAACGGAAAACGAATTCAGACCCTCGAACAATCTCATCGACGGACAATTGAGAGCTCAAAACTGGAGACAGTCACCGCAGATCTGCGGATCAATTCCGCAACAACGGTGCCCGACACAGATCGGTCAGCACATGCACACGGCCGGAAGGGAAATCTTACCTCGACGCATGCAGGAGTCGACGGAGCTCTTCAACGAGCACCCATCATACTGTCAAAAAGACAGAGACGATCGCAGGGGAAGAGCGACTTGTCCGGACCAGACGGAGACAGGGAGGGAAGCAGCAGAGGTGCCAATGGATCATGAATGCGGCCGAGTCAATTGCAGTGAAGTGAAGTGCTTGTCTGTCTGGGCATGGTCCCTGCGCAGACGAGACGAGGACAGAGACAGCCAGGGCCGAGGGTCAGGGGGCATGAATTCATGCCATCATTCCTTCCCTTCCCTTCCCTTCCCCTCCCCTCCCCTCCCCTTCCTCACAGAATGAATGAGCAGGCCAGCAAAAGTGCAGCCCACGCCAGCGGCCAGCCTGTTACGTCTGTCACCGTCTCCTCCCGTGGCCACCGTGTGCTGCCCGCTTACTGTAACCGGGGTGCCCACCACGGTGCGCGCTTCGCTGTACGTGGTCGGCGTCGTCGTTGCGGTGCCTTCCTGCAGTTTTCGTTCGATGTGATGAATTGGCGTGTGGGCATGTGTGGTCATGAAGAGTGGAGTTTCCAAAGCTTTGACAAAACACTGCGAATCCTGGTCGTTCAATTTCCAGGCCGGAAATCGGTCTCTCGGCATGTTCGTTCGGTCTGGTGTGAGCATCGTCAGGATTGAAATTGATATTTTATACGCACAAAGTGGCATTTTCTTCTTCTAGCGCCGGTCGTGTGTGTGACGAAATGTATTCATGGCAAGGAGTTAAGGAAAGCATATCGAACCATTTACAATCCTGCATGGAGTGGGGCAGAGCTTTTGGACTAGGTCGTGCACTGCGAACATTCGAGCATTTCTTCCAATATGTACAGATTCCAGTGCACCTGCTAGCAACGCAAGGAACAAGTTTCAAGAAATAGTCATGAATGTGACGCTTGCCCTTGTGAATCTATACATTGGAATCAAATTTTGTATGCGGCCAATCAGCACGTAAATAATATAAGAAGCAACGACTAAACTGCGCATTTAATGGGCTTGTAATAACTATTGGCTGAATAATAATGGAATAAAATTAAAGTCATGAAGCAACGACTAAATTGACCATTTACTTGGCTTGTTATAACTCTTCACGCTAAAAACTTCACCACCATCTTCTTCTTCCTGAACGCATGCGTTTTAACAACTGTATGATAGGAAATGATAGATCAAATTTTATTCACCACGCGCGAGAGAAAATCTTCTTGCTTATGCTACAAGCCAGCTCACTACAAATCAAATGTAGTCAACTGTGCTAATACCATGTTCAATCGCATGTTTAACTTTCATGTTGGCATATCATGAGGTTTGGCTGCAATCGATACTATTAATAATGAGTCCCACTCGATTCCATAGCTTTGATCAGTTCTTGTTGCAATATGATAGGATGATCCGCGGTTGATTTTGTGGAGATTGACTTCTGCAACCGCAATGATGATGCAATCAGTAAAAGACACTAACATTAAATTCATGTAACCCACCGCTAGTTTATATGTCTGTGCAAGAGCTAGATTTTAGTGAAATTCAAAGTCTTTGCAATGAGAGTCTGGAGATGGATTAAGTAATCTGTACATAAATATAAACAACCTGAGATTATTGGATAAAAAAATTTCAAGATTGAAATTAAAAGGGTTTAACTAAATAAATCTCGACCCTAAACAAAAGTTTCCCTAAGTTTCATATGGGGGTAAACATTCCTTCGATTCATATGTAGCTCACTCAATTTTTACTAGTTGAAAGTAAAAATAACAAAAAAAATTCCCTTTATATGAAGAAGGCATTTTAATCAACTACTTTTAATGTGAAAGCAGCTAAATAATCATGTAAACACAGCACTTTGTCATTTTATACTACTTATAACTGATTTTATCAAGATATAACTCATATATTGAATAATCTTTATTCATTTGACTGTAATAAATATGACTAAGACTACATTACTCTACAGACAAAACTGAAAGAAGTTCAGTAGAAAATATCATGCTTATTTTTTACCGAGCAATTTAGAAAATTAGAGCAGCTATTGCTGTGCACGCATGATATGATAGACAGGCTAGTTTTTCAGTGGAATGATACTATATTTTGAATGAATATTCTGATAAGAGGTGAATCAAACAGCCCATTGTGCAGATTTTGACGTGTCTGTCAAATATTTTACCCAAGAATTCAAATCGATTAAGGCTTGTGACGAGCCGATAGTCATTTGTAAAACAAACTAAGACAACTTTGTGAAGTTTATTTGCGTTTTGTTGCGTAACAGTTGGAAACTGTTCCTTCAACGAGAAATTTGGATAGAGTTGTTCTAACATATTTCAACCAATCAAAAGTTCTTAAGAAAAGTTATATTAAGAAAGTGTATTATGACCTGATTTGAAAAGATTCATCGCATAAATTTGCATCATTTCAACTGATCATATATACAAGTTTAGAAATTTTATAATAGATGCATAATATGTGGATATACCAATATGATGACACAATGTGTATTATATTTCTAATTCCAAAATATGCAGATAAGGTTCATTTTATCAGCTCTCAACGTAATGCACGATGAAATTTTCGTTTGACATGCAAGATGATTTGATCGTTAGTATATTGTCTGCAATCTTCTAACCATAGGCTATTGTAGGTACATATCATGTTAAAATGATCTAACCTGCAAATTGTGTTCGTGTATGCCAATAAATATATTTTGATATTTCATATGTAAGATATATAGGAATGTTAATATGACCTCAGATATATATTTTATCAAAAAATGATATTTTGTACACAAGTTCAAATATCATCAAATATATAAAACACACTCAAACATGATAATACACACTTCAAGAATAATGACTATTGACTACTAGCTGAAACTATTGCAAAGATCTCTAATTTGATGGTGTTATTCTGTACACGAAGGATTGGGGAAACCAAAAACACACTCGCAGCTATATTTGAACTTGTGAGAAAAAAATTATATTTTTGACAGGTCATGTGAACTTGAGTCTATGGTAGTTATAACAATTTATGTGTTCTTTTTAACATTCCCATTTATATATCTAGATATTAATGTTATGTGCATAGTGGAATACGTTTCAGACTGATTTCAACGTTAGAGAGTCATGGATAAGTTACTAGAACTAATATAATTCAGATGATTAGGATTTAAATTTATTCCAGGAAGTCAACTTGGACAATTTTGTGACTTGGGTTAAGCCACATGGTTCTCAAAATGAAGACAATTGTTCACAAACAATAATTCAATAAAAACTCTTCACATGTAGGCCGATACGCGGGCAAAAGTTGAGATCTTAAACTGTGCCTGTAATGAAAAACATAAATTTGGTATTGTACGGTTAATTAGTCCTTCCATGCTCCTGACATGACATGTATATCTCGAGGTCGACACAGATGTGCACCACATATGTCAGTACCATAGAACTACAATCATACCTTAATGAATAGTATTACGTCTCAATCTTTCACTAATCATGAAGTAATGGAGTAAAGAATTTCCAATAAACTCGGCACGTCTTTCTTGATTACGGGATCTCTTCTTCTATCCGAGGCCTCCGGCGAACTATTGGGGCGGGCACGGCTCGTACAGTAACACGTTCCAGTCGCTTGGATGAATTTTAACAATCTGGGACCCAACAGTCCAAGGCGAAGGTGAAGGACGGAGAGAATGTATGGACTTGATTGAGGTGTGGACCCATTCTTGCAGGGCCCAGTCTTCATCGTCTCGATCGATCGAGGGATGGGATGTGGGGTCATGGGGCGATTCGACCAGCGAGGGAGCGAGGGATGCGAAACCTTCGACGGTGATTCCCGTCCGTACGGGCAACATCATGTCCGACAGACAGATCCAATCGAATCCAGCGATTTGCCTCTTCTTCATCTTCCGCTGAAGTGCGTCGAGATCGCACTTCTTCCACGGAATTGAATGGGGGCGGAAGGCCGATCACATGCCACGATGACGAGTCCTGCCTTCGGATTTACATCGTACCATGCAACTGCGCTATGCGTCCAAGGCTTCGTTCATCGAATGCTCCGACAATCTCATCATGTTGTCGTTCCGTAAGATGGCAGCGCATCGAAACGCAGAAGTCGAGGTTTCGTTCGAGCCGGCCATCCACGGGAATCCGCCGCCACGCCCAACGCCCGCGACGGTGGGGCACACGCACACACGTGTTCTGGTTCCTGTGAAGAATACAGCGCAAGCATGCACGCGTCTAGGACACAGACCGACCGGATTCACAGACACGAACTCGGACGACGCCATAGACCTCGACGGACGAAGACGGGAAGGTGCAGTGGAAGCCACAAGTCACAAGCAAGGCCAAACTGGAATGGGCATTTAACATCGGACAATCAATTACAATCCATCAACTTCAGTACTTGGAACGGCCATCTACCGCACACAACCTGCTGTCTCTCATGTAAAGTACGACTGTCGGCCTGGAGACGATGTGCTGCACATGAGATGCAGTGCAGTGCAGGATCAAAGTACCAGTATTCCACAGTCACATCATGCCATGCCGTGCCGCAGACCTGGAGCCACATGCGACCGATTCTCGCTTGGTGATGACCGATACCATCCGGCATGGGAGCACCGCACAGTTGGTGTAGTGGGAATTGACACAGATTTGAGCGATTCAAGAGCAAGAAGCAAGACGGCATTGTGGTTGAGATCACCATCCAACACTATATACACCATGAACTCCACCCAAGAGCAAAGGGAGGGCTAGGATTTTTTGATGTTGGGATTGCGTGCTGAGTGGAAGACATTCACAAACATTCCAGAAGTCATAAGTCGAGAATTGGGATCTATAAAAATACATGTATCTCTCGATTCGAGTGCAAGAAACTGCATATGCTTACACAAACGCCAGATAAACACCATGTCAGATGCATCTGAAATTCGCTCCTACTTGTCTGCCCCGTCCTACAAAAACCCACTCTTTGTCGTACATTCTTTCCTCACAATTATTTTAGATGGAAAACGCAAAGTAGCAGTAATAGTAGTAGTACCCTAAACCCTACGTGTATACAATACCGCCCGTCTATTTATCTCCCCGATACCCATCATCATCAGCTATTGTGAATCAGTAGAGACCATCTCTGCAATTCGCTATGTGTTGAAGAATGGCTCACAAGACATTGTCACTCACACAATCAAACAATCCTTGGCGAAGTCCCAACGTGAAACGCTGTACGCAACGGTAAAGAAGAAAAAAGGAGAGTAGGAGAATGATGTTTGCTACTTACAGGAGCACATAAGGGTCATTGCTGCGAACAAGCGCAGAGAAAATCGAGAGATGATGCTTGTCTGATTTTGAGGCAAATGCGCTTTGGAAGATCTAGGAAAAGGAAGCAGTATCATGATTGACAAGCAGCAGAAAGTGAGGAAGTGGTGGTATCATCGGAAGAATTCAATCAAGAGATTATCTGCTGATGACTCCTGAAACAAGTCAAGTCTGTGAAGAAGAAACCTCTTTGTGCCACAAGCACAGCCCTAATTTTCAGACTGAACTCAAATCATCATGTCTCCCTGACGATAAGCAAGATGCAGTCCTACTCATATGAAGGAAGCAACCTGGTGCAATCCAGACAACATTGCCATTACCCATGAACCACCTTGCGTGGGTCTAGCTGCCCACTGAAGTAACTTGATGAAACAGCCGATAATTCTTGACGCCCTGTCCACTCCTCACCGGGTTTCACCACAATGGCCTTCTCGACCGCAGCTGCTTCCACGCAGAGCATGAACTTGTACTCGTCATCGCCGAAGTCTGTCATGGCTTTGGACTTTCTTTCCCACGGATTCCACACGACCGCGTCCGGAAGCCCGTCTTTTCTCAACACGAAAGTCCGCTTCTTCTCGTGATCAATCACTGCGATCTTGGTGGGCGTACCCAAATAAATTCTATCAATCTCGTTATCAAAGGTAATGGCATCTCCTTGTTCCGTCAACCGCTCTCCGTCCTTCAGGTTGTCCAGATAATCTAGAGTCTCCAGGCCTTCCACCCGCACCTCGGTGATATCGGCCACCGAGAGGTATGTATGCAATGCGAACGTGAAGTTGAAGGGCCTGGTGTCAACATTCTTGACCTTCACTGTCATGGTTAGGTCGCCGCTACTGCCCAGAGCTACTCGTAACCGAAGCTCGAAATTATGTGGCCAGATCTTCATGTCTTCCTCCGTGGGAGTCAGCATCAGCTCCACAATCGCCTTGTTGCTCACGATGGGCGTCACCGCACTCCCATCGTTGACGATGGTCGGTAAAGGGGCCGATGACTCGACGACTTGCCAGAGTCTATTTCTTGCGAACCCGTGCTGCTCCAACGATCCAAGGCCCCCGAACTGAGGGAAGCAAATAGGAATTCCGCCCCGGACCGCCTTGGGAGGTTTGTAGATTGCCTTACTGCTCAGAAACAGCAATTCCTCGCCCCGCTCATTCTTCCACGAAGTCACTTGCCCACCGAAGAGCTGAACCTGAGCTGAGGATCCTTGCGGTTCTCGAAGCACGATCTTGTCGAAGCCACTTGTCGCATCCTTGACCACATCCACCATCATTTTCTCGCCTCCCTCTGGCGCTCGAGCTTCGCCGGCAGCAAAGAAGGCCAGAGACGACGGAGACGAAGGAGAGGAGAAATGCTCTGCTCGAGAGAAGGCGAGAAAAGGGAGTTCCGACAGACAGACAGGAGAGGGAAGTACCAGTTCGAAGACCACTCGGGCGCTCAAACCCTGTCTGTCTGTTTATGCGGAGCACGTGCCCCGAGTCACCTCCTCCCCCTTGCGCTGCCGGGCCAGGCAAGAAAATCGACGCGCTGCTGAGGCACTCACTCACCGCACTAGCGCTCCCTCCGGCCTCCTCCCACACTTACTCACTGCTGATCGGATTCCACCACGGAATCGTTCATAGTCACTCGCCCATGGACACCTATTGAGGAGTACATTTATGCAGAAATGTCTTGCTAGAGACGAGTCCTGTCCAGGTCCTGTAACCAGATGAGGATCAGCTCACTAAATTCTCATGTGCCCCGGGTTCCCGACCTGCTGCGTCGACACACGGAGCGAGCGAGGGAAGCAAGGGCTCGAGGCAGAGCAGAGCAGAGCGCACAGGCCGACAGGCAGGCCACGCTGGGGGGGTTTGCTAACAAGTGGGCGCAGTGTAGAGAGAGTGCCGTGGTGTAGTGGAAGGGCGAGCTGGGGCCTGAGACACGGCCGGTTTCCGTCCCGGCTCTTCCCGGTCAGCTTCCCGGTGGAGGAGCCGCCGCCAATTTGGCAAGATGCGACCGCCGCTTGTCTCTTTTGCTTTGCTGATAAGTGCAACGTCGGCACTTTAGAGCAGAGCGCCCGTCGGCGCATGTGGCCTCTGGAACGAGGAGCCGGATATTCACTCGCCGGTTTTACTGCTGCCGGTGCGCGTGACGTGCTGCTGTAACTGTCTCCGATCGTGATCCCGGTGCGTTCCGTCGTTCCTTCACGGGACCCTCGGGCGCCGAGAGCCGTGACGAGCCCTGGGTCGGCTCGCTGGCTTCGCATGTGCTCGCGCAGTCGGTTACATGAAGTACACGACATGATTTGCCCATCCGGCTTCCGGTTCACACGTCTCTTCGAGTCCAGCGTGGCCGCCGCGACATCGATTTCGGCCTCGCTAACGAAGTCCGTTGGGCGTTGGACTGAAGATTCGTCGTATGAGTTGACCGGTCTTTTCATGCATGCTGCGATCAGATCGTCGAGCGAGAGCTCCGTGCACAACGCGGTGTTGGTTATCGCTGAGCTGTTCTTTCATGGCAGTTGATCGCCCAGACACATGCGGGAGTTGAAAGGGGCCCGTCTGTTTTGTATAATTTACATAAGGGGTCGAGAGTACATAGAAATGTTCGATCAAGTAGTTCGAACTTAGCCGTGCAATATCCGTGCCAGACATCTCCACGTCGTCGAGAGGTCACGTCTCCTGAGAACGTCTTACGCTACCTTAGCCAAAAATTCACTTCCCAACCCTCTACAAGTAGGAATTTTGCTTCATGTATGCTGCCACTTCCGCAGCGCTTTCGTACGCGAACTCTACACACCTACCCAGTGCCACACCGGCAACATAATTCCCTCCCAGGAAAATGCCGTCCAATTGTGCTTCCTTCAGCCCGTTCCTGGCGTCTTCCAGGGTATCGAGATGACCAACTGTAAATTGGGGAATGGCACGGGGCCACACTCTAACGCCATGTACGACGGGAGCTGGCGCATCCTTCTTCACTAGCATTATCCTCGCGTCCTTATCCACAATGGAAACTATGTCCTCTTCTTTCTGAGACGGACAATTCGCCAGCAAAGAGTCAGTTTTGAGGTTTTCATTATTCAATTCCAGGCTACGAGATCTGATGGTCAAGTTCGAGCCGAATACAGTACAAATCTGCAACGACCGAGCACGTATCGGAGAAACCTACTTTGGGGCATCAAAAACGACATCACAATACAAGTGCTTACCATGGTGGTGATTTGAGTATATGTGGCCCCACCTATGTAGTTCAGCAACAGTACCCTATCTTCAGGTGCTCGCCCTGGGAAAAGCGACGAACTGTAGAGAGTGCCTAATACAGTTCAAAAAACCATGTCAGACGAAGGTGAAGCTTCACAACCTCAAGGCACCGAGGCAAAGGGCGGGCAATGAAACTGAATCGCGAACCAGATATCCTCACCTAGAGTTTGAATGCCTTGACTGCGAGGATGAAGCTGGCCAAACCCCTTCAGTTGGCCGTCTACGATACGTTCCTCCTTGATTGCAGATTTGGGATATGATATGGTGACTGCGGCTACGGGAGGGTAGTAAAACTTTGCTAAGGCGTTTGAAGTCTTTTCCTGTTCAGGGATTCAAGCATAGACACTCGTCAACTGCTAGACGGCATCCATACTTCAAAACGACCACGCGAGAGAGAGAGAGAGATTCTTCAATTCAAGCAAAGACAAGATAACAGCAGCATATCCTCTAAGAGAAACAGGAGTGAAGGCCAGAACAGTACATCCATGTTGTTTCATTTTAGATTCCATCATCTTGTCAACAGGCAACGCCTGTGACTTTATTTGTGACATCTTCGTTTCTTTAAGTGCCAATCTTGGCTGCCTTTCAACTCGATGATCCATGGGGACAACTGACAACTGCAAACACGTAGATTCAAGCGCTACCACTTTCGCACATTCTGTTGTGAAGCAAGCTTGCACCTGTGAATGAATACTGGAAGTAGCAGGGACATCTGTATATATCTTACAGACAGAGTGGGACTTACAGATAATGGGGCCAGAAGATCTTTCGCGATATATGATGGTACCGTCAGAACGATCGACTTCGTCGACACAACTTTCTTGCCTTGGGGGGTCTCATAAGTTAGGCGATACTCGCCATCACCTGACTTCTCGATTGATTCAAGCTTCCAGTTGACCTTCACCTTGTCTCCCAATCTTATACAGCGACCAGTATATGTGATCAGCGTACCTAACGGGGTGGACCTTTCAATAAAACGCCTACCAGACTTGCCTGACTTATTGGGGATGAAATCTTACGAAGTATGAGCAACCTCGAGGCGGAAGGGCCATGCAAAATAAATCTAGATACTGACGGTTTGCACACAACAGCATGAAGCATGTATCACGGATATCGTTCATCAAACAGTCAGAATGATGCAAGTGATTTTGGGCACCAGATAGTGAGCCTTACTTCGCTGCGATGGCGTTCGGTAAAGTGCTCAATCCTTTGCGGAAAGAACCAACAGTCTGCCCTTTAGGTGTGGGCAATCGTCTGTATAAAACCATCAAGCAAACTTAGAGGTCAGATTTTCAAAACTCACCTGGATAAAAGAGCCCCTTCACTTAGTACTACTTTCACACGAACCCTTTAAACAGGACATAAAACGAGTCTAGGTGCATATTCCGAAACACTGCAGTAGTCTTCGACGCTGCTCACAAACATGTACAATCTGACTTCTTAGTAGACACTTGTGATTAAAATCCATGTAAACTGTAGCAATTGCTACTACAAAAGCATTTTTTGGTCCACAAAACTGAAAGAAGTCGAGGCATGCCCAATGATGTACAATCCTACTTCTAAGTAGACACGTGTGATTACAATCCATGTAAACTGTAGGGACGGCTACTACAAAAGCTTATTTTTGTTCCACAAAACTGAAAGAACGCGAGGCATGCCCAATCCTGACTTACGGATCACGTGGAGGAGGAGGGTTCTTCTTCTTCTCCTGGATGACATTGATCGCCCCTTTCACTATGCTTCCGTGGAAATGCTCCAGCTTCCAAACCTTGCCGAATGCCGCTTTCATGCTCAACTTTGCGGGATCGCCTGCATAAACTCCTGTTTGTGCAATACATTGAAGATTCTCAATTAGTACAAAAATTAAAAACAGGGTGAAAGTGCAGAAATACCTATCTTTGGGACCTTCTTATACTGCAGATCTCTGAAGTGCAATCATAGAGCAATAATTCCTGACTGCACTACATACTGGACTTAACACCTGTTGAGGAAGTCTGGAACGTACCAGAGCAGAAAGGCTCAATCAACCTCTCAAAAACCTCATCTCCCAGGTTGCGCCTTACAAACTCCTCTACAGATTCCTCTCTGTCCTGCGTGTTTCCAGAAGTAAAGAAGTCCATTCAGCATAAGTAGACGGAGCCAATTTTCCTGTATTTAGACCAACTTTTTAACTATATCCCCAAATACTGGCGATGAACACTTCTCCACATTCATAAAATAGCATTCAGGATGTGGTGGAAAAGACGCTTACAGGAGGAGGAGGTTTGAATCCCAAGGCACCGAATCCAGCACGAAGCTTTCCAAAGATGGAGAGAAGGTCAAAAAATGGCAAATCTGCGGGTCCAGCAGGAACTGGGCGAAGTTTCCCATTCCAGAAAACGAAACGAGGAGCATCTGGATCTCCTAACACGAGCTCGTCCTTCACATCACTGTCCACCTGTAAACTTGATTAAAAGATGAATTCAGTGGCATTTCTTCGACACAGGACCGCGATGTCCACAACGAATCTCCCGAGAGATACACAAGCCGGAATTAAAATCAGGCAACTTTCTGAAAGGCATGAAGTGTCACGCCATCGAGAAGAAAGTTATAAAAAAAAAAAGGTGACAAAACATCCTGTGAGGATAAGCTTCGGACGACTAAGCGGACGTCAAATTCGTCAGGACGCAGCTCACTATACAGTTTACAAAGGTCGACGATGATAATCCCGAACCCTTCGATTCCAAAGCGTCAATGCATCCTTACTCTACTAGACTTTGCTTTCAACAAAAAAATGCACTCACCGCCATTAACAGCATTGAGTCATTAGGCTGAAAGCTGTTGGGACCTTCTTCCCACATATAACCATCGCCCTCCACTGTTGTGATGTTTCCTCCAACTCTGTCCCTCGCCTCTGTGACCAGGAAATTGTCCCCCATAGAATGCCTAGTTGCGAGGGCCTAAGTGATCACACCATTAAGAAATCAGCAACACTCATCCCCAATGTGAACAACGGTGAGCAGCTCCGCCAAGGGCAAAAGATAGAATTTAACTGTTCCTGACAATTCAACCATTCACATTCTCCGGTGTCGGCATTATACTTCTCCAGCCCATCCTCAGACTGCGATCGAAGACCACTGAAGCGAATGAAGTATAATTCGGCAGCTCACCTGAGCGGTACACAATCCTGATATACCGGCGCCTACGATAACGCACTCATACTCCTCGCCGGAACTCTCCGCCGCGCCATCTGCTCCAGCAGTCGGCGAGGAAACCTGGAGGACTTCGTTGGCCTTGGCAATAACCAAACCTTGCAACAGAAATTTCGAATTCCTCGAGCGGGGGAAACGCCTCGCGGACCTGAACGCTCTAGAGACGAAACGCGCAGGGAACGCAAGAGCCGAGTTCGAGAACGACGAGGACACGGCCAACGCAGGAGGCGCCCACAGCGATGGAACGATCGACATCGCGACCACTGTCTGCTCTTCGGGCAATCCTCGCGGTCGAGCAATCCAGAGAATTATAAGCGTCTCGTCTCGTCGTGCCCCAATGCTTCCACAGCTGCGCGACCCGCGATCCGCCTCTTCCTCTGCCTACGAGGCTAGCGTCGCCGGAAGTACACTGCCGCCGTGGCAGAGGATTCTTGAAGAGCAGCCGCGGGCCAATGGGGCGCAGCTCCCTGCGGCGGGCCGGGAGGATAAAGCCGCAGATCACCGGATGCCACTCGGATCTCGCACCTGCCGCGCGGCGCCACGCGACGGGACGGCCGGGCAGCCGGTTCTGCCCGCGTGTCTCCGGGGCCCCGCAGCCCCCGCTCTGACGAGGTCGGCCTCGCAGAGCTGGCGCCGACATGTGATGATGTGGTCGCCAAGCGGGCGGATGACCGAGCAGAGCCAACTGGGCACAGTCTTTGTGCCGAAGCTCGGCGAGGACGGGCTCGTTTCCAGCGTGACGAGCTCTGCTGATTTTGCTGCTGCTGCTGCTGTGGAGAGTCGTCGGCCAGAAGGACAGGGAGACGGAAAGGTGACATTCTGCTTCGTCAGTCGTGCTTTTGGTCCGGGAGATTCCGCCATGGACTTGGATGGCGAAGTGCGGTTGTAATTTGGATCCATGCTTTAGGATTTTGGGCGACATCGCTTCGGAGTCGGAACTTGTGGCAATGGGGATAGGGAACAATGCGGGCGAGATTGGTCTTTCGAGTTGGAGTTTATGTGAGGACAGTTGTAGATGATTGGCCAATGAGACTCGGAGTGGTGAGGCGGCTTGTCAGTTTGCGTTGAGTCTAGCGCAACTTTCTTTGCAAGTGGAGTTGGCGCAGAGCTTATGACTGGTTCACAGATGGAATTTTGCTGTGCCAAAATTTTGAGAACGAATCTTGATGGTAGCGGTTGGAATTTAGCTGGGGAAATTTACCCAATTTTTTGCCCTTGTTAATCGAACTATTCGGCCTCTATCGCTTCTGCATTTGATAAGTTGTCATGCCGTCAATCAAATCAAGTGAAACATAGCAGTTCACCTTGTCATGCTCTTCGTCTCTCTCAATTTCGATCAGTCTCGATGTCGGATTAGCAAGGAAGATGATGAATATGCAATTAGAGCTACAGACGGGTCAAGTTTCAAGCGTCCTCAAGTCGTTCTGGATCCTAAGCCCTTCGTTCTTCTCTCAAGGATGACGTCACAAGAAGACACAGTAAGCAGGGACCAAGGGAACACAATAGCACACTTCGAAATTGCAGTTGCTCTAGTATTGTGTACACTCAAGTCTTCAAGGCATACTGACCGAATGGCTTCGAATGCCGTTCTTAAGTGGTACGATCTAGAGCAGCAAGGTTGAGGATTTGACGTAGGGTTGACTGTTGAGGGTTTGGAAGCCCCTGTTGTTTCTGATCTTACTTAGACCCTTTTCTGTTTTACCCACTTTACAGAGGAGGAGATGATAGCTCCGGGCAACATGGGGGCGCTCGGTTCGAACGATGCTGTTAATCTGCTGTTCACGTGGATGATGGGCTCGAGGAGTTTGAATTGCAGGAAGAGCGACGCCGTTGGAGGCTGGCATGCAGTGACAGCGTCGAGGTGTGGACTAGGTTTATTTGGAAGCGGTGCTCATTTACAGCTTCGGAACTTTCTGTCAAAAAGTTTAAACCATTCTCGTTCTCTCCATTCTCCGGAGCAGCCATGGAAGCATTCGCCGTCTAGGATCGGAGCGCGGGGATTACCTTATCAGATGAGTCTAGGCATTTTGTCGTCAAATCTTTGGAGCTCTTGGTATATGGGTCCGCAAGGGCAGAACTTAAGCGACAACAGGAGTCAAATCAGATTGGCGGCATTCGGAGGTGTTTCTGCTGATGGTTCGCCATCACCTACGGACGATAAAAGTCAGTTCCCTCGACGGAATCTTACTAACTTTCTGTTGGGACTGAACATTTTGTAAGTTCAATTCTCTTGTAAGTGCTCCGCTGACGCCTAGTGCTTGATGAGAAAAAAAGGCGCGTTCTCCACCCACTTTGTTCTGAGCCTTTTGGCCCCGAACAGGCCATTAGTGAATCTAACTGAAAGCTACCATCGTTGCAATGTGAGACTATGGCTTGACCCTGCAGAGGGTCGGACCAACATGTTTACATGGCGTATTGTCGGGAATCTTATATTTGACCGTGCGCAGAGTTTTCATCGCGCAAGCAGCCACACAGGGAAAACTGCTCTTGGCAGGTGCTAAGGTCTGAAATTCAACGCCTCGGTCTTTTTCGTTGTACTTTTCCTCCTTCCTCCTTGTTGAAAGCTCTGCAATGGATAGATGGGTCTCTTCAGTCGCCTTGTAAGATCCGACCTAGCAGACCTCTTATTTCCGCTTCTGTATCCCTCTCTTCATGGGCAAAGCGAGGTTTGTCCTCATTGGCCATGTATTACTACTCATCTTCAATTGCTCGCCGAGCTGATTGAGATTTCGCTAGAGTTCTGGATGAAGGAAAGGCGGTAAACTTGAAGATGGCGTCCATAATCTGCTACACTGCTTCTTTGTATGTTCTCTTGGAAGTAAGCTGCAGTGACAGCCACTTACTTTCCATGTTCACAGGTAAATAGCTTAATCGATAAAGGCCAATTCTGGAGATTACTCACCCCTGCGGTTCTTCATGCGAACGTTTTCCATCTTCTTGTAAGACTCTTCTCTTCAGGATCTTCCTTCAGGACGTCTGGCTTCCTTCTTAGATTTCTGATATTTTTAAACTCGATTACATTTCTTCCAGTTTTTCTTATCTTTAGAATTTTTTTGCAGGTCAACTCGTATTCACTGAACTCCGTTGGACCATCTGTGGAGGCTATAGCAGGACCGAAGAGATTTGTTGCAGTCTACACAATATCTGCACTAACAAGTACCACGATAAACCCTTGTTTTTGCTGAAGTGTCTTACTTTGAGATTACCTTCTTCAGAAGAGTATTAAGCTTCGGACGTGAGACTTTTTCTTAGAGGATCTGTCTTCATTGAGAAAAGTATATGAATACATGCTTGTCTTCCTCAGGTACAACCTTAAGCTACTGCCTCTGCAAATCTCCTTCCGTCGGTGCTTCAGGTGCTATTTTTGGTCTTGTAAGTTGATTTGAACACTTACACGTCTCCCGCAATGTATATCTTGAATCTGACGGGCTGTTTTCTACAAGACTCTTGATCTTTGGCTTGCGCTCAAATATACATCTGAGCTACGCGCATTGTAATTATGGAGATTATTAGCGTATTCAAGACGAGTCTTCTTTCCTGTTGTGTGAGATTGTGGATCGATCTTACTTTCTCTCTTAGGTTGGTACATTGAGCTCGAACAGGAAAATCTATCGACTCTTTAAATGTTTGTCTGCCAGTTCTACGATAATGAGATGGACTCGAATTTTCCAGGTTGGTGCCCTCGCTGTATTCCTGTTACGGCATAAGAATATGATGGTTGGAGGACAGCGAAGTTTCAAGCAAGTCGGCCGTATCATTGTACTCAACATGGTATGTCTTCACGCCTCACCACGCAGCTTAGATTCTTAGACATTTAGCCAAGACCATTCTCAGAGATTGATAAGAGCAATCTTCACCCAGAAGTGGAGACGACCAACGACAGTGAGGATCTTATTCGCTCCAACTAACCACCCGTCGCTGGAAATTCATGCTGCAGGTTTTAGGTCTAAGCAGCGCTGGAATAGACAACTGGAGCCACGTAAGAATTCTCACACTCACCAGACCAATCCTACGGGATCAAATCTCCTTCATGTCCGTAATCTAGTCTTGAGGCCCTTGCAAGTTGAGCTTCAACGTGGACTAACTCACGAATGTTGTCTGCTCCAGTTCGGCGGTCTACTTGGAGGTGCTGCTGTAACATGGCTGCTGGGTCCTGTCTATTCATTCGAAACCCCACCAGGTGGAGGAAAGAGGCAGCTTGTGGACCGGCCACCCATTTCTTATCTGATCTCTGCGCGTTCCACAAGCAACCGATAAGAGAACAGCTTTTGGTTTATGTCCGCAGCAATGTTCTTGTCCAAGGTAATAGAGGTTGTAAAAAGTGTGTTCAAGAGGTTGTAAATGCGTGTGAGCATAAAGTGTTCAAAAAGTCTCCCGATCATTACGCTCGATGGAGGTCCAAGCCATCGAATCTTCTCGAATTTGTATATTTACTCTGTAGGGTACAAAGGATGATGAAGCGGGGCCCTATTCGTCATATAGAAGCAATAAAAGGTCATGTTGGCAATTCTTTGCCTCAGAATGCTTTTCGAGAGCATGGCAGTCTCTACTGAGAAGTATAATGGGTCTCCTCCTGTCCAGTGGTAGTGTAACGAACTGAGATCAGTTGCTTCTGATCGTGTCTGGATGAAATTTCGACCGTCCCTGTCACTATGAGATTTGGACACGATGAATTCTGGCGAAATTCTCGAATGTATGTTGTGTATATTAATCAAAGGTTCGATTCCGGCCAGAAATGTACTCGATATGCCCTTCTCTTGAGCTGCCAGACCTTTTCCTGGGGGTATCAGAGAGGCCCTTTCTTCTAAGGGGCAGACTAGGGCACCACCCGCCAGTGTAAGTTGACTCGATCAAAGTCCCCGAAGGGGGTTGAAGCGGCATGGCAATCGAAATAGATCAATAGAACGGCAGCTATAGAAACGGTACAAGGGGCAGAACGCTGGGAGACAGCGACGGCGGTAGCGCCCCTCGAAGCCTCTCGACTACGCTCTCCTCTGCCTCGCGGACGAGCTCGGTTTAGCAACTGGGTTCGACAGGAGTCGTGCTTTGACGCGCAATCAATTGTTTTGTATGTGGCCGTAGCGCAATCAATTGTTTTGTATGTGGCCGTAGCAAAAACGGTTGTGGTTGTGGCCCTAGTCTGGACTTTCCTTTAATTCTGAGAATCGTTCATTGCAAAGCTTTACGTCCCGTTTCGCAGCTATACAGTACTGCGGAATTCGAACATTCTGATTTACCCATTATACTAAACAATCTGGACAGTTGATATCCCGTTTCGCAGCTATACAGTACTGCGGAATTCGAACATTCTGATTTACCCATTATACTAAACAATCTGGACAGTTGATATCGATAATAAAGGATCCAAATCTGGGTAAATGGTCACCTTCAATGTCAAGGAAGAAGTTATCTTGGGTCAAGATCATGTCATCTCAACACAATTATTTAGACCAACCATTAGTTTCATTAAATTGTCTCAATCACTACCTTGAATACAAAATCACATTTTTCAACCATAATTCTAATATTAGTTAGAATACGTTGTGTCTGTATTGTACTTGAAAGGTATTACTGAGGATATAAAGATTGGACATCATCGTTCACATCAGTTACAATTGGTTGCAAGAAAGAATGATACATCTGATTCAGGTACCTCGACCTGTATGTTGATTTCAAACTTGTAACTCATATTATTATTAATCACGATAAATTTGGTTTATAAAAATTCACATCTAACATGAATTATAACCGATGAAAAATTTTAAATTATATATTCAATATGAACATAAAACCAACTGATATAGATATCAACCGTTAACGTTATATTCTTTCAAAATTGTTTCAAGAATAATCGAATGAAAAAAAGAGTATTATCACAAATATTTCTACCCAATGTTCTGTTAATTCTCTGGTACTGCTTCATATCAACGTTGTATTGAAAATCTGGATTGAACCAAATTTCAGTATCATATATTTTTTTGGTACACTTCATATATATATAAAATTTCGAAATGAATATATATCAAAAATAACTTTATTATTTTTTTGTCGATTTTCATATAATGAGATACTTCTACCCGTTTCAAATATATTAACATATTGAAATCATCTTCCATGACTAATAGAAAAGTTAAAATGTTTAATATGTCATACATATTTAGATTTTCAAAATATGATTTGACAATATTCTGTTTTTTAAGATGGTTAATTTTACATTTAAATACATTTTTCTAGGGAAAAATAAATTTCAAGCAGGATCCAAGAATATTATTAACGCATAAAATTGTTATATCATAATATTGAAAATCATTTTAAATCAAAACTACAAATATTTCAACTATCACTAACTTGGACACCACGAGAAAACTCTACTTCACTAGAAGAAGTCATCGAACCAACGGAATGTAGAGTCGTCGCGCGACCGCGTCGCCAGGGCTCCCCAGTCGCGCTCAAGGAGATCCCGCGACGCTCGGTCGGCGCAGACAAGCGCAAACTCGCAGAGCCGGAAGCGCGCAATCAGAAATTCAAATTCTGAGAAACTGTCGATGCCTCGTGCTCGACATTGTGAGCATTGTGGTCGAGCAGTTGCCATTGGATTGCAGGGAAGGCGCAATGTCCGATGTTGCCCGCCGGAGTGAGCTCACGTCTGAAGACATTGCAAGGATCCCTTGCGATTGCGGAGAAGGCAGCTCCACTACGGTGCGGAGATCTGAGGAGTACAAGCGCCAGCTCCACATGTGAAATTGCCTTCGCTCCTTGAGGTCCCCGGATTCTTCGTAGAAAGAGAAATGCTTGCAGTTTTATGGGACAGGGCGTGGGTGGCTGCCAGAAAGCGCGGAGATGGAAGGATGCGATGGAAATTTTACCAGAATATAGCGTGGCGTTCTTGGCCGCAGGGGCAGCCCGTGACTCTGCTTACTGGAGTTTGACGAAAGGCCGCTGTCGTTCACGCACACGGTGGTATGCATGTAGAAATCTTATCAGAGGATCCGAATTGCTGGAATTTCCTGAGGCCTAATATTCCAGATTTCGATGACACTGAATACCTTCATTGAAGACGATGTACGTGAATCTCCCTTCACCGCGAAGCTCAGTGATTTGTGAATGTTTCGGTCACTCCCGGCCTCACTCTGTTCATGAAAGTTGCACATACATGAAGATGACGACAAAGAGTGTTCGTTCTGCCGAATTTCATTCAATTGGCAGGAATTGACCGTTGATCTTGTTAAAGTTAATTCTTCATTTTTTATCTAAATGACGACTGAAAGCTTCTTACAATGCCGTTCTCTTTTGCTCTAGGACTTTGATTGGGAGGCCGCCGTCTCGGAAATTGATAAGGCTTGCAGTAAAAAGGAAGCATCGGGATCGGGATCGGGAGCTGGAGCTGGAGGAGGAACAGAATTACTACTTTCTCAATCAGCGCAAAGGTGCAAACAGAAAACGTTGCTTTCGTTTATAAGACAGGATAAAGGGGCGGATCAAGTTCGAAGTGAAAAGCAGCAGCGGAAGATATATATCTCCTCTCACAAAGAAAACGGAATTCAACCGAAGATAGAAACCAGTGGGTTGAAAACTCAGCTGGAACATTCGATTAGAAGACAGGATGATCAATTTAACAATGGAAATCATCACCGCAAAGTTGCAGAATGCTCCTTTAGAGAGACTGCGAATGAAAAGGTCGTCGAAACAAATCGCCTCAATGCTCATCAGGAACATCCAACTGAATGTCCGGAGGATAGATTTCGCTGTCAAGTCCCTTTCGACCCCGTCACAGCCAGCTCGTGGATCTATCCGGGTAATGTTCTTCCTCTGGTCTTGTGCATGTGTATTTTCTGATGACCTTGTCGTGACAAGCCAATTTTTTCTGGCCTTATCATCCGTAATCCACTTTAGCCTTTGTGAGAACACATAGCATGCATAGCAGAAAATCTTTTACTTCTAGGTGGAGTTTTAACTTTGAATTTCATTGATAGTCAAACATGTTGTGATTGAGCTTTATGCTTGCACTTGGCACCCACAGTAAAGATCGAAAGTGTTGGATGTTCTTGTTGTCATGATTCATGAAATGTCCGGCCTTGCAGAACCATGTAGACTGTAACGTATAGTGGACAAATCCAAAGACTGACTTTCGTGTATCTTTGCAGCAAATGTTCCTTGTCGGACCTACCAATTCAATATCACAAAGGTGGCTCTTTTTTCGAACACACTTGTCTCATTACCTACGGGATTGGGGAAAACTCTCATAGCTGCAGCCGTCATGTACAACTATTTCCGATGGTTTCCGACAGGTTCGCATCTTTTGTTAATTTGCATCTTCTTCAGTCAAATGTATCAGTCCTGTGTATGACTAGGATGAACCATAGTTATTATTTTCTTATTGACTTTGGCATGTGAACTTCCGTTACTTACTTTTTGTAGCGAACGTAAACAGGGAAAATTATATTCGCCGCTCCATCAAGGCCGCTGGTCGTGCAGCAGATTGAAGCCTGCCACAAGGTGGTAGGAATACCCCAGGTATTTCCTGCTTCGAACTTTGTCAATAATGTGTTTCACTTTTAACTCATCAAGAGGCCTGTGAAGTGTATATTTTGAAAGTGCAGTGTTGCTAAACGACTCTCGACTTTTTGCCACTATTTGAAGAAGCAGCTTCCAAATCAGTCCATCAGCTTTAGCTACCGTTCTCCACTATTCTTGCTTTGAATGAGTAACTGAAATCAGTTCTCTGTGCTGCAGGACATGACCATTGACATGACCGGTGATATGAGCCCACCAGTAAGAGCAGAATACTGGCAAAGCAGACGAGTTTTTTTTGTTACTCCTCAGTGTCTTGAGAAGGATATTCAATCTGGTAAGATTCTGATTAGTCTTTTGCAGAATGTGGGCGACGTGCCTCTGAAGCAAGCGCATCTGTCACATTCCTGGGTTCTAGTGGTTCAAAATCTGGGTTTTCTGTTGAAAACTGAATGCCGCATCCTTAGAAAGCAGGCCGGTGTGAAAATACTGCGTGCTGCAGATGATTGATTGGATTCAGGGGAATACAGGTCATCACATTTTGTCCATTGGCAGGTACTTGTACATCGAGGCAGATTGTGTGCTTGGTCATTGACGAAGCGCACCGTGCAACTGGAAATTACTCGTACTGCGTGATTGTTCGTCAGGTTTACTTCATACCTTTTGGGCTTTCACTCTCAATGCCCTCAGAGCTCTTACATTGTCATCCGTCAGACCTTTAATCGTCTGATCGGCGTATCATTATTTTGCTAAATCTTCTGGATACCTATGTGCTTAGTTGACTTTTACGTCTCTCTTCAGGAACTTTAAAAAGGATTAGCCAATTTAGCTAGTGAAACTCACACGGTATTTCCTCCTTGTGCCAGCTACTTCAAGCCAAAATCAACTACCGCCTACTGGCCCTAACCGCAACTCCCGGCTGTAAGTTTCTCCTTGGCTGCAACTCTGACTTTCCTCCTCTTATACATGAATTTAGAGACTGCTGTTTATGCAACGTGGACTTTCCTTCTCTTCTGCTTGATCAAAGAGTCCGCCATTTATGAAAGTGTATATGAAGTTGTGATCGTTCTATTTGCAGCTAAGCAGGTTACAATCCAGGCTGTCGTAGACAATCTACAAATTTCATGCCTGGAGTACAGAAACGAGCATGATCCTGATGTCAGCCAATACACCCACAACCGGAAGATTGAGTTAATTGAGGTAATATTGCTACTAGAAGAGTAGTTACTGCAAATGGAGTTTCGTTTTGCTTTTACATATTGATGACCCAGGCGTTACGTCTATATTGCCTATGCACGTCTCATCCTGATACATGGTTACAGGTTCCTATGAATGCTGCATCCAACCAAGTCAAAGATCTGCTTATTGAAGTGCTACAACCAATTGTGTACAGGCTCTGTGGATATAGGGTTTTTTACAACAGAGATATTGCAAGGGTATGTGGCCTTCCATAGCCTTTACCTGCATTGAGTCCGCAGAGCAGCGATAATTACTTGCATTCAGTTAGGAGTACCAGCAAAGTCACAAATCAGCTTTAAAATCTTGTGATCTCACGTTACAAACATATGATCTCAAAAGTAGGGAAAGCCTACATTAACGATGTCATTTAATCTGCAGCTGACACCATTTGAATTCATCCAAGCGCGAGAGAAATTCCGTCAGGCTCCTCCTCCAGCTATTCCACAGAATGATTATTCACAAGTCGAGATCTATTTTGGGCTAGGGATTACGTTGACTCATATCTTTAAACTGCTATTCACTCACGGAATGAGGCCAGCATATGAAATGCTCCAACAGAAATTACAGCAAGGGTAAGTTCCAACCTGTCATGCGGCTGAAAACAACCTCGTTATTATTATGGTTCATGGTCTTCAAACTATGAGGAGAAATACTCCCAGCACAGTTTTTATTATGAGATGCTGTTTGGGATGCTCTATCTCTAATTTACGAAGTTGAACTGAACCTACTATATTGAAGCACGTGTATCGCGTCTTTCTCTGGGCCGAGAAAGATAAAGGCTACATCTCATCTGTTCGAATTTCATAACGAAGCAAATATTGAAAAAGTGAGTTTCTTGATAGGCTTTGTGTTATTTGTGCCGTCAATGTCCGTACTCATCACACGACTTCTACATGGGTTGGTTTTACCAGATAGGTCACTTGTTGATTACCTTATACAGCAAAGTGTCGGTTCTGAACGTTTCTGAGGTGATATCTATCAGCCTGCAGAGTTGGATGATACGGATGATCGATTGACGTTAATCCAACGTGTGATTTATAATTTGCTTCTTTCAGGGTTTTGAAAAGACTGGGAGGAAATGACAAGATGCGCCACTTGCAGAGCGTCATGAAACAAATTGTAGGACACGGTGCTCCTAGCCCGAAGCTTGATAAGGTGGTAGAGATAATAAGTACCCATTTTAGTAAGTTGTGTACAACTCAACTGTAACGGAATTATCGCAATTTTCCTTCAGAATTCAGGTTTCCTTTAGAATTTCCTTTCTGCTTCAACGGCTTCCTGATTTCTGATATTTTTATCTAGATATTTCAGGAATTTTCCTGATACGATGCTTTTCTGTCGCAGGTGCACATGATCCCACAAAGACCAGAGTGATCATTTTCACAAATTTCAGAGAAAGTGTGAAGTAAGGAATCATTCACTGTTCTTGCATCGTTAGAAGCTGCCTGGTGTTCCTTGAGATAACATCTAGAAATGCTTGTGATGCACGGAGCTTCCAAACGGATCACCAAATTCTTTGGGACTGGTCCATGTTCTCTTCTTTCAGTTTGGACATCAAATTTGCGGTTGTAATGGCTTAAATATGCAGCTGCCTGATTCTCAAAGCAGCTTCGCCCTCACTGAAAATACAAGGTTGTGTTTGCTACATAACCAGAGATATCATGGAGATTCTAGCAGCGAGGTGTACAGATGTAAAAGCTATGGAATTCATCGGCCAAAGTTCTGGTATGCTTTAAATATTCACCAAGCCATGGTTTCTCTGTTTATGCCTGGATGTTATGCCGGATATGTAAACTGTTTCTTGCGCTGGCAGATTGACGTCATCTTTTTCCTGCGTACAAAGTAAGTCATTGCTATGACTGTTTGGAAAAATCGTTCTGGAATGTCATCTGTTGTGCTTTAAAGGGACTAGAGGGCTTGCACATTACAAATTATCGAGGTTCATCTTGCTGAAGTCAACCTCCGCTTTTAAGCTCGATCGCCTGAACGAGAATGAACGCTGCGAATTCTTTCATTAATAGGAGAAATGGAACTGGCAGGAAAAGCTTCGAAGGGTCAAAGCCAGAAAACTCAACAGGCTGTACTGCAGGTTCGTTTTGTCTCTTGTTCAAAGCTACTGCCAAGTTGGCAACTCTTGAGTAGGGAAACGTTCGTGTCACGTGGGTCTCAAGAGACAGTTCGCCGAGTTGAAGACTGGCGATGCCGGAACTTTTTGATTTCATTTCAAGATTTTGTTAACGTCCTCAAATTTATTTCTAGGTACTAGAATTTGCTCACTGTCGTCACTCGATATTCTAGTACTTCAGAATTTGTGTAAAAGTCAACGTGGTTGTACAGAAATTTCGTGCTGGGGGATTTAACACCATCGTGGCAACTTCCATTGCTGAGGAGGGATTGGACATCATGGAGGTCGATTTAGTTATCTGTTTCGATGCTAATATTTCTCCGCTGCGGATGATACAACGCATGGGGCGAACGGGGAGGAAGCGTGATGGTCGAGTAGATATCCTTTCATGTTTCTATCTTCTTACCACTTTTTTTTTTTATTTTCTTTTAGTTAAATTCTCACCCAATTCTGTTCCTTTTACCCTTTGGTACTTCCCGTGTAGTATCCATATCGTTGTGATTACATCCTTTGCATGTGGTTCTCTTTGGTTCGCTTCCTCTTCCAGTGTCTACAACCAAGTGTACTCAGTGGACATGGTCCTATGCTGTGAAGAAAATCATTGTCACTATAGCGTGATAATCATGGCATCTTTGCCTTTTCGGATAATGTATGTCGAAAACAGTGTCGACCTTGACCATCAGCTCACTCGTTCTAGCTTGCGAAGGGGCGGAAAAAGAAGGCTACTTGGCAAAGCAAAGCAGGAACAAAGCCCTCAACAAACACATGGTTAACGGAGGGGTTTATAGCTTCAATTTTCATCCAAGTTCACATATGGTACAGTCCATCCTTGCAACTGTGTCTTTTGCTCGTTCAGGCATTCTAGATGTTATTAGGAGACAGAATAGATTTTTTTTTGTTAAAGCTAGTCGTACACAGTTTTCAAGTGTCGATTTTCTTGATTCCTCCATTAGTTCTCAATCCCGTTTTATCCGCATGCGATCAGTGCAAATGGAGTTGATTTGCCTTTTCTACTTTCTTTGCGATGTGTAGATTCCTCACAGCTACCGTCCAGCGGTTCAGTTAGTTGAGTTAGCTATTGAGGAATTCGTGCCACGTTCAAAGAAGCTGAAGGTAAAATGCAGTGAGACTGCCGTTGGAGGTCTCAAAAGTCTATCGGACACGGATTTTCAATTACTGGAGAAGTACAAGATAGCATTGAGAGGAGAGTCATGGAAGCCGTCACTGATCGCGTTTCCGCAGTATCAGTTGGTACCTACTCCTGTCCACAAAGTGGAGCATTCATACAGAACCAGAGTATTAATAGACGCGCTGCGTTTTATGCAAGACACATCCGTCCCATTAGAAGACATCACGCATTGTGCAAGGGACAAAGAGGTAAAGCGAAACATGAGACAATCTTTGTCTGTGGTGATTGAGTTCATGTGACCTACATTTTCATTTTCGAAAGTGCTAAGGCCTTTTTCTTCTGTGTTCTTTTAGATTTTGATTATTGTACTGTATTAACAAAAAGAGGAAAAAACGGCGAGAGGCCAGTAAGACTTGCATAATCTTCTGATGATATATAATGCATAAGATATTTCTTGATGCCAAGAATTGAAAATAGGTATGACACGGTAAGGTGCTGGACAAAGTTGAGTATTGACTTTTCCTGGCAAGGTCCATTGATTATGTCGCCGTATTTCAGGTCACAAGCTCTCAAAAATCTTTACCCCACTCGCATCTGGGACCTCCCGATCCAGTGAAAGAAAAGATCTTATCCTTGGTAACGCCGGATAAAACTAATACAGGTCGCTTGTCTCTCAGAACTCAAATTGTCTCCATACTACAATAGATGTCTGAGTCAATGCTGTTGTGTCATTACATTAGTTAGTGCCCTCTTTCAGAAAAGTTTCAAGTTTCAATCAGCCACCACGTGTTAGGAACATTCTGGAAGATGTTTCGATCTGAGTATTTTGCGACCAGCTTTCATTTTGCTAGTTTCGTCTCTTGGATTTTTAGCTTTACCTAATCTCGTTTTCGCATTCCATCCACTTTTCAGCCCTGGGAGAACTGGAGAGCGACTCTAATAAAGAAGTATTGCCCGCAACATTGTATTCTGACTTGGACTGCGCTGAGGATATCCGTATCAAGAACATGAGCAGCATTACTGCACCAAACGAGGAGGTAAAGCTTAGGCCTCTATTCGTAAAACCGCTCAGTAAAAAGGAGAGCTTGAGTCTGAAGCCCGTGAGTGAGTCGAAAGCATTCAGGGAGGTCCCTGTCAACAAAAGGGAAAGTCAGCCGGACCGAAGAGCAGACGATTTGGATTTTGTCTCGCCTGTTCAAGGTGAGTATACTTGGTTCGCATCTTATCAAATTCACAAGTTAATACTAGATTATAAATCTCTTTCCAATATGATACAACATGATGACCTCATCCGCACAATTTCACGTACACCCCTTTTCTCGTTTGTTTTCTCGTTTGTTTACTTTCTGAATAAAGAGTTTCTTCAGCTGGAAACTTAGGACTAGCTCAGCACTGAAATTTTAGATCCTGAGACACGATGTGGATTCTCTCGTTGCTATTGTACTCTCAGTAGCTAGTATAACGTTTGTTTGTCTTTCAGGCATACAGGAGGTGATGCATGTGAAGGAAGGTGTCATGTACAGCCTCACGCGGTGCCAGAATGTCCTAGAGTTTACAAAAGTCATTACAGATTCAAGAACCACAGGTTACACCACTACCCCTCAAGAGTCTCCGTGCTTGTCACGTATTGGACTTCAGATGGAAGACAGAGTCAGGGACTTTGATTCTCATCCTTCTGAACCTAGTTTTCGAGTATTTCCTCCCAAGGAATCAGGCATAAATGTCCTGACAGCACCCTCTTCGATTTCATCAGGTATATCTGATGGAAAACCGTTGTTGAAATCCGTTGGTCGTAGCAAACTATCACTTTCTAAGAAGCCATTGAGTGATGATGGGACTTCCCTCTTTGGGGTGGGAAGAGCAAGTCATGGTCTAAAGAGGACACTCACTGTCAAATCTGAGGCCCTTGAAGGTGCTCAAAGAAGTGACTTTGACAACAGGGGACGCGCTGCCAATCCAGTCAGTCCACTTGCGGAAGTGCCACAAAATGTGAATGTCGATGTCATAACACCGAACGACAAAGTTATGCATTCTAAGAAATCACAGTGTATGTTGGAAAGAAAGCAGAAGTCAGGTGTCGACGTGGAGATAGCAAGCAGGCGACTGGATAAGATTGCTAGCCAGGGGGTTGTTCCTCTGTCACCGGACTTGGAAATAGTAAGTGGTCGACTGGAGGAAATTGCTTCCCAGGGTGTTGTTCCTTCATCTCCTGTTTCGAAGCCGCTATTAGATCATAGTCATATCTCAAGCTCGCCTGTACTTAAAACTCCTTGCGTACCTAAACTCCCTGACGTCCAGCAAGCAAGTATCACTTCTTTAGAATTTCTCCAACAACACCAGAAATCTCCTGTAACCCCATTAACAACATTGGGGCCAGTTTTTAGTAAAAGAGATTCTCAGAGCCAGATCAATAGACTGAGTACTGACTCTCAGAAAAAGAAAACTCCTGTATCGTCTTTCCTATGTCGTATTAATGGGATGTCTCCTACAGGGAAGTTCCTGAACTTCTCAGAATTTGGTCTTGAAGATTCTCTGCATGAAGATCGCAGTAATTTCTCAAGAGAGAAAAGCCTTGCTACTCGTATAGTCCAACTCTCTCCTGATGGACATGATGATGCTGGAAACTTCACTGAATGCCTTACCACTCCGCAAGGGCGAAGTACGAAAAGCCCCAGTGAAGTGTGGGAGATTACAGAAGGTAAGGCAGGGTCAGCATCTGTGAAGAAACCTCGCAGGCTTAAAAGGCTTTGTAAAGCCGGCGAGAAAGCTAATGGGCCATCTCCACTTCGGAAGCTTAAACAATTGAAAAAAGTCGTTACTGAGGATCTGCGTGGAGGCAAGCGTTTTCTGCCCCAGTCAAAAGCGGGTAAGCATTTCCTTATATTTGTGACGGTCTGTGATCGAACGTTTAACTTCAACCTATTGAACAAGGGTTGTGAATTTCTTGTGCTTTATTTGACTCGGCTCATGTCTCTTCCTGCATTCAGGGAGGAATCATAGGAAGCTCAGAGTGAGAGAATTTCTCGACGATGAAGCAGAGTTTGTCCCCGACCTCATTATCTTTCGTTTAGCAGTCAACGTTTTATTGATGGTCTTGATTAGATTAATCAACTATGACGACTTCAGGAAACCAAGGCATCGGGCCAGGCATCAACTGATATTAGTTGTTTCAACCAATGCAGAGTGTCGGACGATACCGAATTATCCGATCAATCTGATAGTGAAGATATGGAAGATATGGAAGAGGAAGCAGACGGATTTATTGACACCGCAGCAACCCAAGCTCTGAATGGCGCAGTCGATATGATGGCTGTGTATAGGTGAGATAAAGCAAAGTATAAGTTCTGATCAGTTAAATTGTTGAAAATTAACATCAAGTGTCATGGTTTTCTACTGATTTGTTTTGTGGCTTCTTCGAGAATGTACAAGACCCCCTCTTTCATTACTTGACTAGGTTTGTTTTCTTCGAATATGCTACAGGCGGTCCTTGTTGACACAGTCGCCAGCTGAGCACGCTTCAGGTCAGTTTGGCCATTTGCTGCAGACAAGTTCTACTCTATGCTCTGATGAGACTCCTAGATCATCAGAACAGACCTCACCATCAGATGCTAGCGGGTCTCCTGGACCGAGCTTGGGATTGCCTATCGATCATTCGTCTCCTATAAGAATAGATTCGGGTGGAAAAACACCGGCCTTACGCCAGAATGGCATGGCGAATGGCCGGATTAGTAAAAGTCTGTCAATATCGTCCTCAATTATCAACGAGGATCAGAGAAAACTGGAGTTGAGGAAACGGAAGCTGAGCTTCCTGTCGAATCCTGGAACTGCAAATGAGACAGAAGCTTCTTTGTACAGCTCACAGAAGGAGCGTGAACTGAATTCCAAGGCTGATTTTGATCTGGTAGACGCAAGAGAACTCCAAGCTACAATACCGATAGATATCGACAAACAGAGGAATACGGTTGCTGAGTTCGAGGATGATCTTTTCGACGGCGTTGATCTTGATGCTTTAGAAGCCGAAGCAGCTCAAACATGTCGGATACGTAGCCAAAAAAATGTGAACTTACATCACGCCGACGTAGCTGCTAGTTTGGGTGTTCTGACAGCTCAGGTCTCCGGAACCACAGCTTCCAGATCTCGTTTGCTGTCAAGACTACCAAATGATGATAAATATGGTGGTTGCCCCTCTTTCGATCTTGGGATCGCCGATTGAAGATACACGCAAGCCCCACACATTTGTGCATCCTGCCGGTTGCAGTAAGGAAGCATATTTATACACCAAGCATGACTGCGAAAGGATCTCTTCAGCACAGGTTTTCGTCTTCCTTATCATATAAGATGTTTCTGCTTCTGGATACATTGCTTTTCCTACCTCATTTCCAAAACATTCTCTATATATCCTGATTATTATTGACCACGCCTATGTAATGTGCTTTCTCCATTACAATGTACAATTCTTTCCATTTCACCTTAGGTAAGACTTAGGAGACATGCTATGCTTTTCTGACTAGAGCTGTTCTTTAATCAATGTGGTTTTCTGTTTTGTTGTTGTGGCAGGTGACGAAACTGCTGCTATGCGCTGTATCCTGCTCGCGGCCCCGAGATGTCAGTCAATGTAACAATATTTTGTTCTCGAGCAGGCATTTTCTCGAATGGTTCTTGGATATTCAATAACAGTTTCAGCTAATGATTGGAAGTCTTAGCTCATGATTGAAACTGTTGGCATTTGTACCGATTACACCTAACTTTAGTGTGGACCGAAAGTGTCCCAGCCGTTGTAATGTACAGAAATATACATCTAAGATTTTTACGGAGTTTCTGTAGTTAACATGAACTCTTTTCATTTGTATGATCATCCTGCATCATATTTCCCTAACAGGAACGCAAGTGAAAGCAAGTAGTGCATACGCCCAGCCGTGGCGTCGATACTCCTTCTAGGTTAAAAGCCCTTCAGTCAATAGTATCTGATAATTGCGGAAGCGAAGGGGACGCAAGAAAAGAAAAACTAATTTTTGTATCAAAAATATCCGCTGTTTGGTGCGGACTTTGTTCAAATACACAGGATAACTGCGACAGTAGGATTGAAAATTCATTCGATCTCACAGTTCATATGTTACACATGATAAGTATGGCTTGAAGAGTATTACTACCTACTATTTTATATTTCAGTTAAGGTTTGAAATTAGGATGTTAAAGTTGCTCGCCCAAATTAAGCTGATACGGTATCACAAATATGTTAGGTATCAGTGACACCTAACATATTTGTAGAAGTATACTTCCGTCTAATGATCGCAGATAGAGACATGCACTAGCCTTTCCACGATTTAGGATATCCAATCGACGAGAGCAGAAGTCACGTCCAAAATAGATGAAATCATTACTCTGATTGTATCTCTCTTTGTGCGAACTGCGTGAGGAAACGCCCCAGTAGGTATCTCTGGTAACTCGTTGGGGAAAAATAGTTGAGCTATCAGAAGAATCATGTGAACTCTCCACAAAGACCTCGTGAATCACTCTCTTGTCCTGACTTCTAGGCTCCACACGTTTGCAGCTAGAACACTTTTGTTCGACACTTCCCCAGACATTTCCAGCTTCGGATTGGTGCCTCGGAAGATGCTCGAACTGAAAAAACATCAACAGTGAGCTGAGGCCTTTACTTAAGCTACTAGAGTTGGTCACAAGATAAACCTCGTGACGAATTGTAGGGAAAGGTTATTTGCAATATATTTGTGTATATCATTTCATACTTGATTCGTTCATATCGTCTATATGAACAATTGGAGTCTAACTTTCTGATCTGTTGTGTTTTACTCTACTCAAATCTATTGAGCAGATAATTATACTATGCTGTGTATTTTAGTTTGATCGTTGAAAGGATGGGAAGGTATTATCTTTGAGCAAGGAGAAAGATTGTTGAGAAGAGCGAAAAAAATTGAAAAAAATTTGAGGGTACAAGAACAAGGATTGTTAAGGTGCTTCATCATCATTGAAACGATGGATACCAAGGATTGTTGAAAGATAGATCGTTGAATCTGAAAGAAATGGAAAGAATCTGAACCCAAGATCGTTTAGAGAGGAAAAAGATTGTTGAGGGAATGGGAACAAAGTTTTGCGGTACGCTTTCTCTTCCTCAAGAATCCTGAGTAAGTTCAAGTAGCTTTCCACCCCCTATCCTGAATACTCGACATTAGAGTTGGGAGGAGAGTAACCCACGATCTTTGAGGAAGGAGGGGAAGCGGATCCTTGAGATAAGGGGAAGCAAAGACTGTTAAGGTGGTGAGAAGAAGTATCGTTGAGATAAGTGGTAACAAGTACTGTTGGGGAATGGGAAAATACCAACTGTTTAAAGGAGGAGTAATAAGGAACACTGAGGCAGGGAGGAAAATGTCTTTGAGACAAAGTCTTCCGTCATCTGTGACCGGTTCTACCAGTTTGCTGATAGCGGTACCGCGAGAGTTGTGGCGGAGACTTCCATTCTCCCTCGCAGATGGCTGTAGAATCCTTTCTCATTGTCGAGGTGCTCGTCACCGTGACATTGTAAGACTTTGCATTTTAAAGAGGAATATCGTTGTGGTGTTTACTATCAGGTACTAGAAGACAATCTTTGACATACATTTACTACCATGGAGCTTACTACTTTGTTTGAACGCTGCTTTCTACTTACGTACATGTGCTCGTCGGTTTATCAGCATGTTCAGCACATGCTTCACACTTGTAACCAACAGGTATGATTCCCATTCACCATCCGCTATTCAGATCACTGTACATCCTCTTTTCGGGGACCCCTAATCATGCTTCTGACAACAAAAAAACCGTTCTGCCCATCTCGCCCTCCTCTCTTCTCTACCGTGCTGCATCGCTTTGGAATAAGTAACACAACGACACGCACCTGAATAAGTCAATACACTAACTAACCAGTTGGTTTCACTTCCATCTGTCCAGTTATCAACATTCGCGTCGCAATTAAGAGCAAAACCGAAAGCCTTTCTGTCACTCGGATTTCCCCTTGTTGATACTGCAATGATGGACATCTATATAATTCCTTGTAAATACTAAACGTGGAAGCCAAAAGCTTGTTTGACAAGCAGTAGATATCTCTGGCTACACGGATAGCCTGTCAATGGGGAAGTGAACACAATTTCACGTACTCGTGCCATGTTGTGCCCACGAACACATTCGCAGTGGCTAAGATGTAGATGATTACATGGTTCCTAAGAAACATGGCCAACCTTATGCCCACACCGCACTCTTCGTTTGTGACCCGGACTTGAAGGGGCTACCGTTTCTGTCTGACTAATTTTCGAAACATGTTTTCGCACCCAAAAGAACACGATCCTTGTCATTCTTGTGGAAGCACATGAGAGATTGAGACGGATGATGCAGAGGAACTACTTGCAGGTAAGGACTGCACGGCATCTCCAAAATATCCACAAATTTGTTACACAACTGCATCAAATGTTTCATCCATGAAAATGTTTCTTCCATAAATTCATATAGAAAGTTAATGGATCTCAGTGATGAGGCACGGAGCTTGATTAGAAATAACATTCTTGAAATAACAATCTGTACACGAGTCCTAATCTTTACACCCGAATGGACTTCACAGAAAAATCTGTTTCAGAGCTGCCTCTACTTACCAGGCACAGCAATCAATTCGCAGGCCTGGCTCTACTGATTGGCATAAATTAAGCAAAGAAGTACAAGAGGGTAAAACCTAAACTCATGATACCTGATAGGAGCTCTTCGTCACGAAGACAAAGACCGCATAGCGAACCACTGAAATCGTAGACAATGCTTTAAATCCACAAACAGGGAACCATCATAGTCTTTCTATTGACAGACGGTAAATGGTAAATGGTAATCATTTACCATTTACTATTTACCATTTAATGACAGACGCAACGAAGATTACTTCATAAATGATCTAAATGAAGGAGAGAAAGTCCACACCGACCGAGTACAAGAGGAATGATACAGTGAAACTTATGCCGGAAGGAGAGCATGGAGTGGCAGCAGATTATCACAGCAACAAGGCCAGCACAGGATACACGTCTTTTCTTGCTGCATTGACCCTTACCAACAACACAATCATTCACGTTACAACCCTGGGGATCGTCTGTCAAGTTAGAGCATGATCAGCCTCAGCTCCACAACTGAACTACCAACCTTCCATACATGAAAATGAGCACCATCAGCGAGAAATGTTATCATCAAACTAAAACTGAACTGCTAAAAACCAGGCTTTGTGAATCTTTCTAGCCTCTGAAATTTTTCTACTGTAATATCTTCATAATCAACAGGTTCCATTTGTCGAGGAAAACGTACCAATACAAATTTCTAACATTTATGCAGTAGTAAGGCATTGCTTGGTAACATGATAATTGAGCGTGTGATAGGTCTGCGTCCCAGCCTAAATAAGCATCTGCAGACTCAAGTACCCAGACACAAATTAAGAATATTCTACCTCCAGTCAGAAAAGACGCAACGTTCAACGACATAGAGTCCATCGATCTAAGGCCACATTTCCTGATTGATACAGCTATGGAGAACTAGGTCAAAAGATGACTCATGAGTTAAAACTCGGAGCTCTGGCTCTATCGCTCATTGCCCACCTAGTTAACACTTACCCACATTTTGTACACAATCTTGGCTGCCCCACTGCGATGCTGTCGTGCTTAGCATCCCTGAGTTGTCCATTGTCCTTGAACACCCCCCAAATTTCCCCAGCCAACCCACAGGCCGGAAGCAACGACCAATGCACGTCAAGCTGAGGTCACAGAGAAGATGTTCAAATACCAGGAGGGGCCGTGTTCAGGTTCACATAGGCAACTCTGTGATAAGCACCAGAATAACACAGGTCGACCGGATAAACAAAGTATCACGACATTTAATATTCGAATGCTTCATTCACAGAAAGAAGAAACGGAGTGAAATTTGAAAGAAAACTGTAGAACACAACTTGTTTACATTTAAAGTTTTGGACAGTCCAGCAGCTACCTACGATGGAGTATGAACAATGGAGACGGTGTGCTTTGCAACCGTTTTCAAAGCGCCCTGCAAAACAAAACAGCCCGCAACACAAGCTTGGCCCACCCACCCAACCCATCCGCAACAGGAGTCCCTAAGCCCTTATTAGGACACTCCTCTCCAGTGTTGCAACTCCCAAGCATATTGTGAATATCCTGCACGGGCACGCAAGGCAATTTGTAATTTCTACATAAAGTTGCACTAAGGCTACTCCAACTAGTTCCTGCACGATAGTAATTGATAGCTAGAAACCCTCCTCATTCATCAATCGCTTGAGCTGGCACTATTGGCGGGTGACTTTGAAGGGTCTCTCCTTCTTTTTCGATGACGACTGGAGCTCTTCTTTCGTACTGGACTGCCATCACCCTCATCTTTGACCTCTACATCAGCCCGGGAAGATTCTCCCGCCGAGTCTGAACCGGATTTACCACGGCTTTTATGCTTCCTCTTCTTCCTCTCTCTTCGCTCGTCATCATCTTCTTTCCTATGCTTCCTCTTGTGCCGTCTTCTCTCTTTGCGGCCTTCAACATCATCATTATCATCCTCGTCCTCATCCTTCTCATCTTCTGCTTCTCTTCGATGCTTCTTCTTATGTTTCCTATGGCGCTCTTTTCGCTTTTCACGCTCCTCTTCCTCGTCAAGCCTGCGATCTTTCGGTCGTGACTTCTCTTTCCCCTTCCTACTTACAACTACATCATCCTCTAAAGTGACGAGCTTGCTTCGCGTGACCTTCACATCCTCCTCATCCTCAACGTCAGAATCATCCCTTGCCCTTGGATGTGCAGACACTTGGTCTACCTCTCTCTGGATGTTCTTATATTCGTCCATTTTCGCTGGCTTCACACTCTCGAAAAATCCTTCATCCTCCTCAGCTTCAAGTTTGGGGCCCTCAAAAACAGTTTCTTCGAAATCTCTTTCATCTTCCTTAACAGACTCCACCGAATTCTCTTTTCCTGGTTCTTGATAATCTTTATCCACGTACTTCGCTCCTCCTGACTCATTAACTTCGCTGACAACATAGTCCTTTACCTCGTACAAACTTCTCGCTTTATCTCTGCTGGAATCTTGCAACCTCTCTTTTCCCCCAGCGACGCCAATCCTGCCATGCCTATCACGACCCGAATCATCGTCTAGCTGTTCCATATCTATGTCACTTTCCCCTATTCCGTGTTTCTTGGTGGCCCTACTTGCGTCCCAGCTCACTTCTACTCTACTGCGATCATGAGCGAGAGTGTTTTCTGTCACTAGTCTAATTTCCTCTTCGTTCTTCTTATCATGAACCTTTCTCTCGTCCTTGCGTCCGATTTTCTCCTTCGAATGAGCTTTCATGTCGTCACGCCAGTCATCAAGCTCCTTGTCATCATCACTCTCTTGACCTGGAACGACTCCCGAGTCCTTGGCACTGCGTTCTCCCCTCCAAGGTGGCCTGCTCTGCTTTCCCAAAAACTGTTCTTTCGCTTTAAAATCGACATTTCCTCCTTCGCTTGAGATGTCAGAGCCAGAGCCCATGCCCTTCACAGCCTGCGAAGGGACGTTGGGAGTGGCGCTAGCAAGGTCAGGCTGAATGTCTCCCGTATCATCTTCTCCGTTTGACGAAACCCGCAGACTAGTGGTCCTCTTCAAATCACTATTCACGTCTTCATCGTCATCAGATTGCAAGTCCTTTCTCAAAGAGTGATTGAACGAGACCGATGGAGACCTTCGAGGGGACACAGACGGTCCCGCTTTGGGCAATCCACTCTTCCTTACGCTATCTGTTTCAATACTAGGCGCCTTCATTTGGACCCTATCCCCTCGTCCCTTATAATCGGGGCTTCTTATCTGGTCATCTTCGAGCGGGCTCGAAGACAGGTTCTTGCCTACTCGTCGCACAATTTGAGGAACAGGACTTCCGCTGGGTCCACGCCGTACAGGACTAAGACCACTTCCCTGCTGCTTTTTAAAAGGGCTCCTACTGCCCTCCTTCCCGTGAGGACTTGCGCTCGGGCTTCTACTGCTGACTGACGGAGTCCTTTTCACATCCCTTGACCTGGATCTTCTTGCACTGCGTGCTGCCTTCCTATCGTCTCTCCTGTGTCTAGGTGAAACAGACCGTTCTCGGCGGAATCGAGGAGAGCGTGAACGAGATCGAGATCTCCTTCTGACCCTGCTCCTGCTTCTGCTTCTGCTTCTACGAGAACGAGAATAAAAGTCTCTATCCCTGTCACGATCCCATTCTCGCCTGAAAGGATTCCACGGGTAATCACCACGCCCTCTGTAATAACCCCGACGGCTTCGACTACGATAACTGAAGTGATCCCTTGAACGAGATGGAGAGTAAGGCCTGTCGCGTCGATAGCGGATCGGAGATCGTGACAGTGAGCGGGAACGGTCTCGCCGATACCTGATAGGAGAACGAGACTTTGACCTCGATGCAGAACGGGATTTAGACCTGGTCCATCAGTGGCAGAAAATCATGAGAAACAGGATGACATCCTTCGCAGAAGTGGTAAACCAGAAAGCGAATGAATGTAATCTTCTGTGAGAATATCAATAATTCATTGCTTGGCTACAAAACGCAGCAGGACGAGAGATGTTCAGATCCACTGATGCTAATGGGATTCCAAACCTTCTCAAAAGTGGGTAATATTGACATCTCAACCTCGTCACGAGCCATTTTTAAAAAACCGTGAAAAAATACGCCTTCCAAAAGAGGAACTGAGACTAGTAATCACAACCGTCGAACCCTTTCTTCTCAAAGTTTACAAATGGCCTATAGGAGGTACGAAGAAACGGACTAGCTTCAATAGTGGCCACTGGTAATACGTGAATGTGAGATCACCCTATATATTTCTGTCAGTAGGTTATTTTATTTAGACTTTTGTAAAAATCTCGGGGCCTCGAAGTTTTGAACCAAGGTTAATCGATTGCGCAAAAAAACACTCCAAACAGAAGACAAGCAAACGTAAGACTGAACTTTGGTCAGGGTATTGAGGTGAATTTTCATTGCAAAAGTTGCTGCACTCATCAGCGAATCACTTTAACGCACACCCTGGCAGACAATCAAAATCTATCAAGAAGTAGCAGAGAAACATATCACTGGTACATGAAAAGCTGATATCTAACAGAAATTTCATTTCGTCATACTGTAGACCTGAACTGCGACGCCCTCCTTTTAATGCAGTATGGACTAGTTGCATTTAGTAATTAAAGTTCTATGATCCATCGCTAATCAACAGGCCAAACACTCTTCTGTTTTCGACGGTGTACATGCATTTCAGACATATGCATATTTCTCAGACCAATCTCGAGTCTCGAGTGATGGTAGGGCTGGCATTTCACCTAAGTTCTATGCGTTTTGAAAATATAAGCCCCTCACAATTATAAGTTCGAAGAGAAGAATGTAAAAGTCTCAAAACCTCTAGCCTCTTTCAAAAACCAAAAGCGGAAGCTGAAAAGCTCTGCAGAGCAATAATTCCGCAAAGAGGATATAGAACTGAACAAACAAACATGGCAAGAGCCACTCGTGTCTTCTTTACTTGGTAAAGGTAAAGAAGAAGTGAAGTAGATCGAAAGCAACAAATACCGACCAACCTTATACGACGCGTGTTGCGAGGTTAGAACATGGCCGCACCAAAGTAGGTTCCAAAATTTGGAGCAACATCCACTACTTCAATCCAAAAAATATTCTTCTAGTGAATAAAACTCCCGTGTTTTCAGCATTTGGGGTTTAATCATATTAAAGAAAAGAAAAAATGAATCGATTCTTCCCATTTCAATTGATTTACCGTCGGCTATTTGCACTGTCGGATACCAGCAATCCGTCTTTAGTTCACAGCAGATTGCAATCCTTTCCTCCAGTATTAGACAGAAGGGGGACAATATGAAGACAAATGTGAGCGAATGTACGCCATTGAGTGACTCACCTGTCAGGGCTAGCAGGCTTCTTTTCTTCATCTTCTCCATCACTTCCTTTCAGCTGCTTGCTGATTTCTGCAGCACGAGCAGCTGCCATTTCTGCTGCTGATTTTACAGTAGCAGCCCGTGCCGCAGCTTGTTGTGTGGCCATTACCTGCTGCATCAACAATGCTTGCTGGAACTGGAACTGTTGCATCGCAACAGCCTGCTGCATCATCATCAGAGGCGGTGTTTGTATCTGTGCTGGGTTTGTGCCCGTAGGTGTGGCTGTAGACTGTTTCATCAATCGAGCGGCTTCCGTGAGGTCCATATTGGGGCGACCACCAAGGTCCATCACACTGTCCGAAGCCTTGCAGCCGATGATGAATTTGCAACCAAAATAATGTGCAATATTTTCAGTCGTGATCACTGGGTTGACTTCAGCAATTGGTTCAATCCGATTGACGTGATAGAAGTCCGACTGTAACAAGCCGAGAGAGAAAGTTCATGACTGAATGTACTACAACGCTGAAGATATTCAATAGGCAGCGGCGAGTTCACAACAAACATCGTGTCCTGATGATACGAACTAGAAGAATGACACATGCTTCGTGAAAAAAAATTGGCACGGACACCAGGCGCTGGATAAATTAACAAATTCAATAATCATGAAAAATCAGCTCGGTGTAGGATAGCACGCTATATGGCACGGCTGTCTTGGGTGCGAGACACAGCCCCTATCTTTGTGAGAACATAATTTTGAATTGTATGGGAAAATCATATTGTGTAAGGGGGGGTTTACTCCGATTGTGTATGTTGCAGTCTACGAAAACTTTATCGAATGAACAAAGCTAGTAACATTGACATCCTACAACAGTCTTACCACTTAAAATTTCTCAGATCGCAAGTAACCTAGCGTTGTTGCATCCAATCTTCCGAACCAACTTAAAACGACTATAGGAGTCCAGAGAAGTAAGTCGTGAAACTCCACATATGCACAGGAAAACAAATGCACGATGTTCAAACTAACAAAATGAAGATCGAAGGCAGAATATCTAGGGTGTCAGAGGGCTGAAAAAATATGACAGCCGAAATCGTCAATCCCCGAAGCAGCACACTGCACCTCCCCAAGGAGATTGTATCTGATAATCCACAGCGCTCGAGCGAATGAGTCTCAGGGAACGTTAGCTTTGCAACAATTGACGCTAAACTGACTCTTCTTCTGCCTGCCTTAAGGGGCAAGATCCGAATGCAGAGAAAAAACCCCAAAAAAGAACCACATCGAAATGGTGGTGCAAAACGCAGACGATCCGTCACGCAGGCCTCAAACCAGCAAGCGCATGAACGCAGAGAGAGGAGAGGAGCAAGACACAGCAGAATACCCCGACTGGCGAATCGATTCGCAGCACACGCGTGACGATTTCGCTGCGGCCCTCGTCGAAGCGGACCCCGGGCTCTCGCACGCACGCGAGCCTGTTGGGACAGGAAACGAATGTCGCTCGTCCGAACGCCAAGAAAGACGGTGCAGCAGGAAGGCGCTGCTGCTGCCAGAGACACGAGACGGGACGGGACGGGACGAGGCGAGGCGCAGCACGAGCGAGCGAGCGCAAAGAAGAAGGATGAAGCCCGAAGGAAGGAAGACCGAGGCGTGCGGTTGAGGCCTCCTCCGCGCGGTTACGCGCGCCGTTTCTCTTTTGAACCTCTCGACCATCGAACGGCGGCGATCGATGCTCCGACCGCGCTGCGCTGCTCTGCTCTGCGCTGACTGCCAGTCCGCATTCCGGTACGTACAGTATGGCCTCGTGTCCCGGCCCAACAACTGTACGTGTACCGCGGCGCGGTGAATCGCAGTGCCAAATGTTGGACCCCGCGCCTGGCCTCGACCGAGTTTCCCTGGACCGAGTATTCTTGGTTCCGGGCCCGGACGCAGTTCCTTCGCTTTCAAGAAGATTCTGAACTGCGAACGACTTCCTGCCTTCGCACATCCACCGGCGCAGTTACCGCTTCTGCCCATCCATGTCAGTATTGCCTTGAGTTCCTTCATTACGCGGATTTTCGCAGAAATCTCGGCCTTGCGTTCCGAGTTCTCGTACACTGGTGAGAGTAGACATCGCGCCAATACACTATTCGAAGCAGCTGATTGGACTATAAGCATATTGTGAAGAATAAGACATTGTGATCGAATGATGGCATATGACCCGGCATGGATATAATTGTCTCCGCCTAGATTTCCTAAATACGTATAATCTAGTCTCTTCGAAAAGATTACTTTAGTCTACTTAAAAAGTTCATTAAGGCTAATTTAATACACTAAAAAGGTAATTTAGACCAATTTAATTTTTAAAAAATTAATTTAGGCTAATTTAATTTACTTAAAAAGATTCAGAGTAAATTTTTATTTTTTTCCCCTAAAAAATTTACATTAATGTATACAAGTAAAATTAAACATCCATCAATTCTGCATAAGTGTACACTCTCCATTGATTATAAAATGTACACGCCAAATCCTAACTCCCTTAATTTACTGGCCTAACCACCATAAAGTTGAGGTAATTTAGGCGACTGTATATGTGGTCGCCTAATACAACCATGCCTGCATATGACAAATACTTATAAGTTTCAAAGAATTACACAGTCTGCAATACACACTCTGTCAACTCCCTACCTCACTATTATTTATATCACCTTATTCTGTAGTTATTATGGATTCAGTCACCAACATTCCAAAGTTTTCAATAGTTTCAAAAAATTATAATTGATGTCAACATTTTGTCACATCCATTCTCATTTTACATCAAAGATAAGACGTTTCAGATCTTTACAAAATGGATCTCCTGTGAATCTCATATCTTAAAAACAAAATTTTGTGAAGTGGAAAAAACACATAACTATCATTTTTAAAACTTTTATGAACGTGTGTTCATAAGATTTTAATACCTTGATGGAGCGTTCCAATACTTTTAATAAGTTTAAGCATTTCACACATTACATATGTACATTGTGGACGTCTCAAAGCTTTAGGTCCATATCATTACGATTCGTATGATAATTTTTTTTAAATCAACGAAAACTAACAATCAAATGACAACTTTTTACTTTTAATTTGTACCACTCTTTGGATCATAATCATCATAGTGCATACGTTAGCCATAACATTTATTGTGATCATATTTGTTGTTCAAATTATGCATGATCAACTTCATTCAGAAATATTCTCTTTATCTCAAAAACCAATGTGTAGAATATTCACAATCATTATATGATGCAGACATGGAACGATTTAATTTGCACATTGCACACTTTTTTCACTCTGTAAGTTCAACGCAAATGAAACGTGTTATATTACTGCATTGTATTGATATGACAAATAGTATAAGGTCTTAAGCAATTTTGATGGTCATGGATTACATAACCATTTCAAAGCTATGGTCATACATACCCATTCAAAACAATAACCACTAGTTTTTTGTACATGAACAATAATGTCATGCTTATAGCCATTCAAAATCTATGGTCATTATGATTCAATGTTGAGATATATTGACAACAATCTTACCTCGTTCAAAAATGACATATCTACATTTTGTATTTCTCAAAGCATTATGAACATATCATAACAATGCACATGAATACATGTTTTAAATAAATCAGTTGCCATATGCATTTCTTGATGAAACAGTCATTTATAACAAAATTTATCAATATGTATTATTTTAATATATATTGAATTGATATATAACAGTCCCTTTGCGATGTCCGAGGGTATTTTGTTTTGTCAAACATCACAGTACTAACATATTGTCCAAAAAAACAAAAGATTAATCAATTATAGGAAAAAGTAATAACACACGTATGCAAAAATTACTCTATTTTACCCCAACTACATGCAAAACACTTGTTGAAAATCGCAAAAGCAAAAACTTCCTTCGGCATCTCCCATCAAATAAAATGAATTGTGTTGGATCTCATCAATATTCATTTCATTTGATAAAAGCTCAAAATTGTGCTACAATCCATGATCGTGCATTTTAAAATACACATTTTTATAATTTGATAGTTGACGGACATAGTGTGAAGAGATTAATTTTGATTTTGTAATAAATATATTCACTTGAATGACATCAAATTTAAATGTATTTTAAATCAGCTTAGCAAGTTCATGAACCTCATTGACTCATTTCAGAGAAATTCAAAAGTTCAATATGAATAATAAGTATAAACAAACAAACATGCTTTATATAATTTGTTTAAATGTTATTCATAACCATAAATTATTTTCATTTGATGTGAAAGAACACAATACTAACCAGATCAATCACAAGTAAATTCAAAATCTAATCTTACTTTACTTAAATTTGAAAAGATAAATTAACACGTAAAAATTTATTGTGTTTTTTATATCTTTGCCTATGCAAATTGAGTCCAGACAAATTTGTAATGATCTTTACATCGGAAAATTCATATTAAATGCAACGGTTTGAGTGATTGCAAATGAAAAATCTGATAGTGCATGCCATCAACAACATTTTTAAATAAAAAAAAAGTACATCAAACAGTTAGTTATATAATGTGTTTTGTACATCATATTTCTTGAATCAATTTATAATTGTAACAAGATGCAAATGAATACAAATAGATGGTAATTAAAAATATCATTCACACTTTAACATTGGTAAAACTAAATCATATGTTGTGTTTATTGTCTCCCCATTCATTTCATTGTTATTTTGATTGTTAAAACATCTCATTATAACTATCAAATAAAAAATTTGTTGCTTTATTAGCAAAATTTATTTCAAACGATCTTCATTTTAAAAAAATGTGTGTTATTGTGTTTTAAATATTTTGAATGTTATTCATGAGAGATACTAGACGTTTCAAATATTCAATTAAATAAGTTTTTGTTAAACAATTAGTTACATGACTTAGAGAATATCATGTTATTGTTCTAAAATTTACACAACTCATAATTTGTATGAGAACATGAATGACAATGTGGTGCATGCCGTTGGAAATTCTATCCGGTAAAATTAATTGTATAAAATTTCAACATGTATTTTGTGATATAAGTAATTACTTATTTTCACCTAGTTAATATTTTAATGATCAACATAACTGACTATGTTTTCATTTTATCTATATAGATACGTCATAATATTTTTTATATTTTTATTAAAATCAAGTTAAAATCTTTGAATTTCATTAAAAACTGTACATCTTTAAACATAAATATGGATAACAATATGATATATTCCCTTGTTTTGTCACTCAATAAATCATAACCAACAATCTTCAAGTTTTTTCTTTGTTATTCATATCTATGATTGTAAGTCCAAATATTAATTTGCTATGTATTAATCTATTCTCAAAAACTATCATATGTGTTGTTGAAAAACTTGATTTTGTAGTGACATGTAATGAATCATATAAATCTCAAATACTAGTTAACATATGACTTAACAATATTTATGATTCTATGTCATTGATTTGTTGTTTAACACCCCTTCATTAACTATTTTAATATTCAAACTTGACACTTGAATTATGATAATTATTGGTAATAAATAGATATATAAAGCATCAATTTTTTAATTTAATTTGTATAATTGAACAAGGAATGTATTTTGCCTATAAAAAGAAGAAAACACATAATATATTTACTTTTTGATATATATATATATATAATCAACAAAATATTAACAATCATTTGTTTTTCAAGAAATGATGTTAATGTTGTAAATGAATTTTTTAATCAAACTTAAAACTATTTTTTCAATAATTATAATACAATTTCTTTAACTACAATACATATTGTACAAAAAAAATATGTGAAAAAATCATTATTAATGATCTTATACATGCCTGTTTCTTGAAAACTAACAAATATGATGTAATCTGACTTTCGTTTTTCAATTACAAATCTATTGTATTTACATCGGTAGAAATCAAATTTACTTATAAAAAATGTTTTTTCTTATAATGAATAAAACCAAATTTGTAAATCTGTTTTATTTGCATGCAAAAAATATTATCATATGATACTGTAATTTTTTTTTGTACATACTATTTTACCTATATTTTATGGATAAAATGTGGTGATATCTAATTATTTTTATTTAAATAAAATATTCCAGATATTCCTAAAATTTTCAGTTTTGTTGTATTCAACTTAAATGAAAATTGTAAATTAAATACAATAATATGTTTTGAAAAGCTTATATGTGTGAATTTATATTTACACTATAGTGAAAAATATGTAAAACAAATTTAATTGAAGAAAAATATAAATATGTGTTAATTAATTTTTTGATTAAATGTATATTTTTCAATGACATAAATAAAAAAATAGATCAGCAATCAAAAAACATCCACATAAACTCAAATTATGTCAACAATCATGCAATAATATTTTAATGTATTGTGAAACGATCAATTTAAGCTACATATATTTGTAAATCTGCATTCTTTTATTTGGTATTATATTTTGAATGACATATAGTATTCACAAATCTTTATTACATAGTTTTTTTGGTGAAAAATTTACTTCTCACATTTTTTTTCCCTCATCTTATGAGAACATTGGTTTAAAAAACACATACTAAAAGTTATACAAATGGATATAGATATTGATCATTCGTAATGATTTAAGATGTTTGATATAATATTGTTAGTTTTCATTTTTTTAATGTGCATTATATTTAAGCACATCAACATGTATGAACAGATATGCCAAAGTAGATAATATGAAGTTACCACATGTATAATTAGATTATTCATGAATACATGCATAAATATTAATTTTCTTTATAAATGGTAAATGGATCAAGCCTGTGGGACCCAAAGGATCAAAAGGCTGAAAAATATAATACAAACATTCCAACTTCAACCTATAAGAGAACGAAAAGAATCCCCTAGTTAGTGCTAAGAGCACTAGAACGGTAACTAATAACATACCTAATGTAATAACCTAAATCATAAGGCTCAAGCTGAAGCAAATAATATAAATTCTCAACAACAATTTGATGAGACACTTTAATCTCTATATATCTAGTAGAAGCAAGAAACACATGCTCTTCATACTCAACATTTTTTCCATCACAAAGCATACAAATCCTATCACTCATATCAATATTCAACCAACGTACTTCCTCAATTCCAAGTATATGAGATCTTGTTCTATGCTTGGCAATAATATGACGTAAAGATGTAGAGATCTCAACAACAAGATATCCTTGCTCACAATAATTAAGCATAGGATTGACATGAAGTTGATAAAACTGCATTTTGATGCATCGTTTGTTCCAAATAATATTGATAAATTCCTCCATAATGCACTCGCGAAGGGCCATAGGTTGAAGATCCCAATCCAAATCCGTCACATTCCATCTCAAAGACCAAGTCATCACATCTGCAAAACATCCTTAGAACGTGTGGCACACAAAACATGAAGAGTAAGTCAATAAGCATAAAGAGATCTCACATTTTGAATATAAAATACAAATTTAAAAATATATTGATTTTTTATTCCCATGTACTAATGTAAACGACAATTATTAAAACATGTATTTTAAGTGATTATGAACTATTAGCTCTATATGAAGTTGATAGCACTGCATAGTTTAAATATATGTCATAGAGTTTAACATGTATGATGAACATGTGAGAAAAACATAGATTTTTCAGATTTATTCATTATGTGTGACATGTGTTCAATTGAAAGAAAAATAGTAGATACTATATTGAAAATGACAACACTACATACAATTAACATTTGAATAGATGCACATTTTTACTAAAATATCATGAGTTGCTTACAATTGACTTTGGAACAAGAATATATTCTAATCATTTCTTAACTTATTTATATAATGTAACAAAATTTCTTATTTTTAAAAATATTGCATACATAATTTAATCAAAACTGATTTGCAATAAACTCAACATGAACATGTATTGGTATTACTTGAATATAAATGCAATACCTTGAAACTTATAATCAAGTGATATTGTTTGCTAAATCTATTTGAATAGTAGATTATTTGATGTAAAAGTTCATAGACAAATTGATAGGTGTTGTATATCATCTCATCCATGATATCAAAGAGTTGAAGATGTGTTAATTGTTGAAATGAGTAGATGAGATAATGGATAAATTTAGCCATTTGTATTGTAACATGCAAGCTAATAGTGATAACATTGAAGATCAATAACATGAATACAAATATATTTTTAATTGTGATACATGTGTTATAAGCCATAAATCAATATGTATCACACATCTGATTTTATAGTTGTAATATATATCGAATATGATGAGCATGCAAGTACATGTTTTTTCTAATCTATGAGGATCATAATCATTAGGGAAATTAGTCAACTAGTTTCCAATAAGACATGTGAAGTGGTTATGGTATTCTGATAAACAATGTTATTCCAAGAGCACACATGCATAAAGAGAAAAGAATGTCAACGAGATGAAATGCTCAACATGAAGTGTTTATGTGAAGTGGCTCCGGACTTCTGATAAACAGTTCTATTTCACAAGCACACATGAATAAAAAGAAAAAAATGTCAACAAGATGGAACGAGCAGTATCAAGTGTTTATGTGAAGTGGTTCTGGAATTTCTTGTTATAAAATTGTTTACGTGAAGCGTTTAAAATTTTATTACAAGAGCACACACAAATAACAAAATAAAATGTCAACTAGATGGAATGCGCAGTATGAAGTGTTAATGGTAGACCTCATTAAAAGTGGGATTTTATTAAAAGCCACTTTTGCCACAATTAAAATTGGACAGATGTCACAGTTAAGCCTTTGGGCAGTGTTTGATATTAGTGTTTTTTAGATTATTGTGGACAAAAATCTAAGTAACGCATGATCACCTGATCAATGTAATTTTTGGAAGAAAATAAGATTACACATAAAGGGAAGGTTTTCTAAAACTCTAATGCCAGAATATTCTGGCTATGAAACCGAATTTCTCTCCAATCCTAGGATTGAAGACATGTGATGTGACTCATGTTGGAACAAAGTTCAGGCCTGGTGGATTTTTGGAAGTTGTCACTATTCCGTTGAATAAGTCTAATATCAAGAACCTCATATTCTTTTCTTCTCATGGACAAGCGCCATGGGGTTAGAGTATCTTCACGGTGAATAATCATGCGGCCTGTTTATGTTTAGGTGTCTGGTGAACATAACATGAGATTGGAACCCAAGTTAAACACAAAGGATAAGCAACCTGACTCACGGTTCTTGTGAAATAAGGTCAATCTCTTATACTTTCAATACTGTCACAAGATTTTGAAATACAAATTCCACTTTTCAGAAATGTTGGGTGCAACAATTAAAGGAAACGTGGCAAAAGTGTCAAATGCAATTCTAATGAGGTATAGTTTACTTACATTACAGTGAGACGTTTTCAAGACGGATATAAATCCATATGCTCGAACAACACATTCATTCAACCATGTGAAACTTGTCTGCTCGTTGGAATTACCGGTACACTCTCCAACGAGTCCAACCTCGCAACCTAACTTCACAGCTCCTTTGTTTCGAACCCTGTTTCCAGTCATTTCTGCAATCCATTTCGTGATATAATAATTTTCTTTTCTTTTGGCCATAGGTGTGTTACATGGGCCTAAGGGGACTTATACAGCACCCAGTCAGGATGACTTGGACGTCGGACGTGGACATCGACTCCAGGAAGGTCACTGAAGAGATGACGCGTGGACAGGAAGGCAATAGGGTGGAACGGGGCAGCGGCCGCCGCCCTCGAAGAGAAGAAATGCAGCTGATGAAGCTGCACTCTTCCTTTTTAGGGTCGATTCGAAGCGAGATCCAGTCCCTCCACAGCGGAGGAATTGGCCATTCCGAATTACAACGATTACATTCGGTGCAGCTGACAGACGCGAAGAGATCGACTCGCACGCCGGTAGCCTTTCTGCCCTATCCTGCAAATTACTGTTAGATTAGCGCCAATGTACACCACAGTCTGCTTTCCCAAAGTGACGTGAGCCCGCCTGGGGTTTTGGGTTTAGAGCTCACTGGCGGCACGAGGGTCCCAGGCCATGCGGAGATTGAGGTTTTGCGAACTGCGGCGGGTTTAGGTCTTTGCAAAAGTCGGCTTCCAACTGCTTGAGAACTAAGTAGCAGGTTTTTGTATGTTTAGACGCTTGTGAAGATTCAGAGCTAGGTCTGAACATCTTTGTGCTCGCTGCGGCTTTGCGGAGGTTGTTGTCACTCCACGGCTTTTACGGTGAGGATAGTGACGGGAGTGTTGTGTTGGTGTTGGTCGAGTTGTTAGACGTCCGAGAAGTCCTGGACATCGCATTTGCAGTAGTCGTGATCTCGTGGCTCCGGTGGTCACTTCACAGCTTTTGATCCTCTCCATCACGTACGGAAGATGACCCTTAAAAAAATTCTACGTGAGGTTTAGGCCGCATTGGTAGATGGTCCTTCTATTTGTTGCCAGCAATTTTCAGCTGTCTAAAGCTTGTCTGCGCCTTCATTAACCTGTCGCGAATCTGCAGAACTCAAGCCTAGTTTCGAGCAGCAAAGATGGGCAAGTCGAAGAAGAAATCAGTAGAGGTAATTCTCGTCTGTTCTTCCGGAGTAATGCGCTTGAAATTGCAGATATATAGTCAGTGCGTGTTGTCTGCAAGTACTTGGCAACGTCTCATGGGTTTTACACCCAAGGACCTAGTGATACTCCCCCGAGCTTGTTTCATAGGTTTGCAAGTGGCTTCAACGATGATCGTTCGTCACACGTCACTGACACACGTGACGGCTTCTGGCAATATTATCAGTCTTTAGAAGCCGATGGAGAGAGTCGTAGGATTAGACGTCTGGTGTACTTAGCTCAATGTTGAACTTCGGACAAGTTCCCATTCTCGGAGTATGTTAATTGCTAACTTCTGATGTTATGTGCAGGTGGCTGCCCCAGTAACCACCAAGGTTGTGCCCGAGAAGAAAGGAGGTAAAGAGCGGACAATACATTCGTGTCTTTTGGTTCATTCAAAGTTTCACATGTCCGTCTTGAACTGAGTCCTGATCATGCTAAACCCTCCTTGTGAATCAGGGAAACGAGCTCTCGAGGAGGCAGCTGACACACCTCCTCCTTCCAAGAAGACCAAGCAGCAAAAGAAGACTCCCCCTCCGAAGCAAGTGGAATCCTCCTCGTCCGAAGAGTCCGACTCAGAAGAAGAGGTGAATAGACTGTCTTGAAAAAATTAGGAAATCTGTGTTTGACTTGTTGTGAGGCTTGTGTCTCTGTTGAGTGCGTACATGTTCATACCTGCACTTCTGATTCTCCCTTGGATTAACTTTCAGGCTCCAAAGGCCGCGGCCAAGAAAGCTGCACCCGTCAAGGCAAACGCCAAAGCTCCCGCTAAGAAGCCAGTAGTCGAGGAGAGCAGTGAGGAGGATTCTTCAGATGAGGTACAGTCGTTTCCCCGATCACACTGTAAGTGGTCTTTATGTTCTAAAACTGTCTATTTGAACCAGTTTCATGTCTAACTGTGTCGACTTTGATCTTCAGGAGATGCCTGACGCAGTGAAACCCATTCCTGCCAAGAATGGCAAAGCAGCCTCTAGCGACTCTGACGAAGACTCAGACGACGACTCTGACGAAGAGGTGTGTTCACTTATTTTTTTGGCAATCACGTCTTTTGTTTTTGAGTATGTCCATAATTTTCAAAATATTCTTGTCCTCTCGCATAGTCTAAATGTGTAGTTTTTGCCAGCCTGCCCCGAAGGTCGCGGCCAAGCCTGCTCCCAAAGCGGCAGCCAAGCCCGTGAAGGCCCCTGTCAAGAAGGTGGAGGACAGTGACTCCGACGAGGAATCAGAAAGTGATGAAGAAGATGAGGTATGTATTTGACATTAGTAGCAGAACATGGAGTTACCGAGCAACATCATTATATCTACATCCGCGTGTTCTGAAATTTTTTGTTGGGATGCTTCAGCCCGTGAAGGCTGCAGAGGCACCTAAGGCTGCGAAGAAAGCTGAGAGCAGCTCTGAAGAAGATAGCTCTGAAGAGGACTCTGATGACGAGAAGGTAACCATCGTTGATGAAGGTCCTTGCCGATGATGGTGTTTTGTGGAGGTGTATACTTAGTGTACCAAATGTCACGTGTGAGGTGGATGTAGAGCTCGTTTGTATTGCGAAAATGAGAGTCCTGTCTCGGATTTTGAGAAATTGAATATTGTATCTGCAGCCCGCCAAGCCTGTTGCGAAAGCTGCAGTGAAAGCTGCCAAAGAGGAGAGCAGCGACGACGAAGAGGAGGATGAAGACGAAGACGAAGCGGAGGAGAAACCGGCTGTGAGTTGAAAAACCTCTCTGCCTGTTCGAATAGATGTCACTCCAGGTTTGGAAGTAGGCCTGGGAATGTGACGATGGGTTGCTGAGAGTGCCGTGCTTCAGTGTCGTGTCGTTCTTTTTCTTCCAGCATGTTGGTTTCTGTCACGTATCTTCCCTCGGAAATCGATCCTGCATGGAATATCATCATCAAGTGAACATTGGATTCCGGGTGTGGACAGACTTTTATTCCTAGTGTATCGGTCTTGCTTCCACATAGCATGAACCCTATCTTCGATTATTATCTCACCTGCCCATAATGGTAATTCGGTGGTGCAGCCCGCCAAGGTTAAAGCGGCTCTTAAAGAATCCTCCTCAGAAGAGGGAAGTGATGATTCTGATGAAGACAGTGACGAAGAATCGGAGCCTGTCAAGAAAACCAATGTTGTAAAGAACGAAGTCAGTATTCTTTTCAACACGTGAATCCCAATTTCGACATCTTGACATATGGTAAGCTTTCTTGGTTGAAACTGACAACTTGTTTAACATCTATCAATCTCGAATCTGCAGCCCAAGACACCTGTGAAATCCGATGCCGGTGGTGAAGGAAGCAAGACCATTTTCATCAAGAATTTGGCCTGGGCCGTGACCAGCGAGACTTTGTAAGTCCTGGACTCGACTTTCTTGGTCTCATGTTGTATGAGTTGCGGGTCTCTTCAGATCTTATTTTGAGACGTGATCATCTTTTTACGTAGGTTCGAGTTTTTCGCCGATTGCGGTGAAGTATCAGACGTCCGTATTTCTCAAGATGACCAGGGGAGGTCTCGCGGATTTGGGCACGTCGAGTTCGACTCTGCGGCGGCTGCCAAGAAGGTACGACTATGAAGGAGGTTCATGACAATCAATTTTATGACCTGCTCTTTCTTTTGCAATCTCAAACGTTTGTCATGCCACTGACTGACAATGTCATTGTTCAGGCGGTTGCTAAAAGCGGACAGAACTTGGAGGGCAGGGAGATTTTTTGTGATCTTGCACACGAGAGGGGTCCCAGGACTCCTGGAGCCACTACTCCAGGAAGAGACTTCAAGTCCCCAGGGTAATTTAGCATGGCACTGAAAGAGCAATTTTCAACGGTGGCTTCACTCAAGCAAAGCGCTTAAAATTTCTTGTTGTTCCTTTCCGAAGTCCGCAACCAATTAATCCGTTTTCATTCCATCGTTCAGGGCAAATGGAGCCGGCACGCCGAGACCAGGGTCTGACAAAACTGCCTTCGTGAAGGGTTTTGACAAATTCCAGGATGAGGACTCCGTAAGTCACTGTGAAATCTATACACCTACATTCCCACTTCCTTGCCAGGGATGAGTCCTTCTGCCCCCATTCCTAACATTGACGATCCTTTTTGTTTGAAACAGATCCGCAACGGTTTGTCTGAACACTTTGGTGAGTGCGGAGAGGTGGTGAATGTCAGGATTCCAACTGACCGAGAAACGGGAGAGATCAAGGGGTGAGTTTAGTTTTTATGCGGATTGTCTCGATTATTTCGAAAACCATGAGATCATCTTGGATTAGAGCGTCGTTCTGTGAAAAGTGATTCTAACAGTGTCGTTGTATCAATAGATTCGCGTATGTTGAATTCGGCGACAAGGATTCTTTCTCGAAGGCCTTGGAGATGGATGGATCGAAATTCGGTGGCCGGAATATAGTGGTCAACGAGGCTGGTCAATCCACCCCCGGAGGAGGTGGTGGTAGAGGGTTTGGTGGAGGCCGAGGTGACCGCGGCGGAAGAGGAGGCGGCGGTGGTCGTGGTGGATTTGGAGGTCGTGGTGGAGGTCGGGGAGGCTTCGGTGGCCGGGATGGTGGTAGGGGAGGTCGAGGGGGTCGTGGAGGTGATAGAGGGGGCCGAGGTGGGTTCAAGCCTAAAGTCAATCTTGCTGCTGCTGGAACAGGTATGTTGTCACCTGTTCCGCTCTGAAGTTCAGTTTTCTTGATGGTCATTTCTCTGCTACCTCGTGTACGTCTCGAGTTTTACTTACAAAGTGCTTTTTCTTTGTCAGGCAAGAAAACAACATTTGACGACTAGGTGCAAAGACTTCACTCAGATCACTGTAACAGACTTTCTCCTATACCCTACTACGAATTTAATTTATTCTCCTGAAACTTTATCATCCGGATTATCTCTGGTACACTTTTGTTAGTGAGCTTTTCTTTTAGATCGGCAAAAAGTTATCGGCTTCGTATCCAGAGTCAAGATGGTAGAACAGAGTAAACTAAGCTGCAGTGTAGATGCTCTAGTGTTCACCAATCACATAGGATTTCTCGAAGAGTTCTACGAGGGGTTTTATCATTTTACCACGTCAATTGTAGAGAACAAATTCTGTGGAACTTGTAAGGTTTAGACAAGTTTTACAGATGTTATGGAATTATCAGAATCCACCAATGGGTTCTCAGGCGCACTACACGCGACTTATAGTTGCTGCTGTGAAATGGCCGGGAACAGGAGTTATCAGGCACCACTGCCTAAACCAACTAAACCTTGTAATTCTTTGGTTTGATAAAATCTCTGTCAAGGATTTTTTACCTGACAGTAGTCAGCATACCTACGTGTAAGTCCGTACCAGTGAATGTAGAATTTTTTTTCTCGAGAAGTATTCCTCAATAGGGAGTGGAAATATTGCAAATGGTGAGCTTCAATTTTGTATAAGACTCAAATTGGAATAAATGATGAAAAGTATGTTCACAAATCGAAGGCGCGGTACATTTTAAAGCGCAAAGTGGCAAATGCAACTACTTCTACGAACATTATACTTCAAACATAACGCAGCGTATGAGCGATGAATAGAACACAATCTTACACACCCTACTCCTAAAATATGAAAAAGAACCTTATCCACAATGATAAAATTCAATTCGTTTATAGAACATGTAAACAAAAACCGTGAAAAATTTAACTCTCTGTTTATTCAATTTGATTATCACTCTACTTACCATACGTAATCAATACTGAAATGGACAATTGTTAAGAAGGGAAACCTGAGAGAGGGTTTAATACAACATGAGAACTCTCGCTCTATTATCAATAGTCTTCTGTACGACATTGGAATCATTCCCTTTATCCCAAGAACATGAAGAGAATACTTTTAAAAAAGATGTCATTATTTAATATCCTTAATATCGCAAGAACCTAAAGAAAATGTTTTTTACAGAAAATCTGTTAATCTTTTTATCTAATTTATTTTATGTTTTACATTGAATTGAAAGCATGAGTCTCACTAGTTTCTTCATTTAGCCATTTTTTGACAGAGCCAAAGCTAAAAGTATTGCGCTGAATTTATAAATTTCGAAAACCAATTTTAAAACATACCGGTAATGATTAAGTCAATTCTTATTACACCGAGAGTTGCAAAGATGGTTTCTCAAAGAGTAAAAATGAAGACAACACATCTCATCTCATTATTAAAGTAACAATGTATGCAATTTTAACTTCTTTAGTGGCAACGCCATCTAGAAACGGTGAGGGTGAAAAAAGTGCGTAACGCGATATTGAAAAAACTGCAATATTTATATTAATTGCGCATACAAGTGTTGTAATCTCACAACTTAGTGATCCCACAATATACTGGAGGGAATCGTGAGCACATCGTACCGGAAAAGTTTTAAAAGGAGCATCTTTATAGAATAACCCAATCATTCATTTGACTTCTGTGGGTGGGCATATATCATCACTTGTAGCTGATTGAGGTCATTGTACAGATTGCTTGACAGGTAGGTAGGTGTGGAACAGATCTGAGATCTGATTCGCCGATCGTAAGCATCTGTACGTTGGGGGGCTCGATTCGACTAGACTGAGTAGATCAGAACCTTGTGGCGGCGATGGTGTGAAAACATGTTCCAGACGAACTGCAAGGAATTCTGCCCTCGCGTCAAGTGGACGACGGACTCAGTCCGCCCTCCGGGTTGTACACCAGGGGAGTTAGATTTGGTGCACGTCAGAAAATTTAACGACAAATCATGAATCCAGATGTAAGATTCTCCGTTTGAATGTCCGCATATGCTCTTTGGATGGGAGGGACAATGTGAACGACGTTGCCCTCCCACTTGTACGCAACAACGAAGATTCCAACGCAAAAATTCTATGTCAGTGTCTCCGATCGAGAATTGACCGCAAGTCAGAACCCGAGCGTCATACCGAACCTTCGATAACGCAATGTCAACTCAAGCCCTTCGTGACGATCGTCAACATGGTTGGAACTGAGATTGAGAATTTCTTACTGAGAGACGAAAGCAGTGCCTCAGGGACCATCCCGTTTGTAATTTGGAGGAAGCACACACTTGTCTCTGACTCCAATTCACGTATGACTGGGAGGAAAGTGATCGACACCGAGAAGAGTGCCAAGCCACAGTTCAGTACAGTACAGTGGCCGAAATAGAACACAGCAAAGAGGCGATGGTTTGCCGAGTCTGCTGACCGCCAGCGTGGGTTCCCGAGACCTTGTCTCCGCACACTGTTACCACACAGAACTGTGGCTGAATGCACGAGGTTCGATTGCTGTTAGGGGCGGAAGAAGATGGGATCATGTCAATCGTCCCTCCGGATGTAGTAGAGTCGACAGGGCTGGGGCCTGACCCTACACGATGAGCTAATGCATTAGCTCATCGTGCCGGCCCCTTGAGTGCACCTTAAATAGAGCTCGTCAAGAGATGAACCTCAGCAGCAGCAAGGCCTCCATTCCATTTCTCAATCTGCCACGAGTCATTGAGAAGAGCAGTTTCAGTTCGTTTTTCACCTGCCAACGAGCTCAAGTGAGTAGCAGGAACACAATAGCCTCTCTCTCACTCATTCGATTCCGAAATTCTCTCTCTCATCCATTCAATTCCGAATTTCGCAGCTATGGTTTTGTTGTTGGCAAGATCGGAACTCAACGATTGGAACGGCTGTGTGTTTTATGGTGATCAGGTTCAGTTCGGTGCAGATTCAGAAGATGGAGTTTCCCACCATTGTCAGCCCCCAGTACTGCTCCCCCGAGCACGTGAAGCTATCGGTGGCCAAGCATTTGGTCGATTTCAACCATGGCAACTTCGTCATCACGGATAGCAATGGCACTACACTCTTCAAGCTGGATCACAAGAAGGTCATGCTCCGCGAATTGACAGTGCTGCGCGATGGTGGTGACTGCCCCGTGGTCAGCATCCACAAGAAGGTCAGATGCCCTTCATCTGCTGTGACTTGAAAGAGCGCAATATAGCAGCTTCAATTCAATTCAATTCACTTCTTCTCCTCTCACAGTGACCGACCGACCGATCGACTGATGCACATGTCGTCTGAGCAATTTCCCATTCCCGAATCGTGCAGTCGATGACTGACCATTGCATTTCAGGCCATTTCTCTGCATGACACATACCAAGTATATCGTGGAGAGAGCCACCAGGAGCTGTTCACCGTCAAGGACAAGCACATGAGAGATGGCAACGAAGAGACGTACGAGGTTCAACTCGAGGGAGCTCCAGAACCCCAGTTCGAAGTGAAGGGAGACTTCGTCCGCCGCAACTACCAAATTATCTTCGACGGCACCACCATTGTTGCCGAGGTAACTCCCTGCCATAGCTTCGTTCCCTAGTCCAGAGCCACCAGCACGTGATCTCTCCCGTCTCGAGATCAGCATCGGAGTCGGCATTTGAAGCTCGGGCTGTCCTCTTCTCTGCTGATTCGATTCTGATGCCTCTGATTAATGGATCCGATTCCTGCAGGTGGCCAAGAAGCATTTCTCGATCACATCATTCTTGACCGGAAAGAACAAGTACGGTGTCACCATCAACCCCAACGTCGACCAGGCGTTCATCGCTGCCGTGGTGACGGTCATGGAGGCCATTCACAACGAGGGCAAGGAGAAGGACGGTAAGGGTGACAAGAGCTCGTCCGACTCGGACTAGAGAGCATGAGGACGAGAGGTTCAAAGCTCTGGACAATCCGACGTTAGCTTGTCATACAGGAGCAAAGAATGAACGATTTTTTTAGGAGTTGATAATATTTCGGTGATCCATTGTGTCCCTCGTGCTTGAGGCCAAACCTTCATGCAATAAACACGTGTATAATTCCATTCCACGAGTCTCGTCTGTCGGTCGTGTCGTGTGTTTTTGGTGATTCACATGAGGCTCTATTCTAGAATGTGATCAGCATTCAAACGATCAAACCATGTTTTTGTGAGTTACAAGAGTTGCTGGAGGTATTTTCTTGATGGGATCTCATCGAACCTAAATTGGTTATGGACCCATCAAGTTTCCTTTCACCACACTGTCGCTTACTTCTAAAACATGTTCCTGTACACTAAAGCCAGTGTACAGGAATATGCGAGTTTTAGTGGAACGACGACGAATTGTGACGGACATTGTCACAAGTGCACAGAGGTTTTGGGAAATTCGACTTGGTAAGCAACAGCGGACGTGTGGAATCTGTGGAGCAGATTCACATAGAGTGAAGCGGAGTCTTTTTCAATCCGAACGTCAGGTAGGTTTACAAATTTTGGTGCAGTGGAGAAGTCTCCGACCAAAAAAAGATCCGGGTCCGATTGCACTGAGTGGAGATTCAATGATGGACGACCAGTGTAATCTCGCTGTCACAGTTCGACCTTTCTTAATACTAGAATATGTGTGACTTGTAAAACGAAACTTAAAGGGTCAGTAAGCAATTTAGGTTCCCATGGGGTACCATCAAATAAATACCTCCGAGCTGGTGCCAAAACTTGACTTGTCACCCGACGAAACACGATCTCGACACCACATATGAGACATGGCGTCTGATCCTTTTTCGCCCGGCGAGGTCATGTGTCATAGTCGAACTCAGATCATGAAAGTACGCAGTCGAAACAGGATCTCATATTCTGGACCACATCTTGTAATCGGGACTCGCATCTTTCCTTGGCTGCCGCTGCTCTCCGTCATTCTTCGAGAATGAGATCGGCATGCATGTAATGCGTGCATGCCGATCTCATATACTAAACTTTTGAAATGGATGTCGGATTTTTATCGAGCATTCTGATGAATTTTGTGAGGAACTTCATCGGTTCGTATTTTCTGCAAGGATTAGGCTGGTTATGTTTGCTCATGATTTTACTATATGTTTATGCCATATTTAAACTTTGGCCTCAGGCATCTTCTTGGTTTGTACATCACACTCCTTGTCAGTGATTACTTGAATTTAAATACGTACAGTTGTTAAGGAAGTCGCATTAGATACGTGCTTTGTTCCAAGTTGAGGTCTTAAGTCTTAACCAGCATGAGAGCGTAAATCGTCTGTATATATGTCTTATGGGAGTTGTTGACAATTACGAGCACTTTCTTCTAATACTCATTCTTGTGTGGTAAAGACCCTACACTTACTGCAATCTGGAGACGTTTAAAATTGACGTGTTGAAACGTTGCCTTCTCAAACAGTAATCGACTTAATTCCTAGAGCTTGAAGAGACTAAATCTCCTTACCAAGATTTTGTAACATAAACTCCGTTTATTCATGGAATGAGATATTGTATAACGTTGTTTAGCGAGTATTTCTTTCTCATTTTTGACTTCAAACATGACCTTTATCCTAGCATTGGCATTATCATGATATATATGTACAGACATACATACACAATCATGTTACGGATTTATGACAAAGATCAAATCTTTTTCAATTTGCACGACCAACATTCTTTAAGTACAACCAGATCACGTGTAAAACATTTGTACCGTGTCTTACCAGCAAGTAACGTGTTTATTCCAAATTCGAAGCAGTTATTTTAACTGCAATAGAAATGAACGAGAATAATTATCTTAATATCTAGAATGCTAAAAATGTAAACGAGATAGTACAATCAAAAGTGGTATCTTGAGAACTTTTCTCGGTCTCTAGAGGAAGATATCTCTGAAGGATCGTTAATCCCACTCGAGACACTCGAGGATTAATTGCTGGAATGAGGTTTGCAAGTGAGACCGTAACACTGTTTCTTCACAATCAATTCCTTCCACTTTCTCTAGACTGGATCAGAATTGAACATGTAGTGAATGTAATGACTTGGTTGAGTGTCCAAACTGGTCTCCGTCGCTGACAAACTGAATGCGTGAAAGCTGAAGAATAAACTCGACAACCGCCCAGGGAAGAAGGCTAAGTGTAGAATGAAAATCCTTTGAAATATCGATTATGCCTGTAAGGGCATAGCAGTTCCCAGTGAGCGAAACTAGTAAACTACTCGCAGATGTATGTATCCTGAACTTTGTACTCAGTAAGTGGACATTTACCGTACACACTGCTGCAGGATTAGAACATCCCGTGGGGACAAATTGTCAGTGAAAGCCAGTGTGAGTCATCCGTTAGAACTGTCCCAAAATCATATAAAAATAACCTTCGGACGGTGAATAAAGAGCATTGAGAAGCAAAAGTGAGCTAAATCCGTCTTCCCACTAACCATGGACAGCCGTCTTTCCCCAGTGTGCCTACCAAACAGGTGTTTCAGTTTCCAGAAGGGGAAAGGGCAAAGTCCAAAGCCAAATCCGACAAAGCAGTATGTGCTTCTATTCTATTATAACGGTCGGTATTCGACCATCCTCACTTGCATTAAGGTGCAGACAAAATAATCACAACCACACTTCACATGCATGTATACAGGAAGGTCATGGTGAATACAACCGATGTGAACTTCTTCAGGCCAACGAGAAAAAGATTCTCTTAAGTACGAATGAAAATTGGCGCACCGAAACATAGCGCCATTGATGTACACAATCCCCGAAGGGCATCCCTCATAACTAGTGTCTAAGAAAGAAAGAGGAGAAAATTTGATCATATTAGGAGAGAGCTCATTACCCTTCATTCGCAGTGAGCTTGAGTCTCTTCACCTACATTCGCCACAAGTACACTGCAATTCTACACAATCTACACTCACTTCGCTAGTGAAAAGTCTCACTGGCATCCGTATGAATTCCTAGAATGCATGATACTCTGTTGGAGATATCAAGCTATAGCATTGCTAGTCTTCAAGAGTAAGGCAGAGACTGATTTCTCTCTCGCTAGAGAATTGACAGAGGAGTCAGTATCGGTCCACTATTTTGAAGTCGTCGTCCTCCAAGACCATCACCTCTTCGCTGCCGATGAAGTGCTCACGGCCAATATCGTTCACAATTTTCACGAATTCTTCTCTCATGGCTTGACAAAGAGGATAATATGGTAACCTGAATACAGGTTTGATAACCTGTAGTTGAGAAAGCGCTGTGTTCAATCCAATAGGATTGGGCTCCTTAAATAGCCATGTTATTAGAGGCTGGAGTCGGGCATTTAGGGCGTCATCTCTCCCAGTGTGCAATAACTCGTGCATAAGTCCTGGTACGAGGTTGCTAACTACAGAGATGACCCCTCTTCCTCCGTGAATCCATCTAGAGTCGTGGCACTCGTCATCGTTACCACTCCACACCTCAATATTTCGCTCTGCGTAGTGCTTGACTCGGTCGTGACCCATGCATTCCTTGATTCCAGCAAAATGCTTCCCCTTTGCTAATTGTTCCACTATCTCGGTTGGAATGTCTTGCCCTGTTCTCCCCGGAACGTTGTAAATAATCGAAGGGCCCATACCGATGACCTTGTCAAAGTGCTCTAGCATACCTCTCCGTGAGGTCTTTCCATAATAAGGGTTTATATGCAAAGCGGCATGCATGCCGACATCAAATCCGGCCTCCGTGGCTTTGATGGCTTCGTTCGTTGCATTGCTACCCGTATTTCCTATGATGCAAATCTCGTCCCCGAAGCATGTCACGGAGTGTGCAATCAGTCTGATGTGATCATCCCAACTCATGAGCTGCCCTTCACCTGTTGTGCCCCCGACTATAATTCCCTCTACCTTGTTCAAAATCTGGCACCTCACAAGCTTATCGTACGCTGCAAGGTCAAACCGCCCACATTCTAGGTAAGGGGTTTTGACGGCAGTGATGAGTCTCAACTTCTTGATGTCATCGACACTCCTACTGCATACACCAATTTCGATCAGACAGACGACACAGTCCAGCAAGGACGAAAGCTATCTTCAACATTGTGCCTCGGCGCCCAGCGGAAGAAAATAAAACGGGGCAATGATCACCTAAACATTCTTCGGAGAAGAATGTAGAATAACTACCAGATAAAAGCACAACTCACAGCTCCTCCAAGCAGGTAGTACATTTCCAACCTGATCTAGTCACGCTGCCATGAAGAGTCACCGACAGAAAACTTACAAGGTTTTACTCTCAGTGCCGCACTCAGCCCAAAGATCCCGCGCCGATAGCGTTTTCTCCTGAGTACTGACCTCCGTAGAGGAAACCTTCAGCGCTTGTGATCTACATTTCGTCTGTATCGATCGTGGTGACGATCCATGAGCTGGCCGCGGGGAAGCCACCGACAATCGACTTCCAAATAACTCACCATGGCTCATTGACGACACTCGCGATTGAGGCCAGGCCGTCGTAGTCGGTCCAGAACAAATGGTCCTCTCCATGAGGATCCCTACTGCCTGCTATATCCTGGCAATTACGTCTTCGGAGCCCACTCGAATCCCTGTACACCCTCAGCCTCAAGGACGCCCCACTGGATCTGCGAATTTTGATCTGCAGCTACGGTCTAAAGCATGCTACTTGCACATTACCCGGACTCACCATCCATCGGCGAGAGTGCACAATTTTGGGGTACAGCGAGTCGCAGGGTCCACAGAACACCAGGAATTCCCTCGGGTCCCTGTGCAGGCTCGCGATTCACTCCCAGCAAGAAAATCCGCCAGCCCTCGTCGACGCAATCCTGTCTCGACGCCCGTGCACACCATTCACTGAGCTCCATCTGTGCAGGCTGTGGCAATGGCTCCAAACCCTAAATCAACTTTTGCTGTCTATTCTATAGTTCTTGTACTGCGCATGAGGGCTTCGTTACAGTACGCTGCTGAGCGCGGAGCAAGAACCTCTGCGAGCGAGCCTGGGCCTTCATCGCCTGCGTTGCCACCGTGCGTGGATCCCGCCGAGAATTAGGTCCGTCCGACGTGGATCTTCTCTGTCATGGCATACGTCCACCTCATGTGCTGCCGCAGCCTTAGTCTGCAGTTTAACTCAAGTGTCCAGTCAATATGAAAAAAATCAATAAGCCCAAAAAAATTTTGGAACAAGATGTTCATAGTACTTTGAAAACTATATATTAACTTATGACTTAGTCAAGGTAACTGTATTTGAAACAGATATTTGAAAAATTTTACATGGCAAAGTTCACAAGATCTGGCAACAAATTTTCAATTTCCTCTCTTAATGTCCAATCAATTTTATTTTGAACAAGAATATATCATCGATTTTTTTGACAATGCAATGAGTAAGCTAATTTTTTGGTATGATTATCACTAGACATGATATCGCTCTGTGTCAAATTTAGAGAAAATGCATTAACAGTCCATTATGTAAACATGTGTTCGTGTTGAGCAATGAAGAGAGCAATCCCAATGGTTTAATGCCTGATCATTCTTCGGGTAAGAGCTACCTATAGTCTTCCCATATACTTCACAGGTCGAGAAATGAATCAGTAGTTTTTTGTAATCTCTACAGAATCGCACCTGTTTCAGGGAGATGGATCAGCTAACACTTAGGTAGAATGCTAAAAGTATGACTGGAGAGTCGTTTAAATGAGAATGCCTTACTCCTTAGCACCGGCAAAGCGTCAGTGAAGTTACTGTATATCTTATCTAGAGGACATGTGTTGTGGTCTGCCGCTGTGCAGATGGCGGCCAAATTGATTACCTGCAGGCAAGACAACATGCGTTCAAAATTTAGAAAGCGTACGCACACCATACCACATGTAAGCTAACAAAATTTAGACTTAAATAACTCCAAAGAGTTCCAGCTTGCTGAAGGAGTTCCACATGACAAAATTCTGCAGATTTGGTCATGTGGAGCAGGAATTTGACGACAGTCGTTTCCAATGAAAACCTTTCGTGCCGGAGCACTCATTGTTACGCATTTTCTCAGTCAGCATACTGGGGCTAAACGTGCTAATAGGGAGTTCGGTGTACCCCAACAATATGCGGTGCAAATTTAGAAGACTCCAGACCACAATCACGCTCTCAGACTCACCACATCAGATATCTTGATCAGATTTGCAGTCTGAGGATCATGCTTGATATTGATCATGAAGAAATCAATGCTATGGCTCTATTCTTCGCCGGGATTTGGGAGATGTGGATGCTTGTCGCAAAAGATATCCACAGCGATTATACTATGTTCCCTGTTCCATTTGAGAGGCTCACACAGATGGTATCCTATAAAACCACCCGCGCCTGTAATTCATATCTTTAGAGGTGTATGCACTATTGCTTGCTGAGACAAGGGCAGAGTGCTAGCACCAGATCATACACGCTACCAAGGCCGGCGCAATCACTCGTTTATCAGTGATTGAATATTGAAGTGAAGCATTGAAACCCAGGTACACACCAAAGAGAGCAAGGCCCGGGAAGGTAGCAATTCAAAATCCTTACACTTCTCTCGATCCGACAGGCCAACGAGACACACATGAGAAACTGGCCCCACTTCCCTCCACCCTCCTTCGCATGCTCACCGAAGAAGAGAGAGAAGACTGAAAGCCGAATCTCGTGTAGTGCGATTGCATCAGCCAGCGGGCTGGCGTGAGACGCACCGATGGCATTATTGCAAATGTTCTCGGCTCGGCTTCACAGCGAGCACGGTCTCGAAGAAGATTTCCTAGCTGACCCTCTGATCTGCTCTCCTCTTGATATATAAGATCGCGAGGCAGCAGTCACATCAGTAACGTACGAGCTCCGTACCGCCTTATGCAATCTCATCTTCAATCTTCTTGCAAAATCTGAATCAATATTGTTGTGGAAACACTAAATCCTCATCACAAAGATTTCAATCATCCACATCACTCAAAATTATGGAACAACCTCGAAACAAATCCACAATTCTATCAAGTTTGAAACAATCTGAACTTTTTGAAATAATTTTTCAAATTTTGCCATGAGATGTCAATCCATGCAATGTTAATAATATTAGTAGCGTCACACAAATGAGACGGTCTCCCATAAACAACTCTCGCAGCAAACCGTTCATTTGCTACTTCACCTCTTCAGGAATATCATGATAAGCGATGATGTACTTGACTAGTAAATACTTGTATCGTTTTTTAATCGCGTCAATTATCCCCATATCTATGGATTGATTCCACGATGTGATGCTGGGAGAAAAAAAATAGTTGCTCAAACAGTTTCAAATGGCCTCGAGAATTATCTAAATTAGTAGCACTTTGTGACCTATGCGCTTATGCAATAGAGGCTCAAAAATTTCATCAAACCATCTACTACATGTTTCAACGTCAATCCAAGCATTCCTTTGTTACATGTAAGTAATCGGCCAAGCGTTTTCGACAATACACGTTGATATTCGTTCAATCTCCGTAACATTGCGGAATACAAGACTTACATAGAATCTTACTGTTTCTTATTTTCTTGAACCGTGGAAATGTCTTTGTTTGGCAAAAGAATCATATAACAAGTAACAAGTAAAAAGAAAAAAGATTATTTTATCCATGTTGTAGGCGTTAGATGTATAATACTCATGAATAAAAGAGACCAACTCTTCAAAAGCTTTGATAAGTTCAAGATCGTCTTTGTCTCCGCTTTCTCCAAATAGATTCAACCTATGCCGATCTTGAAATCTAACAAACCGTCTCCAAGAAAACTTAAAATTACTCTGGTATTTCCAGAGCAGATGCGATGATTTTTGCATTATGACAAATAATATTGGGATTCAATGCAAGTGACATACGACTACTAGCTTCAATTCACTCCAATAGACTCCGTTCAAGTTTAGAAAATGTACCATGAGATGCACAAAATATGGATTCCTGGGGTAATTTTATCTACTTTATGACTCCTTTCTCTTTGTCTTTGTTTGACTTTAGCTTCCTCATTGTCTTCTCATTCATTCCAAATTGACGCGCAATACTACGCATTGAAAGCGAAATTGGTTAGTCTAACAAGGAGATTATTTCCATTTGTTGCTGGTTGTTGAGACGAACGTGCTCGTCTCTACGCTTAACTGATTGCAAGTTCATTTCGCTGAATACAGTAAAACATTGTCAAAGATTTGCTAACCTTAATATGAAATTCATAGTACATGCCACACACTCACAGCTTGAAAATCCTCTTGCTGCTTTATAATCGACACAGAATAGAAAAAATCCCAAAAATTCTAAAATTTCTGAGACCTGACTTCTACTCAATTGCTTGATGCAACAGGCGGGGAATCAAAGTTCATCAATGTAGATGTCTGAATGAAAACGAATGTATAGATTGATCAATGAAACTGTATGACAATATCAAAGAAAGCTTTAAGTCGATTTATGGATTAAGTCCGCACTAAATTCTTCAGATCATAATGCAGACTTAACACAATGTTTACTATACCTCCACGTCATGGACTTGATTGTTATAAGAATTTAGACTTAGAAATCTTTTTGAAACCCAGGTTTGTCATAATTTTTGCCAAAATTAATTTTATTTTGGCAAATTTTTCTCCCTAATTCTAGTATATTCCACATTAACATTTCATAATTTCTTATCTAATGAATTCAAAATAATGTTTTAAATTTCTTTTTATGAATAATATAACTCAATAAATACTCTTTAACATGATGCAAAATTTGTTTTTAATCAACATCAAAATTAGAAACAAAAACTCACCTATCACAAATCCATCTCCCAATTGACTCAAATGCATGAAACGTACATTCAGTATTATGTTTCTATAAAATTTATGAAATAATTCTTCTTGTTCTGTTTGTCGAGAGTTTTCTTCACATCTGGCTCACGCATAGAAAACAAACTGGTCACGATGTTCGTTTTGTGCTCGAGTACTTGCCCATGTGTGCAGAGTAATGATTCACCACCTCGTTCATAAATAATCCAAGATGCATCTTGACTAAATTTGCTAGCATCACAAGGCTCGCTTTCAATTTCTTAACATTGTCGTTTGTATCACGTTCCCACTTCATCTGCAATCCATTTGTCATAATGAAAAGTGAAAAATTGTTGATCTACTATCATGCTAGTTCTTGTTCATTTTTGAAAAACTAGATGCAGAGTTATTGTATCCACAACCTTGATCTTGGATATGCATAACAATCCAAGATCAAATTACATTGACTTTTGTAACAAACAAACCATCTTGTTGAGCGATTATGATAGAATCAATTGATAAACTATAAATAATTGCAGTTCATAAGCAAATTTATGCACATGCACTCATGGATTATCTCAAGAGCACACATTACTACCTAACTTCCTCCTTCCCACTTCACGTGTATAGGACTTAATGTGATTGTCTTTATAATGTTTGTAACTTTGGCTAAATTAATTTGGAAAGAATAACCAAATTAATTTTGCTAATTGTTGCGTCTCAAAATAGATTTCAAGATTTCAAGAAATTTGATTTGAATCTATCTTGATAGTTTGACTTTCGATTGACAACATACAATCATTGTTGTGATAGTCATTTGGTGTCATCATATTCTAGATCGAATGCGCATCATATCGGATCCATATTTGATATGAGATTTTTCAATGTGAATCACGTGTCGACATCAACTTCATTGCATCAAGTTGATGAAGTTGATCATTGAACATGACTATCATAAATGGATGCAATGAATAAAAAAATGAGACTTTGTAACAAGCCATATACATTGTGATCATCTATCAATATTACTCAAACAAAAGATACAGTAAAAGAACTTCAAGAAATAGCGAGATTGTCTAACATCAAAAAGTAATGGAGTGACTAATGAAAGGTACCAAAATCAATTTTATGATTGTGATAACATAGAGGTCTTACAAAAGATCTTACTTACACTATTTCAATCTTCTTACTCTTATTGTCTCAATGCTCCACATTAGCTACGTAGAAGATCACTAATAACGCAATCGAGAGTCTTATTGCCTTTTTAGTGGAGACAAACTACACTGAAGCTACAAGAATTGAGTTTCACAAATAGTGTTTACACAAATAAAACCTTTACATCACACACAATAGATCCGACACTTTTATATTTAAAAAAATACACCTCAATCAACTCCTTATAGGTGTTTTCCGTCACTGACATGCAAAAAAAATCACACATGTCATCAGTTTCAAAGATCACGCACAAAATAATCACTTTGTACTTAGAAAAAAAAGTTTTGCCACAAAGAAAGTATAGATTTATCTTCAATGCTAACCTCACCACATCAAATACAAATCTTTTGTCTTCATAATTAACAATCTTTCATTTGAAGACAAACTAGCATGTCAACTCAAATGAAGTAATGCATAACCTTAGTTTATTCGTGAAAATAACCTTTGTGAACATGTTTGCAGTATTCATCTCACTTGTGATCTTATTCAATGACAAGATTCCATCATTTATTAATTCATGTATTATTTGATACTTCAACCGTATATGTTTGGTAGTCAAATAAATCATCAGATTTTTCACAAGACACAAAACATTTAAGCTGTTGATGTAAAGAACTCTAACATCTTGATATTTTCAAATTCACTTCAAAAACTTGAGTAGCCACATCATCTCTCTTTTGGTATTTGAAATTGCAACATATTTTGCTTTTGTTGTAAAAAGTGCCACACATTTTTGCATCTTAACATCCAACTTGGAGCAATATCTTCACGTGAAAACATAATTGGATGTGCTCTTACGACTATTCAAATCATCACCAAGCTCTACATCAACAAAATCTTTTACAACCATATTGACATTATTGAAACACAATGACATTCTTGAAATGTTGTTCAAATATGTTGGTAATCATTTTACCGCCTTCCAATATGTGTTATCGGATTTTGTCATGTAATAACTTACAACTTTTATTACATGAGCTATGTAATATCTGCTGCATATCATGGCATACATGAGACTGCCAATTGCTAAACAATAGTACGCAGTTGTTACGTAATTTTCATACTCCTCCATCTTTAATGCTTGAGCTTTGATAATTTTATTGGTATGGTCAATTGCTAAACAATAGGACGCTGTTGCCACGTAATACTCATACCCTTCATCTTTAGTGTTTGAACTTTTGATAATTTGATTTGTATTCTCAATTGATAAGCAATAGCACGCTTAAGTCACGTAATTCTCATACTACTCCATCTTTAGTGCTTGAGCTTTTGATAATTTTATTCGTATTATCAATTGCTAAGCAATAGTGCGCAGTTGCCACATAATACTGATACTCCTTCATCTTTAGTGCTTGAGTTTTTGATAATTTGATTTGTATTGTCAATTATTAAGTACTATGGCGCAGTTGCCACGTAATATTGATACTTCTTCATCTTTAATGCTTGAGCTTTTGATAATTTGATTTGTATTGTCAATTGCTAAGTACTGGATCTCAGTTGTCACGTAATACTGATACTACTTCATCTTTAGTGCTTGATCTTTTAATAATTTGATTATTATTGTCAATTGCTAAGTAATAGGGCGCAATTGTCACGTAATACTGATACTACTTCATCTTTAATGCTTGAATTTTTGATAATTTGATTTGTATTCTCAATTGTTAAGCAATAGCATGATGTTACCACGTAATACTCATACTATTTCATCTTTAGTGTTTGAATTTTTGATAATTTGATTTAAATTCTCAATTGCTAAACAATAGCATGCTATTGTCATGTAATTCTCATACTAATCCATCTTTAATCTTTGAATTTTTGATAATTTGATTTATATTTTCAATTGCTAAACAATAGCATGCTATTGTCACATAATTCTCATACTAATCCATCTTTAATGTTTGAATTTTTGATAATTTGATTTATATTCTCAATTGTTAAGCAATAGCATGCTATTGTCACTTAATTCTCATACTACTCCATCTTTAGTGCTTGAGCTTTTGAAAATTTGATTTGTACTCCTAGCGGTGTGATTATTGTTAAACATCTTGCATTTGAAATCTATTCAACATCGTGTTAATGTACTTTTCCTACAACAAAGTAGACTACTTGTAGTTTGTCTCTAATGAATACGCTTGCTAAGATTTTGACTTGTTGGATCCAAATACTTCATCTTAAACTCTAGTGCTGATTGTCGCTTCAATAGGATGAAATCCTTCATATTTGCACCTTCATTGAGCATGTCATCAACATACAAAAGCAATATAATATAAGAGTCACCAAAATCTTTGAAGAAGTAATACTAGTCAGTGTCTCTTTGTTTGAATCCATGACAACTCATAAATTTGTCAAACTTTTTGTACCACTATATCGGCGCTTGCTAGTTTCAAGATTTGCAGTTGAAAGATTTTGTTGGATGTATCATTTTCAATTTTGCAATGCTGCATCATGACATGCAAAAAGAAAGTTTTTAATAGTCTTTTATTTCAAAGAATTGCTACGCAAAACATTTTCCCCATGAAGCAACAATTTTTCTCATACACTAACGGTGAAAGCTCAAATGTTGATCGTAAGCCGTCAATCCGGAGGAGATACACTAGCTTTAGAGAGAAGTGTTGTAAGACTGTAGACAAAAGCCATATCTACCATATGCTTCCGAGCTTATCGTTGGACACTTCATATGTACATTCATTCATTAAATTGCATGTTGTGTGAATTTCATATCAATTGTGTAATTCAGAGATGTGATAAACTTAAACTAAACATATATGCATTATAATCATATTTTTATTTCACGTTAGTTAAAAAATCATTATATTTAGCAAATTTCAGGTTACTATCAAAATCATTTGAAAAATATTTGTAGATAATATAATTCAATTTGTAGTGTAAACCTCTATGTTCAAATTGTCAATTGAACATGTTTGACACATGATGTATTGTATAATACATGAATGAAATAAAATCATTCTAGATTAACACTATAAGTTTTGAATATCAGTCATTAATTTATTCAGGTTTTAAAGAGATAAAATATTTATGTACTTCATAATTAAATGTGTGAAATCATGCAATAAACTTAAGAATGTAAGTACAAGAATATCATATATATTATGAAATTATTTTAATTAATTCTATATTTTATCTGATACAAATGAAAATAAAATCTCTATAAATATATGTTTGATTTAATTTAATTTATTTTATAAATCTTTAATTTTTATCATAATTTGTATGCATCTCTATGCATAAAATTTCAACATTGTGAAACATATATGAAATTTAACAAGATGAATCAATATTTTTGATAAAAAAACTTCTTGAAAAAATTTAAATTTTTTTATTATTAGATAAAAAATCAAATTTTTATCTGAAAATTAGAATTATCCACATAATAATAAAATGCTTGATAATTTGTCTTGCATTTTATTCCAAATATATAGAATCTCTTATTTGGACTATATGAGTTGTCAAATAATGTCTATTTAAATATTAATATATCTTCATTATACATAAAATTTTAATATATTTATATCACCTAAATTTCCACAAAAAATAAGCTTGAGAAATTTTTAAAAACTTGGATAAGTTTTTATACTGTTATTAACTAGATATCTGTTTAATATAAGCTATGTGCAATTTGCTAATTTTTATTGAATTGATTCTTATATTGAAATATATCATGATTCATTTATTTCTGCAAGCATTTTGCACCTAGTCATGATTATTAATATAATCTTAGCCATAAAATTATTAAGAATCTAACTTTCATCTTATAATTTATGAACTATTAAATCAGAGAAAAATCTAAGAAAAAATTACAGCATTTTTAATTGAAATTTAAATATATTTGAAGATTTTCAACACAAAAACATGTAATACAAGACAATCATAGATCAATTTGAATACGAATTTGAGATTTATTTGATGATTTTGATAAACCAGCGTTTCATGTTTAGCTTTAAATATTTCATTATATATGTTAAGTACTTTTCTTATTTAAAAAAGTGATTTAAGTTATTTCTTTAAGCTCATAAGGATTTCAAGTAAATTGATTTAGACTATTGAACAAAATTATCGATCTTGTCTTTGAATATTACGTATAATATGAGTAATTATTAATTGCTTTTGTATGAGTTAATAACATGAATATGAAGTATGAATTTTGAATATTTCACATGAATTTTCTTCTACATCTAGATTTCTAAACTTCTGCAAATCGTGTGACATAAGCTTACAACAATACATATGAACACTTAAGTCATGTATTATATGTTTGTTATCAAACATCAATAAACTAGAAAAATCATAAACAATGATAGTATATTCTCATAACAGGTAATGAACTATATGTATACCTTGGATCTAAGTTATACTCAATCCAAAAAAGTTTAAGAATAATTTAGATATAAATGAACATAATTTATATTTTGCTGTTTGTTGATATTTTGGACCACTCATTCATAAACTTAAGATATATGTACATATTCTTGTAATAATAATGTAGAGGAACCGATTTAGGGAAATGATTTATTTTTATAAGGAATTGGAATTAATTTGATTATAATAATTCAAATTGAATTATTTATTGTTATAGAAATTTGATTTTTGAAATGTATGTTACTTTTGTGGATGTAAAAATGCTATGACGAAACGATCTTTCACGTGTGTTTCACAATAGTTTTCATTTCATCATCATATAATATGAAAGATCAGTATATATTTAAATCTTAAAATTTATAGAATGATGTAATTTATTGTAGCATCTAATAAACATCGAAAATTAAAATAATTTACCATTTATTACGATGTAAAATAACTTCATAGATAAGGAAGATAATCATAGTCTAGCTTAACAATGATACTCACGTGGATGAATATGTTAGGATCAATGTATGTTAAACTAGTAGCGGTTTCTAAAAATAATTATTGTTGAAACGTGTCCTAGAATCAAGTCATTTGCACGGGAAGATCATGCCATAAACCGAGCATCAAACGTGGTATGTGCAGACATATTAGTGAACAAGTTTCAACTCGGTTTAAGTTTTTCCTCTGCAGTGACCTCACACATATATTAACATGTATCCTAGGTATATATTTGTGTACAGTATATCAAATGAGTATTCCACCAATTTGGCTCTCTTGTGCCTTGTAATTTGAGCGCTGTCTTTAATTCTCGTTGACTGAAGATGCACCGCTTCCCGTGCATTACAAGTTAGGTCCTTAGTTAGCCATGCTCTTCCAATGTGCCCAAGCCATAATCAAATACGGCCAACGGTGTGACCAAGCGACCTAAATCGCTTGGTCAACATGAGCCGCTTGCATTGCAAGTTGGTGATGAGGCACTCGGGCATCCATTGCATCCTTGAACTTACTTGCCGTGGACAATCTCACAGCAATTGATGTTGAATACTTCGGTTTTAGCGCTTCGCAACTTGAGACCTTTTTAAGTGGGGCTAAATTCGAAGGGATTCATTTCCTCACTACGTTATCATGAAAACTTACTTTTTTCTTGTGTGCCTGGTAATTCCGAATAAGCGCATCATCTTTGCAATTCTACTAGGAATAGCCTTAATTTAAGGAATGTGTTGTTTTTGGCCGGTTGGTGTGTTAGGCAGTTTAGCAAATATCTGATGCATGCGCATGTGTCTCGTCATGAAGGCGAAAGGGCTTTGGGGCACATCCATCGACGACCATCCATCCGGAATGGTCCCATAAACCCTGATGTATACAGAATCAGAACCACGAGGGTTTCTACACTTTCTGTGAGGAGTGAAGGAAGGAATCGAGGGATTGTGGTGAGCGGAATTGTGGTAAAGAAGGGAAGGAACGGCCGAGACGATTGAATCGATTGGTCGATCAGTCGATCGATCGATCAATTCGTGTCGAGAAGATCTCACCTCCGATTGAGGTGGAAATCAAGATCTGTCGGCGTCAATCATGTCTGTCGCGCGAGCTCTACGAAGAGCTGCGGCTCCACTGAGACGGTGCGCCGCGCCGTATCTCGTGGATCAGCCGACATTGACTGCCGCTTCTGGCAGGAGTTTCACGGCCGCCGTAGAAGGCAGTGCCGCTGGTGTAAGATCCGCTCCACTATGGACGCTTTCCCGAATGGCTTCCACGGCCCGTGAGGTTGGTCGAGAGTCCGACGGCGGACTCCTTTCAGTTCTGAGGGCCGAGCTGGACCACGAAAGGAAAACCTACTCGCAACCGAAGGTTGCAGCTCGATCGCTTGTTTCCCTGTGGCATTGGTTGCTTTTGCTTGTCATTGTTATTCCTTCTTCTGTGTAAGAACGAACGCGCCAATCCAGCATACTGATCTCCAAGTTCTCTGGAATTATCACGAGTTAATTACGGAATTTCCAGAGGCTGTGTTAGGGCCACCGTAGGCTCCGAAGCGCTTAGCTTTCGAAGATGTATGTATGGCATTGACGTCCTGGCTTGGAGATCGGTTGTTGTTAAATTACCTTGAGTTTCTTGTGTAGTTTAGGGGATCTCGTAGGTTGTGAATTTTCTCGTCAACTTGATCGGAGTTCGCGAAGTCGTCTTTAGATACAAATGCAGGATCTACTTGATTGGGGCAGCCTGTAGTCATTGTTTTCTTGGCCTGCGTGAAGGTATTGTGCGAGGACTCTTGTATGTACCCGTAGTCTTTCCAGCTCACTGTATCGATCGCCCTTACCGTATCCTGATGCCCTTTGGTTGTTTTCTGTTGTCTAGACCAGCTGAAATTTGGAAATGCCAGACGTGGGACTTCTCCTTCGCTGTATTTTTTGGCTGGCGGAAAAGCTTGCGTCTGCATTCTACAATTTCCATATGGTGTTAAATCTGATTTCTCAATTCGTTGTGTCTCGATGTATCCTGCCCTCTCAACAGGAAGTGTCAAGAGGTCCTCCGAAGCCGTGGACCTTGACAGACAAGCAGGGTCATGCTGACATCATTTTAAGGAGGTCTCATGGTCAAGAGGATATCGCAGTGACCTGTGTATATCAACCGGATACCTACGGCGAAAACCACGCGGACGATGAACCGGAAGGAAGTGATCAAGACGAGAGAGACGATGAGTCGGCCTCGTGCGTTAATATGACCATCACAGTCAACAAGGGAGCAGACAATCCTACACTAGAAATCAGCGCCACATCCTATGGAAATGAGATCTCTATTGATCATGTCTACTTCTGGGAGGACAAAGATTCAAGGGACGCTCTTTACGACGGACCAAACTTTATGTAAGTACTTCGATTCTGGTTGTGGAGTGTCTGCCGGGTTGGTGGCTGCTTCTCGATTTCTGCAAGAGGCGTCCATGACATGTTATTTCTCTTCCTCTGAAATTTACTTGATCACCGTGCCACCTTTAGTGATGAATGTTCACAAATTTGAGTAACGTTTCGTCCTGCCGAAGTCACAGATCACGATAGCTTCATGAGACTAGATTGTCGTTATTCTGGAGGCTGATAGTTTACTTGGACGCACACCGGATGTCTGCCTAACTGTTGGATTTTTGTGGTTTAACAGGCAATTAGATGAAGAACTGCAAACTCAATTTGAGAAGTACATCAAGGCCCGGGGGGTGAATAGGGAATTGGTCTCCTACTTGTTTCAGCTTTTGGACGATAAGGAGCAACGTGAGTACATGCGGTGGTTGCAAAAGGTGGAATCTTTCATCAAGCAGTAATTCTTATGATCAAACGAGAATCCTCGTACACAGAGACTGTCTAGACTGTCTAGATACTATTTTTGTCCTTATCAGTGGGCTGAAGAGCGAGGGTGTCCAGGTGAACTCTACCTCGCCGAGGCCACCACGAGTTTCGTACCAAATTGTCATGAGTTTTTGAGGACACTGCAAGACTGTAGTCTTTTGGGCATTGGTGTCAGCAGTACATAGACATCAGTTTTCAAGGACACAAATCATAGGAATACCTGCAGTTAAACTGCAGATCTTTGTGGTTACCACGTGATAATGTTTAATGATACAATTTCCCCATTCCGAGCCATCTGATCATATTACATGTATGACACTACTTCACTTAGCTCCGAGGCATTTGTCTTTCTGTAGTCCTATCGTGTGTCGGTTGCCAAAAAAAGCCCATTCTGAATTTGTTTATGAGGACATTTTCTAAAGTAACCTAAACCCTAAACCTGTGAATGTATGGTATGACGTTATTAAAGTAGAGCTCCGCTCGAGAACTGGCTTCTTGGAATGAGAATTGTGAATGAGTTTGTAAGTAAATTTGACTGGTTGGTTTGATCATCTTCTATGTATGCATGTCACCGCGGAGATGCCGACATCTTCCGCTTTGCAAGGCCGTCCACGTGAAATACCTCTTGTACCCCCTCTACACGATCAACAAGAAGCAGCCAAGTTTCGTGTGGTGACCCTGAAGTGTGTGTGGGTACAGCTTTACAATGTCGACTATGAACTTGCCTAGTGTACGAGCATAAGACGAGGAGTAAGGCTGCTGAGAGACTGCGTACACTGTGGAATGGATGCCAAGTCAGGTGGCAACATTGCTGGCGAGCATCGGTTGAAAACCAGTCATTTTCAGCGTCCTTTCGTTAATGTTGGAAAGCAAAAGTCAGCACATGATGAATCCGACTCATTGTGTCAGCTTAGAAAGTGTATTCTCCAAAGTGCTGTCGGTGCAATTTACCACTGCCGTCTACTGTGATGTTCACCTTCGCCGGGAAGTCTGAGTAGTAAGAGGATGATTATGGGATCAACTACAAGGATTGAACACCGGCTGAAGGATGAGAAAACCTACTCGGTTGCTACAATTTCGGTATTTGCAATGGAACGTTAACAAATCTATAAGTATGATAGTTTATGGCAGTCTACATATTAAGTGGACAAATTATTGGTTTGGAACTTGAGTTGTTATGTTGGTAGAAGAAATCATCAAGCAGGATTGGGATCACTCGTTGGTTTGATAAGTTATCAACAGCAGAATCGAGCAAGGAGCGAGAAGGCGGAGTGGTGGTTGCTAAATGACTGCATAGTGATAACGCAAGGTACGAATTAAAATTGAGAGCCAAGGGATGAGGATTATTTCATGCAAAGCGACAAATTCATTGCCATCACTCGAAGGGCACGATCAAAGAATGTGATTTTAACGAGCTGTGATTATTCAGTCGTAACAATGTCTTCAAAGGAAAGTAAAACTTAATTACAGTGTCATCATCAAGGTAGCTTAAGAGAAAAGGATTCTAGCCTAACCTTGTGTGCAAAATGGATTGAGATTACTATGTAAGGGTATAACCGTGAAGAATTAAACTATCATCTCTCAAAGATTCAGTTTTCTTATTGAAGTAAATGCACGAGATCTCTGTACCTATTTACTGATACATACAAAGGCATTGCTTCTAAGTACATCTTGATAGATGCGCACAAAGTCTCTTCCCAGAAGTTGATTTATCAACTCAGGTATCTCTTCTGTTCTTCCAAGTGATTTTAAATACTTGCATATGATCAGAGATGCGTGCTCAATCAAAGATAGTACTTATTTATCTCTATATATGAAGTTCATGTTCATTAAGGTACGATACTGATACACTATCTGGAAAAGCTGAAAACAATATAATTAGACGAATGATATACATGTTGCCTATCCTCTCAGTTCAATTCTCTGATCAAGCACGCTGTGTTTCATGGTAACTTTGTATCTGTCTTAATGCTCGTATGATGAATTCAGATCACATGTTAGCTTTCACCTCGTCCTCTTGTTTGGAGTTGTGATACTTCCGTTATCCGTATACTTCCGTTGTACTTGTTCAAGCCGACTCCTTGGCTTTGTGTTTAGCGGTGATTGTCAAATTATATATACTTCTTACTTTAACTTCTTGTGCACATCCTTGAGCACCTGTTGGGATGTCATTTGAAGTCCAGGAGATAATCACTAATGATAAAGATGTGCATGTTGCTCTGTCAAAATATGAGACTAGTCTCATATTTTAGACACGGAGAATGAAAAGAGCAATTGAGCACTCTTATCTCAATCATTCACGCCAAGGAAGAATAAGCTTCTTTGAGATGTGATAGTCGCTGATCTGACCAGATTAATTACGCTCATGATGTTTCGATAGGGGGGATTTCAAATATTAATGATACCAAAAATATTGTTAATATCATCATCGATGGAATTTACCACTGACTGGAAAAGTACAGTACAATGCTCTGACAAGGAATGTTTTCTTCAAGTCCTCTTACTACCATGCATATCGAATTTTTTTGCACGGGGACTAGAGTTCAAGTAGAAGAGTTCATATACAAGACCTTTGCTGATGTATATCATTTATACTTTATATGTATTATCATTGTAAATGTGAGGATGAAGCTTGTACTGACATTTAAATACATTGGTTATCTTGTTTATCTATCTACAAAACATTGACTTTCCTCTTGCTATCACTTCCAATTTAAAATTTTTTGTTTGGTACAAGGATTATATACACTTATATATGTATATGTTTATATGTAAAGTCAATCTTTATAGTTACCCTAGTTCATTGGTTCGAAATATGTACAGTATAGTATAAACACAATCTAGTTTTTATTCAATCTAGTCAATTTATGCACTAAAAAAATTTACATTCTAGAAAATCTGACGGTGTATTTCTGGTTATGATTTCAACCCATTAGAAGCGCATTCATTTATATTTCTGAAGGTTATACTACACATTTTTTTTCTGTACTAACATTTGTACGATGTGACAATATCGTTAGTGTGAAGAATCTAGAAGCTACTGCAAGCCGTATTATAGAAGTTAATGCAAGCCATATTATAGAATTAATTTAGCTGTAACCGGTTGACATGTCCAAAGCTTCAATATCCAAGATGGGGAATTTGTAGCGTTAGGAAAACGGGTTTCTAGTAATTTGTAGATCTGAAATTTAGTTTTGTAAACATCATCTCTATTGGGTAACTTGTATCGAATAATATTTGGGAACTCAAATACAAGGTACATTTGATTCTATTGGGTTCCATGGTTTTTCTCTTCGAGTCAGAGAAAGGTACCCAAACCTTGCAACCAAAGTCGCGGAGGTGTGCTATATGCGGGACTCGACCCTATGCTAATTCTAGAGTATGAGAATAAAGTTGGTTTAAGACATTAAAGAACGGCAATGTGAGGTACAACATGACCCAATAAGAGAGTGGAGGTTAGCATGAGAAAGGAGTGTTCGAACTATGAGTTGAATTTTCTTGATAAAGGCTTCAGCTAGACCATTCTGGTGATGCTCGTAATGAATGGAATAAGTAAGTTCTATCCCTCTACCTTCGCAATAGTACTCAAATCTTTGAGATTTAAATTAGGGTGCTGATCCATTCTATGCAATCGGATTGGATTATTCTAACCATCCAATCCGATGGTTAGAATAATGATATCTAAATTCCAATAGCATTGCTAAGATCTTGGGAAACATCATGTTTCTAGTGGTAAGAAGAAAATCTTCAGCATGACGTTTGGATGCATGAACGAGGGCAAAAAATATATTTGAACTGAATTGACGTACGATTGATTAGGCCGCACCCATAAACTAGAAGAAGAATACATTGCAATGGTGCGGGCATGATGAGGATGCTCCCCAAGCAAGATTATTTATTCCCGGTACTCACTAAATACCAAATTTTGTATTTTTGCGATTGTGAGTATGTCACAAGATTGTCACGGTACATTTTGAGTTTGGATTTCAAAGTAAGCTTGGTCTTTGAAGACCAAAATGATGGACGTATTGTCAAGGAGGTCACTATTGTCCTTGACGCGCTACCATATAGTTTTCAAAATCTAACTCTGTTAATTTGAGAGACAATGCATCCATGGTTTGAAATTAATGTCGTGACCCTTCAATTACGACAATTAACCTAATCTCCGAAGACCGCGGTGACCGAGATTAAGATTGAGACTGAGAGGTTCTGATGCCATACCGCTGATGCTTGTCACTATCTATCTCTATGGTGACTTGAACACAGATATGCACATCAAACCTCCACGAGAGCTTTAGCTCAACCTTCCACCAATCCAACCTGGACATTTTCACGGACTACGAATCCGTAAAGCACTCTATGGACTGAAACAATATGGAACTGCGTGTTACCACCACTTGAATTCTTATGGCTTCCAAAGTCAACATGCTCTCCTTCGTATTTTAGTTTTGAAGGAAGATAAAAAATTTGTGATTATAGCTGTTTATGTCAATGATTTGAACCCCATCACAACACGAGTATTGAGCAAGCTTGTTGAACTCATACTAACTAAACAATTTAAAATAAATATGTTAGACAAAACATCATATTGCCTTGGACTCTAGATTAAACACCTTGCAGATGGAAGTATATTTCTTTGATGACAAACTTGTGCTCGCAAACTTCTCAACATAACGACACACTTTCAACATCTGACAATGATCCATATCGTCTTGCTGAGTCCGGGCAGGAAAAGTTGGACCAATCAAAGTATTTAGCGGTAGTTGGCACACTCCTTTACTTGACGACGGATACTTGACCGAACATCAAGTTTGCCGTCAACGTCCTTGCCCGACACAACACATCATTGGCAAAACGTCAAACACCTCCTCAAATACATTTGAGGAACAGAAGGTCTTGATCTTCACTTTCATCGCGGCCAAAACGATATCATATGCTATGCCGACTCTAGTTTCAAGATAGATCTAACGACTAGCAAATCCCAAACAAGCAACATATTCATAAAAAAATAGTAGTCATTTGTTGGCGATCTACAAAATAAAACATTCATGGCAACTCCAACGAATCATGCCAAGCTTCTTGCGTTTCACAAAGCAGCATGCGAAGCAATGTGGTGGGTTCGCATCATGCAGACCAACATATTCGAAATGGTTGGATTTTCACTCTAGGAGAAACCAACAACAATTTTTGAAGATAACACAACTTGAATTAAACAAATATCATATGGTTTCATCAAGGCACACCGCGTGAAACATATCAGCCTCACGTGTTCAGCTACACCTAGACCTCACGGAGAGAAACCAGATTGCAATGCGAAAGATAGCTTCGACGGAGAACATCACGAATATACTTACAAAGGCGTTACCGGCTCCGCAACATCAAAAACTAATAGCTGCAAGAGTAATCCGAACTTTAACATAACTTCAAGAGTGAAATTAGAAAGCGAATAGACTTCACTCTTTCTCTTCAATCTCCTTGAAGTTTTTTAACAAGAAATTTCATTGTTTGGGGAGGAATGTTGAGACAACATGGGGAGTTTGTAGACTTGGTGGAAACTCTGTCACATGAGAGATATGTCCTTATGTTGAAACGTCAATCTAAAAAATTTGTCCCATCATCAGGTGCTAAAAGGTCAAAATACAGCGAGGTGATTCTACTGCACTTCAATTTTGACTTTGTCATCATAGCTAATTTATCTATTTTCTTCGCGTACAAAGAAAACTTCTCTGTACACAAGTACCAAAGAGTCACAAAAAGTATGAATCAAAGTGCTGATAATGTGTTGTGGAAAGAAGACGAAAAGAAGACAAAAAGAGAACACAAAGATATCAAGATTTATATGGTTTAAGAGTGTCTTAATATCACATATTTATATGGGAAGATTGTGATCTTTTACGGTATCTAAGGTAACCTAAAGTGAACTTTATGGATGGATAGAGACAGATTTTCATCTTGTCTTTTCATACTGCAATGACGGTCTGCTCTGGACTCTCTACAATGTACCAGTACTCTGGAATGCAGTGGAAGGACTCACCAACATATACCAGCAACCGACAACGCTCATGTAACAGAGTTAGTACCACCCAAGTCTACAAACTCCCCTCTATGAACAGACTGAACTTGTTTATGTGGTCCGGGCTAGGCCTCGGCAAGGTAAGGTAAAATACCTTTTACCTTCTGGTAAACGGTAAGGGTAAAGGTAGGAAGATACAGAATTGGTAAGGTAGAGGGTAGAGTAAAGGTAATCCAAACGAACTCACCCATTATCCGAGTAAATACTCGGATAATTACTTATAGGTAATGTAAAGGTAAGGTGGCAATTTTTTGTGCACATGTGATGAGAAGTTACCGTTAAATTTGTGTGGTGAGAAGTTACCGTTAAATCTATGTGATGAGAAGGTACTTCATTAGATTATTTTTTGCATATATATCGAGCACATCCAACTGTTCTCATCATTCTTCCACAAATCCTGATTCAGGGGAGAGAAGGAAGTACACGAGAGAGGAAGAATTCTTGGAGCTGCACTCAAACGGGAGAGAAGGAAGTACACAAGAGAGTAAGAATTCTTGGAGCTGTAGTCAAACGGGAGAGAAGGAACCACGCGAGAAGAAGAACTCTTGGAGCTGCACTCAATCTAGTCCATTTTTGAGCACCTCGAATATGTAAAAGGTCAGTAGCGTAAACCAATTCCATGTGTCGTCTCTCTAATCTATTAACTACTCTAAATCTCAAACAGTGCTTCACTCTGGAAGTGGCGTATTAAAAGAGTGAGCTTGTAATCCTGCAAATCAAGGACCTTTGTTATTGATAATTGCTGACAACAGTCGCCACATTCTAGTCTATCCTGTAACTTGCCCACGTTTACTGTACACTTCTTGTGATCGAAGCAACCGCATAAGGTACCGCAAACATGAGAGAGGAGAGAATCCTCTGACATTAAGGGTAAAATGTATTTTTTATTTTGAATGGGTAATTACCCGGTTAAATGGTAAACTAAGTGTAAAGTGTATTTTTTATTTTGACAGTGTAATTACCCGGTAAACTGGGGGTAAAATGTATTTTTTATCTTGACCGGGTAATTACCCGGTTAAAGGGTAAAGTAGAGGTAAAGGTATAGGTAAATCGCGAACAACTAGGTAACGGTAAAGGTAGAGTACCCTAAATTACCCGATTAACTTTTACCTTGCCTTGCCGAGGCCTAGTCCGGGCCCTCGCATAATGTGAAGAGTCAGCACGTCAATTCAGGTTTCATGTCATCTTCAAGCAAGATGGATAAAATTTATCGATATGGAAAAAATTTCGTGTTTAAATCATGTGTTCAACCACTTGGAGGAAGCACAGCCCTTACCGCGGCATGTATCTACGCAGTTGGCTTCCTTGTATATACGTAGGTTGCTAAACAGCACACATCCTATGAGTAAATCACACTTACAGAACAAAACCATAACTTAAAAGGATCACCCGCATTACTTGAGATATAACAAAAAGGATTAAGATCTTCCATAAGCTCCACATGAATCCTTGTCGCAGCTCGTGTTGCAGTAAAGACATGATGGTGAAATCATGAAATTGATAAACGAATAACGCTGGGCCATTTTTCGAATTGTGTACGAAATTCCATAAGGACCCAAGATTTCAATAGCACCTTTGTCTATAGCTTTAAATGAGACTTCATATCCAAAACGCAAAAACGATCCACTACCTATGGAGGTGCGCCCGTAAGATCACATAACGAGATGTGGGTAGAGCCCCACAAAGCAAAAAAGGTGGCTGACTTGGGGCGGCATTCAGCACAATGAGATCGAAGCATCGTACTTGTGTACAACTTATTACAACCCCCGGAAATAGAGAATGACCACAACGTAGAGTAAGCAATTTATGACTTCAATCACATTGTCCGCAAATGTCACCCAGTGGCCAGTTAAACGTAACAAACTGAATACGTATGGGCACTACAAATGTATACCTCAGTACACGCATCATCATGAACGCAATATGAGCATAAAGGAATCATCGCTCATCATAAATGCAAACAAGCTTAAACAGGAAGTCCTGACATAAACATACCTGTCATAGCCTGAAGACCATGGATCCAACAACATGACAACAATAACAATATCGGTGTAAATATGGTAGGCAGATGTGTAGAAAATTGCATGGTCCTAAAATCTCTCCTCCTCCCGGCGACAAGGAAACCAGACATTCCGAATACGGTGTTCAGACTTCTTCCTTTCTTGGTAGTTTGAAACTATTAGGTTTAGGCAACAAAAGACCTCAAGCGATTGTGTCCAGAAAGTGCTTTCGGGTTACTAAATGTGGAGGTATGACAGTATGTGAGTTGAAACACGGAGGCTACACAAGGAGAGCATATACTAACGATGTGGGAACCACCCCTATAGATGCTGCAGAAGTGTTTGACTGCATCTGTGGACAGAACATGCAATTCAAAATCCACGGAAGCAATCCACATAAAAATAGAACACATCGCATGCAATCAAAATAGAGCTAGCAGATATGACTGATTAAAAGATGTAGCAGTAGAAGAAACTCTCAAGGACAAAGAATACTTGGAAAGCAAGTGATAGACACGATATACAAGATGCTGAAATCGTGCGTAATCAGTTTCATACACAACGCAAACATCCGATAGATGTAGGACAAAGTCGATTCATGACACGACGACGGGAGAGTATACTTACGTTTGAGAGACAAAGCTCCACTGAAATGTCATCATCAGAAGATAAAGACCTCAATTACAATAAAAGAATACTGAGAAGCTTCAGTTGAGCTTCAAATATAGTGTCAGCATAAGCCAACCCAAAGAAAGGACATTTTCCACCACGATTTCCAGAAAAGAAAAAATTAAAACCCCAACTGCTGAAAAATAGGGCACGCCAGATAACACTATGAGTCAAGTAAGAACATGAGTACTCCACTGGTCAGCAAGTTCGTTTATTCGCCCGAGGTGGCAATATCTTCTAGCAAGAATCCTCGTTAGCTCTTTAGGTTGGAAAGTGGTTCAAAAATTAGCGAAGTACACACTAAGAGTAGATACATGTGGTCAGCATGCTTTGACATCAAACAAAGATCAGTATGAATTGTGTGAGCTAATCACAAGGAACAAGAAAGCTTAAAACTCGATGGAAACATTCAAACCATCCCATATCGATATATCCACAGCTTCCATCGCTGGCCTTAAGTAGTTGCTTCGAAGCAATGCCTCACCATGAGTTTATGTCACTTTTCAGGACTCCGAGAAGTGACAGAAACTCAAGGCGAAACTTACACGATAATTATATACAATGGGCCACGTATGCGTACAGCTTAGGAGATATTTCTGCTGTGCTTGAAGGTTGCGGTATTGAAGCAAACGAGTAAAAATAAACATCGAATGTAAAATATCCACCGGCAAGACTCACCTCTATACTTCTGCTGAAATGAATGATCAACTTCATCATGGAGTAGAGAAAAATCTATGATCACGGCACGCGTGATAGTATTATCCAGGTCCGCCAGAGTTGTCAACGTTCTTCGACTTGGAGTCAGTTATCATAGTACAAGGCTGCTCCACGTCAGGTAACCCGCGCAAAATAACTCCCTGGGATTGAAAAGAACCACCCACGGATTCACCAGCAAGTGCCAAACTTCCACTTACAGGCCAAGAACTGATCTTTGTGACAGCTGCAGCTGCTGGTAAAGGGAGCGACAAAGGAGCATAAACTTCACTTCGAGAATTTATTTGCTGAGAAATCATCTCTGAAGCTAGTGCTGGGGGAACTAAAGTTCCAATGCCGCTCTCGACAGAATTTCGATTCGAATCCCTTTCACGAACACCGTCCCAGGTCTGATTTACAACACCTTGGGAGGTAATACTCTGTCGCTCTCCTGAATACGGGTAATGGGGATCCAACACAACATGACTATAACCACCCTGCGCATTCAAAACCGCAGCTGGGTTAGCTCGAGGTATGATCCTCCACTCATTCTCCATTCGGATGTGTCCGTCATTGTTTGGACCTTCAGAGGCGTCTGATGCACCAATACGAACTAGGTCGCAAGCGGCATCTGTAGACCGTTGATGATCATTGCTGATACCTCCTGCTGGTGCGTTGTGCAGATCATCTCCTTCCAGCTCATGTCCTTCTCGATTTGGACGAGCAGTCATCTTCGTTATAGCTTCATGTACACTGCACACTTCCAGCTTCGAGGCATCCTCATTCTTATACAACGAACCGCCACCCTGCAAACCGCCCATCATACTATTCCAAAGATCTAAGTTGCCTACAGAACCTAGAGGCCACGACTGAGATCCTTCTCCTACGAGAGCAGTCCCTGCTTGTCGATTGAATGCAGGAGGTGCCAAAACAGTTGGCTCTGTGACGACAAAATATTTCGAAGCTGAAGAGGCTGAAGGGGCTGTTGTGGCAGGAGAGGCAGGTTGCCCTGTCTTGTGGGTATTCGATATAGAAGGGGTTCCGGTGTTTGGCTGAGGTTGAGAGAGAAGGGACTGACCAAAGAGTTTCACATCACCCATACGTAACCGTTGTGACTCCGACGACGGAGGTGCTCTGGCTTGTTGCTGTTGTGCTAGATTTTGTTGCGCCCTCTGTGACTGCACCTGCAAGTCTTCACGCGGAAGAAGCCCCAGATTTGCAGGAGTATTTCTCTGTTCTACAACTTCGGAATGTCTAAGCAACTCGGCTTCAGCCAAAGAGCTTTGATAAGAACCCCTAAATAATGCCAGCGGTTGTCCATGTTGCAACTGCTGTTGTTGATGATGGTGTTGTGGTAGCTGTTGCTGCTGCTTCTGTACTTGCATCTGCTGATGTAGTTGCAGGTCATGCTGCAACTGAGTTGCTTGAATTTGCTGAAGAATCAACTGCTGTTGCTTCTGCTGCTGAATAATCTGCTGCTGTTGCTGAAACAGTTGCTGTTGTGTATGAGAAGGGTGAAGACGACTGACATGGCCAACTTGTTGCTGCACTCCTGCTGCTGCAAGTTTAGCCCTCGAGACCATTTGTTGTTGATGAACAACATTAGGTCCAAGGGGTAGGTGTTGGTGACTCTGTTGGTGCACAAGCTGAGGAGGAATATGCTTGGCAACTTGAGCAAGGTGTTGTTGCTGCTGCTGCTGCATTTGTACCAACTGCTGGAGCTGGTGAACCATCTGTGGCTGATGTACAACTAACTGATTAGTCTGCTGTTGCTGCTGCTGAAGTTGTTGAACTGCTTGTTGTTGCAGTTGTTGAACAACGTGACTAATCAATTGCTGTTGTTTGTGATTTGTCAGTGCTGGCTGTTGTTGCTGCTGTAAGCCCACCTGCGTTGGCAATACCTGCTGGGCTGTTGGATGACCAACCATCAGTTGCTGCTTCTGTGCAGCTAGAAGCAAAGACTGCTGAGAATTGGGACCAGGATAAGCAGATGAGATGCCGGGTTGAAAGATGGGCAAAATTCCACCCACAATATTGGATTGTGCACCATACTCACTTGCAGAGCATATTCTCCTTATCATCTTTTGCAAATCTCTGGCGGCAGAATCCTCACCAGGCTGACAATTGCCTGGATTAAAGTGCGAGTATGCCACACCATCGCCACCTACGCCTGCTGTCCCAACACTTGTACTGATGGCCATCATCGAGCTTGAGACAACCTTCTGTAAGACATCCTCGCCCGGAAGTGTTACCTTCGGGGGGCAAATCTGCCCTGCAGAACCTGCATTACTGCTAGTATCCGATTCCTCAGGTTTACGTTTCCGGTTGCAAGTGCCCCTTGTTCCCGGATTGGCTAAACCATCGGTAGACAGAAACCCTAGCTTCGCCTTGGAGTTCTGAAAATAAGTCTTGATTTGAGTCATCGATTTTCCTGGTAGACTTTCATCCAAGAGGGTCCAGTCCTTGCCATGCCTTCTGATGATTTCGGCAAACTTCTCTTTCTCTTCCTGAGTCCAAGAAGTAGGTTCTCGTCTGGGTTTGAACTCTCCTGCCGCATTTAGTCTAGCTCCTCGTTCTCTAATCGGTCCACTTTGAGTGACAAGCGGCGAGGTCACAGGAACCGATGCACTCTGTTGCGTTGTAACCAAGGGGACTCCTGTATAAGAAGGAGCTCCAGTGTCCAGAGACACGAAAGGTTCTGCTTTGACCACAACTCTCCCAGGACCCAAATCTTCTTCATGTGCTTTCAGAGTGCAACATGGATCTACTAAAGACGTTGGTGTAGCAGAAGTCCAGTTTGGGTCCCCATACACGACCATTCCAGATTCCACTCTTCCCCCCTCGTCCTTGACCGTAGAAGTCTCCGACGCATCATTCTGTACTCTTATCACGTTCTCTACTACAGGAACTTCGGTCTCCGGTTCAACTTTCACTGACTGCTCCCGCTGCTTTTGATCGTCAACAGTAGGACAAACTGTGACTGCTTCGACCAATTCTTCACCCTTTGATGCCGAATCTTCGCCACGAGCCTCTTTCGCGTCACAACATTCTTTCGTTTCGTCTCCAGTATTTTCTGATGGTATATTAGTCAGGTTGTTCACCACTGCCTCACCAAGCAGACTCAACCCATCCGCCATCTCATTTCCTTCGACGACCTCTACTTTGCACATGCCTTCGGCAGCATTAGAGTCTTTCTGCATATCGACTATTCCCAAGTCGGTAGATTTCGAGTTGTCCAGTGCAGACTCGCCTGCGACGTCAAGCTTCACCTTGACTTCAGCAGGGGACTTAGAGGACAACCCACCCACATCCATGGGACTCGTTTCAGGAGCTTGTTCTGCCATGTCATCAAGCCGGTATCGCTTGCGTATCTTACTGTAAAATGTTCGGCATTGACTTGGGGTCTTGGACACAACCTGCTCTGAGATGCTTTTGAAATCCTTACCGTGATTAGCTATAGCGTCGAGGAAAAGGTCACGTTCAAAATCAGTCCACTGAGATTCGTTGTCTTCATTCTCCACAACTACATCACGCAGTACTGGAGATGTCCTATTACCTTTCCTATCTCCATGTTCCTCTACACTGGAAACTTTACCAAATGGAGTAACGAATGCAGACCCACCCTTAACAGACAGCTTATCATGGTAATTCTTCGATGTGGAGGGAGTGCCGATACAGTGACTGCAGGGAGAAATACCGGAAGTCGCAGCATCAGATGCGCTAACTGCTTTCATTTCCTTCACCTCCGAGCTGACAGATTTGTTCTCCTTGACAAAACCCGACTTCACCACAAGCTGGTCCAGGTTTCCAGAGTCGTAGGTACTCACAGGTCGAGCTTTCTCTACAACCTTGTGAGAACTCCCCCTTGATGACTTCACCCCTTGGGAAGCTGCATAGGCGGCTAAAGTTAGTGCCTCCACACGAGATGAATTGACATCTTTGAACCTGTCAAAACTGCTAATAGGAGATAGGGTCGCCAGAAAGGAACCTGAAAGAGAGTAATCCCTGCGCTTCTTCAGCTGTTGTCGCCTCCTCTTTATCTTCTCAAAGTCTTCCGATTTTTGATTGCGGTAGTAGAACTCAATACAATCTGCTGTAGTTTTGTGTTGAAAATAAGAAGCAATCTTACTGAAGTTCTTGTTGAATAGAGGAAACTTTTCCAAAAACAGCGTCTTCTCCTCATCTGTCCATGGATTGACAGACTTCCGCTCCTGCTCAAAAGAAACAGGATCCTCAACAAGACCATTCCTGCTCAAGAACCGACGAGAGCATCTCTCTTTCTCGTCAAGTATCATTTCAGGCATCTTCAAATCCTGCCTAAGGCGATTAGCCGGGTTCATGGCCAAAAACCTTCTCCTCGTATGAGCATCTTCTTGCCCAGTGTATAATCTTGTGGGACCTGCTATAATGGGCCGTAGCCGCAATGTGGAACGCTGACTAGCGACTGCAAAATTAGCCGCAGTCCGACGTTCTACTTCCCACCGTCGGACCGGTTTCACACGATCTCTTCTATGACACAATCCAAGCTGACCTTGGTAGCATTCGTCTTTGAGAGCTCTATATTTCACCGCAAGGACACGCTCTTTGAAGGTCAGCATCTTTTTCCTTTCAGATAACTTCACCATCATCTGCTCCTGATTTTTTATGTGTCTTTCTTCATTTTGGATCCACACAGTAGTGTTCTCAAGGCTGCCATTTACCTTGAAATCCAGAGAGTTTTCATCCTTAAGTAAAAGATGTTGAAACGGTTCCAAAGCTTTCCTTGCCAGCCTCCTGTTCTCCAAAATCAAGTTCCATATCGAAAAGACATACCTATAAAACATCAGATCGCTAAGACCGCCGATCCCCAAGTTGGTAGCCGGCAATTCCTCGTCATCATCATCAGAAACATCACAGAGTCCACAGTCCGGACCATGGCATGCGCAGGAGAGAGATTCGCACTGTTCTGAATTCCCTGTGAGTGGCATTTGCTCGTCTGAATCTTGGAGGGTCTGACACTCACTATCACTCTTCGAAGGGTCGTTAGCTTCAGTATGAGCATCTTCCACAACAGTAGAGATGCTTAACTCTTCGACCGAGGGAAGGACTTGAACCTCTATCACCTGACTGTTCGCCTTATCTGCAACCAGAGCAGCGGGGGCCACTTCCACTGAAGTAACGACAGTAGTGACCTCAACCTCCAAGTCAGAAGCCTTCGTGTCAGGCGCTCCTGATTCCTGTGGACTCTCACTTTGATTGGCCTTATTATGCTCATCCATATCTACAAGTTCACATGCGGCAAAAACAGAACTGTCGAGGGTAGCTTCATCGACAGTATCTCCATCGTCCTCGCGTGCCAATTTGGCCAGTTCCTTCTCCACAACCTCCACTTCAGCTTCCAGTATCAGTAGTTGTTGAGCTATTGCCTCCTTCGACCACCCTGACATGTCACTGGGTAAGCCAGAAACTAGCTTCGATTGAAGAGTTTGAGGTGAACCCTCTTGAAGGCTTTTGTCTTCACTCGAATCTTTCTTCTGCGCACAAATGGTGTTGATGGGATCCTTAGAAAGAAGGAAATCATGACCTGGTGCCTGCGAGGTGAGTGGATCCCCAGAGGGTCCGATGGTATCTGAGGACACACAAAAAACTTCTGATGTGCTCGTATGAAACCCATGAACGGCATTGCCGTGACGAGCATCATTACTCAGCTCCAAGTTTATAGACGATCCATCTGGCCTGTGGACCTCACCCTCGACTGGTGAGACAAACTTGTCACTTCCAATCTCAGGCAACAAAGTTCGTGCAGTTGAACTGGAACTTACTGGACAATTGCCGGGTTTCGACGCCCGTTCCGCTGAGGTCTCCTCTTCTGACAGCGCGTTAGTCTTCTTGACATTCTCATCTTTCGTTGCAGCATGAGCACCCTTCGAACAATCTTCACCATCGGTACCTTTTTTCTTTTCGTACTTTGCTAAACCTTGGCCCCAACCAAGCCGTGGTCTCTTAGTGGTGGGTACTGACGGATGACTAGCTTCATCGTGGCCGCTATCGGTGCCTTCACCCCGACTAGGACGTGGTCTCTTGGGAGGAGACATATGGCTCGTCTCATCGTGAGCAATGTCAGTACCCAGCAAGGAGGAGGCACCTGAGAAGGGAGATGGTTGAGGAGAACTTGTACTTGTAGGCAGGTCAAATCCACCATGAAATCTGCCACTGCCTTCTTGGACAGATGAACTGCTTGACGTGAAAGGTGGACTCCATTGAGTTGCAGACGACCTGTCCCTCCTCTTCCAGTCATAAGTGGACGAAGTTTCTTTACCACTATGCGCCGCATCCCTTGCGTAGGTATCTCGACCACTTGCGTATCTGTCCATTCTCGCTTCCATCTCTTTGTCCAGAGAGCTTGAATCTCTCTGTCCAGTGTCGAGTTGCTGTGAGCCTGTGACTCCTCGCCTGTGAGCCTCTTCACCTCGACCACTCGCATATCGGTCCACTCTTTGTTCCATTTCTTGTTGTTCTTTTATCAAAAAATGGACATAAATACAAGGTTGGGTATGAGAAAAAAAGACGACCACTAGGAGCAGATGACGGTTATGGTAAGAATTCAAATGGCTATGGACCCTAGTGATCAGCTTCGTCCGTAAAACTCACATAATCTTCATCCCTACCTTGCGTGTTTCAACAGTGAGCCATGTGTTATTCGTACACCGTGGACTCCAGCTGCTAAAAATCCTGCACTTCCTTCCCCAGAGCAGCTCCTAGAGTGCCATTAGGGGCCGTCAGAGGCCAGACCCCTAACTCAACTCGCCAAGAAGTAAGGCCTCCACCTTCACGTAGCCAAAGGAAGATCTCATCAACGACAACTGTTTTTGAAAATCTATATAATGCTCAAACAGCACAACACTTACACAACGATCCATCATCACATCCACCAGAATTCATACTCTAGTAACAGTGATCCATTACACAAGATACAGAACGTGAGGTGATGTACATTGAAATATAAGCGTGATGTGCGAGCGGAATCAAGATAAGCTCCGACGACAAGCCTGGGACGAAAGACGAAAGGGAATTTATTCATGTAGCAAAATAACTATATCGATACAGATTGGTTGCAAGCATGCAAAGAATCACCGATTTATCAGCAATAAGTATGCAGGCATAGTGATTAGTTCTTCTATAAGAGCTAATGAGCAAATTTACAATTTCCGTCCCCAGGAGCATCTAAATCGAACAACATTTCAATCTGCTCCTCAAAGTATCACACAAAGCCTCCGGACATTTTGTTCAACAGGCCACCAGATAAGACATTAGGGTTCGTGCTCAAATTTGATAGTCACCTCAGCTATAATTCCTGTACAATTCATCCTCCTCTTGACTGGAATTGAGATCTTCTGCAAATTTTAAGTCGAAATAGTGTAAACAAAGAAGTTCAGATTGCTAGAGAAACCATAACGTTCAGATTGCTCAGAGCATGGATCGGGCACAATGCTCTTGTTTAATTAGCGTAGGCAATCCACAATGTGCGATGATTTGCCCATGCTAGAGAATCATAGTTAGAGAAAGAAAGGAGCTCTTACAGCCTCGAAATAACACGCTTGTTCTCGCCCCGAAGTGCTGAGTGAAAGCGTCTTGGAACAAGTATGCTGCAGACTGTCCGTTCAAGTATGGTGCAATCCAGAAATCGGAATCAAACGAGACGGTGAGAACACACTGAACGATCTCTCGGTAAAGATGCAACTCCACTCTGCAGGCTGAAGCAGGCACGAATTTCGCAAACACTTTTTCCAGAACGAGCCAGCATGCACACCCAGCTCAGAACTAGTTGGTGAAACTCTTCTCATTCCTCGGAGGTGTCTCCGGCGGGTGATTAGTAGAACCCTCTATCACTAGCTGTTGGCACGTATAGACCAGCGAGGCTCTTCTCTTACAACGTCAGCAGTTTAGGCACAACTCCGATTCCAAATCGGAGAAGTTTTCTAACGTTGTAGCTGCTTTCAAAGATCCGGCATGAGAGACAACAAAACCGAAAATTGCTGCTCCAATGAGTCCAAACTGACAGCGTTGAAATCTGGTCGCATCACTCGATACGATCGAAACACGGAAACCAAGAAGGAAGAGCTATCAATCACAAAGGTACGGCACGCTACCACCGTCTTGCCCCGGAGCTGGTCGACAGATATCACACGTAAGCCCGTTGACTAGGTTCATCTATAGCAAACGACATTTACTTCCGCATCTTTGCAGATGTCAAATATCGATGTAACGCACTTGGTTTCCCAATACCTGTCACAGCACAATCATAGCAAAACCCACTTGTACATGCAAAACCACTACCCGAATAAAAACCCACATCTTCACATTATAAGATGTCCGATACCAGGTTATTTAATCTCGTACTACTCACAATTGCCAAGTTACAGGACCTACCGATTCCAGCACTATATGAGCCAGAGGGGGCATGTAGTTTGCGTCTTCGGCTGTCACACTCACCACACCTTATAACCTCGTTTAGTCAAGGGCCTCCATTCTACTTCTTGGATTGAGATGTTTATTTCGTGTTTTCCTCTATTCTCTCTCTTTGTCTGTGTATTACTCTCAATCTTTGAAAACTTGAAGTTATGGCTTCTATGCTTTAAGCAAGGGGTGTACTCAACTGGCAGAAGAAGAACGATGGAACGATGTGAGTTGTGGTACATATGGACGGTGAATTTGGGAGATGTAGGTACGTGACAAAAAAATTGATCCTAATCCAACTTGTACCTAATTGCAAATATTTTTTTAAGAATCTATGAATACAATTAAATTGTGTGAAGACCCCACCAACCCTTCCATGATGTAGAGCAAACATCCTTGAGCCTTGAATCGTATCGGTTAAAGAGCTGAGAGACATATTGGTGAAAATACACCAAGAGAGTGTAGATTTTGTTGAAGATTCTGTTTTAATGGAGTAGAATGACATGAGTTCTTGGCCCATACGAACAAACCATATATATTCAACTCGCTTAGTTGCACAAACTTATACAAACTGCCCGTACTGCCAGGTGTCAGGTATCCAAGTTTCTTTATCCTCCTTCTTTCTTGCTTCATGCGCCCTTCGGGCAGCCCCCGACTCAGCCGGATTTTATTTCAGTTTTTTGACAACCATGTAGAGGCCGTCAACCGGATTAAATTCCGACAACCATGTAGATGCATGTAGAGGCCGTCACTCTAGAGGCCGCGAAGTTCCATCCAACGTAATGTAGTGGAATCTAAACTAAAGGTTCCTAAAACTAAAACTAAATAGCATGAGGGATATTTCCCTAATAAATTCAAACTGTAATATATGTAATCCAAACAGTGATAACATATTGTTGCGAAAAAATTTTAGGCGGCAAAGTTTAGGGTTTTTGAATATAGGATCACATTGGTATTCTCCAGTTCGTCGAAGTTTCGACGTGGCTTTCGAGTGCCAGTGTCAGTGCTTCAAGGAGCTCGTGCCATAGCTCGTGCTTGTCCTATTCTTGTCATTTAAGGTGCTTTTTGCAGGTGTGAGGAAAGCATGGAGGCAGGATGGATTGTGCAGGACCCACCTTATAATGGCCATTTCAATTCGTTAATGTTGAATTGGTCAAATGGAACGGCCTACAACAAAAGCTCGAGGCTTAACGATTTTTTCTTGGGAGAGGGATCTTGTTACAAGATCCTTGCTCCGGAATGGTTGCTAAAACATGGAATTGGAGGTTGTGTTGCTATAGATGGAATGCATGGCACACAAAAGTATAAGGTAATATTCTACTTGTCCATTCTGATGTTCTTATCATCACGCTTCCATGATTATGTATATTCTACCTTGCAATTTGCAATATCTGCAAGATACTTGGAAAAATGACAATTTGGAGCTGTAACCAGTACAGTAAGACATTATTGAACTTTTCAATGTGTGATGTATATATTGTTTTATAAACCTTGATCACGTCTGGCTTATCAAGACATAAAAATAGCGAATCATTCATTTTTATCAAGTTTAGCTTATTATTAATGAAGATTAGTGCTTTGTAGACGACTGCTAGCAGCAAACCAATACGTTTATTTTATTTTTTGCAATGCAGTATCCACTGTACACATTTATGGTTTTTGACGAATATGAACACGAACATCCTACTGTTTTTGGATTCCTCGAAAGAGAAGAGACAGAAGATCTGGTGGAATTATTATCTGTAGTGAAGAAGATGATCCAACATTATATCCCTAGATGGATGCTCTCGTGGACGACGCAATCGAACAAAGACAATGTTTGATTGAGATTACACATCAAACGATGATGCAGTAGGTATGATTCGCATGAAACCTTTAGCCTTCGGAATATCATCTTTTGGCAGCGGGTAATTATGCCACATGACTGAATCCAAGTTCCCGTCTTCTTTGTGGTTGTTTGGATTATAAGGTGTTACTTATACGGCACCCTACTTGGATTATAGGGTGCCATGTAATTTTTTGGATTGATGTTCTATCGAATATCGATTAGCCTATCGAGCGCCTGCAAGGCCAAACTTGCATAATTCCTTGAATTGGGAACTGATTTGAAGAGTTTGTGTTTGACGCAATGCCGACTGCTCTCTCTGCTGACGATAATGTGCTGCGTACAAACAGTTACCAAATTGTAGAAACTTCGGGAAACTCTGTCCCTGCTTGATCGAATGTCTGATGTGCTGGTCGCTGATGAGCTCCTAAAGTCGTGGTAAAACTTTTTCCTCTAATCTGGATACTTTTTACTCCTCGTCTTCTTCACATCGAAGCCTAATTTTGAAGATTAGATGTGGCTATTTGGATTGTAGGGTGTTACTTCTTTGGGTAGGTACTGAAGAATGTGTGGCAGTTCTCGTGAGCTTTACTGCATATTTATTGCTGTAGAAAAGACTTTTAGCTGCCAGCTGCTATCGATAAAGATTAGTCGCAGCTTTCGGAATCACTTCTTTCATTCTAGCTCATAATTTTTGAAAAAAATAGCTAAGTCTAGATCAAGGCCTTAACAGTGGAATGAATATAATCAAGGGAGAAACCTGACATTTTATATATTTAAAGAATATATATATCACATCTTTTTAATGCTTTTTTCTTGTATTTGACATAAACTTCATCATCTTGTCTACTACTAGAGCAATTTCACGTTAAGTGCATATAATAAGATACATGAGATGGCTAATTGGTTTTTCATTGAAAATTGATGACATTTTTCATTTTCAATAATGTAAATTAGACATTGAGCTGCAAAAAGTTTAAAATGTGTTGTCAAAAGAATCAAATTCAAGTTAAATCAACCATAACCAATCATCAACACGTTGAATGTACCTACTTTGACTTTAATTTTAATATTACTTTCTTTAAATTCTTATAAACATTCATTCCTAATATACTCTTAGACAAATTCCAAATGTTTCATCTTGAATCCAAATTTTAATTTATTTTTAGATTTGACAACATTGGATTGATTATTTGTCAAGATTAGGGCTTCAATGGGGTTCAGATTGAATTTGACCTTCTAACAAAATCCGACCCAAAAAAGTAGGTCGGATTCAAATCAATTCAGGTGGAAATCAAAATTGGGGTCGGAGGATCCATGATTGTGAGGGGACGGCAAGTGGAGGAACGCCAAGGAGGAATTGGAAAATTGGAGCTACAAGTATTTTCTTGACAAAGAAGCGATGCGAGAATAATTTGAGGAGTCATGATGAACAGCATAGGTAGAGTAACGCAGCCCAGCGTAGAAGCGAGCGAGCAAAGGAGCAGATGCTTGCATTGTTTCGAACGAGGTGCGCAGTAGATAGGAGGAGCAGGAGGTGTAACATACACAAGAGGAGGAGCAAAGTTTAGCGAGATGGAGCGGAAGTCAATGTAGAAGACGACGGAACATTTGAGCTTGCAATTGAGCTCTTATTGGTAGTTGTTGTATTAGTCGAATATAAACACTGTCCACGATGATATTGCCGACAAGATGAGGTTATGGAAACTCTCATATTTTAGCTCACTGATGTCCGGGTGTCTATATTATTGATGGGAGAGTGAAGTCTCTGATGATAATACTAATTTCTGTACAATGTTTGAAAAGAAGGGAAAATATAAAAATTACTCATTTCATGAGCAAATTTCAAGCACATTGTACTCGGGCATTATCGCTTAGAAATACCTTCCTCTTTCAGGGCAGACGTGCCTACATTCATCCGTTGTGTCTTCCAAATAAAATCCGAATCTCAATAGAAGTAAACATGGACCGATGAAATAGTACAAACCATTTGATGAACACACCTCCAGGTGGGAACCACAATCCATGCAGACAAGCCCTGGAAATATGGTATGAAGATCAAAAGAGTTGGCTTCCAAAATTGAGCTGATGGAACTTCAGGTGAGAAGGTTGACCATTGTTTATACAACTTCATCCGTACTTCATGCAACATATATTTCTTAACGACTTGATACATAATCTTTCAGTCTTTCAACTCCTGTTCAATGAAAGATAATGGAGATTTGAGTAAAAAATCGCAACAGGTTTCGATACTTGCCATATTCATCAATGGGGACATCATAGTCATAGCTTGTAGTAATGAATGAATCACCTGATGTCCGCTCAAAGTGTGTGACTTCAAAATACTGCAATCCCCATAGATAGTATCACATGCGGAAAGAAGCAATTTCTTGAATAAAACAAACAGTCAAATCTCCCCTCCAGAGCGTGCCAAGCAAGCTGCGGTCTTAAGAAACAGGGACTCCAACACATATTACTGAACATAAAACTCACTTCGAGCACGTTTCGAGACGTTGAAGCTTACTCTAGTCAATACTATGATAAGGCATGACTGTCCTCTTCTCAACTAGATCAAAGTCTGGAGAAGACTACTTCAGTGTATGGAGAAAGATTCAAAAGGCCACGCAGATTTTTGGAATGATAAAGACTACTATTTGTAGTGCCGTGGACTAAGAATTTAGTTTCAAATAACTGCGTACTCTCTTTCACACAATTTTGTGTGTAATTCCTGTGACGAAGCCTTTGACCATACCTTGTAGTAGTTCTGGAAAGTGCCTCCTCTTTAATAAAATTAGGCCACGGCGAAGACATTATCTTGGACTGGCCTATGTGGCACAAGGCTTCCCCAAAGCTGGTACCTGTTCAAAGGGCCAGCATGCAAATCTCTATGTAAATCATGTGAAGAAGTTCTTTATGTTTCCATATTTCAGGAGTTGAGTATGTTGACAGTTTGAAGGCTTTTTGTGAAATCAATTAGTAAGATTGATTGTTACTGGATGTTACAGTCGTTAGAAATTAAT